GGTTTTGGTTCTTGGTTTAGCAAATTGCATTAATCTCTCAAATTTGACACTTGAACTTGGGTAAAAACACTTTATTTGTTTTGGATTGTGATATTTTGAATTATAAAAACTAATTAAAAACAATAAAGCTCTTTTTTCTTTTTGTTTTTATTGTGCTTGCTTATTTTTGTTAATTTATTTAGCTCATCCTTTTATTTTCAAATTTTTACTTTTATTATTAATTAATTAATCTTATTATTTCATATTTTTTCTTCATTTTTTCTTTCTAATTAACTATTTTATGATATATTTTTTCTTCAATATTTAAAAAGTAATAATTATATTGGTGACGAAAGTGCATCAGGCTTAGGTTCTGGTTTAGCAAATTGCATTAATCTCTCAAATTTGACACTTTACCTTGGGTAAAAACAGTTTATTTGTTTTGGATTGTGATATTTTGAATTATAAAAACTAATTAAAAAAAATGAAGCTCATTTTTCTTTTTGTTTTTATTGTGCTTGCTTATTTTTGTTAATTCATTTAGCTCATCCTTTTATTTTCAAATTTTTACTTTTATTATTAATTAATTAATCTTATTATTTCATATTTTTTCTTCATTTTCTCCTTCTAATTAACTATTTTATGATATATTTTTTCTTCAATATTTAAAAAGTGATAATTAAATTGGTGACGAAGGTGCATCAGGCTTAGGTTCTGGTTTAGCAAATTGCATTAATCTCTCAAATTTGACACTTGACCTTGGGTAAAAACAGTTTATTTGTTTTGGATTGTGATATTTTGAATTATAAAAACTAATTAAAAACAAGAAAGTTCTTTTTTCTTTTTGTTTTTATTGTGCTTGCTTATTTTTGTTAATTCATTTAGCTCATCCTTTTATTTTCAAATTTTTACTTTTATTATTAATTAATTAATCTTATTATTTCATATTTTTTCTTCATTTTTTCCTTCTAATTAACTATTTTATGATATATTTTTTCTTCAATATTTAAAAAGTAATAATTAAATTGGTGCAATGGGTGCATCAGGCTTAGGTTCTGGTTTAGTAAATTGCATTAATCTCTCAAATTTGACACTTAACCTTCGGTAAAAACAGTTTATTTGTTTTGGATTGTGATATTTTGAATTATAAAAACTAATTAAAAATAATAAAGCTCTTTTTTCTTTTTGTTTTTATTGTGCTTGCTTATTTTTGTTAATTTATTTAGCTCATCCTTTTATTTTCAAATTTTTACTTTTATTATTAATTAATTAATCTTATTATTTTATATTATTTCTTCATTTTTTCCTTCTAATTAACTATTTTATGATATATTTTTTCTTCAATATTTAAAAAGTGGTAATTAAATTGGTGACGAAGGTGCATCAGGCTTAGGTTCTGGTTTAGCAAATTGCATTAATCTCTCAAATTTGACACTTGAACTTGGGTAAAAACAGTTTATTTGTTTTGGATTGTGATATTTTGAATTATAAAAACTAATTAAAAACAATAAAGCTCTTTTTTCTTTTTGTTTTTATTGTGCTTGCTTATTTTTGTTAATTTATTTAGCTCATCCTTTTATTTTCAAATTTTTACTTTTATTATTAATTAATTAATCTTATTATTTCATATTTTTTCTTCATTTTTTCCTTCTAATTAACTATTTTATGATATATTTTTTCTTCAATATTTAAAAAGTGGTAATTAAATTGGTGACGAAGGTGCATCAGGCTTAGGTTCTGGTTTAGCAAATTGCATTAATCTCTCAAATTTGACCCTTGACCTTTAGTAAAAACAGTTTATTTGTTTTGGATTGTGATATTTTGAATTATAAAAACTAATTAAAAAAAATGAAGCTCATTTTTCTTTTTGTTTTTATCGTGCTTGCTTATTTTTGTTAATTTATTTAGCTCATCCTTTTATTTTCAAATTTTTAGTATTATTATTAATTAATTAATCTTATTATTTCATATTTTTTCTTCATTTTTTCCTTCTAATTAACTATTTTATGATATATTTTTTCTTCAATATTTAAAAAGTGGTAATTAAATTGGTGACGAAGGTGCATCAGGCTTAGGTTCTGGTTTAGCAAATTGCATTAATCTCTCAAATTTGACACTTGAACTTGGGTAAAAACACTTTATTTGTTTTGGATTGTGATATTTTGAATTATAAAAACTAATTAAAAACAATAAAGCTCTTTTTTCTTTTTGTTTTTATTGTGCTTGCTTATTTTTGTTAATTTATTTAGCTCATCCTTTTATTTTCAAATTTTTACTTTTATTATTAATTAATTAATCTTATTATTTCATATTTTTTCTTCATTTTTTCTTTCTAATTAACTATTTTATGATATATTTTTTCTTCAATATTTAAAAAGTAATAATTAAATTGGTGACGAAAGTGCATCAGGCTTAGGTTCTGGTTTAGCAAATTGCATTAATCTCTCAAATTTGACACTTAACCTTGGGTAAAAACAGTTTATTTGTTTTAGATTGTGATATTTTGAATTATAAAAACTAATTAAAAACAATAAAGCTCTTTTTTTTTTTTGTTTTTATTGTGCTTGCTTTTTTTTGTTAATTTATTTAGCTCATCCTTTTATTTTCAAATTTTTACTTTTATTATTAATTAATTAATCTTATTATTTCATATTTTTTCTTCATTTTTTCCTTCTAATTAACTATTTTATGATATATTTTTTCTTCAATATTTAAAAAGTAATAATTAAATTGGTGCAATGTGTGCATCAGGCTTAGGTTCTGGTTTAGCAAATTGCATTAATCTCTCAAATTTGACACTTGGCCTTTAGTAAAAACAGTTTATTTGTTTTGGATTGTGATATTTTGAATTATAAAAACTAATTAAAAACAATAAAGCTCTTTTTTCTTTTTGTTTTTATTGTGCTTGCTTATTTTTGTTAATTTATTTAGCTCATCCTTTTATTTTCAAATTTTTACTTTTATTATTCATTAATTAATCTTATTATTTCATATTTTTTCCTTCTAATTAACTATTTTATGACATTTTTTCTTCAATATTTAAAAAGTGGTAATAAAATTGGTGACGAAGGTGCATCAGGTTTTGGTTCTGGTTTAGCAAATTGCATTAAACTTTCAAATTTGACACTTGACCTAGGGTAAAAACAGTTTATTTGATTTGGATTGTGATATTTTGAATTATAAAAACTAATTAAAAAAAATGAAGCTCATTTTTCTTTTTTTTTTTATTGTGCTTGCTTTTTTTTGTTAATTTATTTAGCTCATCCTTTTATTTTCAAATTTTTACTTTTATTATTAATTAATTAATCTTATTATTTCATATTATTTCTTCATTTTTTCCTTCTAATTAACTATTTTATGATATATTTTTTCTTCAATATTTAAAAAGTAATAATTAAATTGGTGCAATGGGTGCATCAGGCTTAGGTTCTGGTTTAGCAAATTGCATTAATCTCTCAAATTTGACACTTGAACTTCGGTAAAAACAGTTTATTTGTTTTGGATTGTGATATTTTGAATTATAAAAACTAATTAAAAACAATAAAGCTCTTTTTTCTTTTTGTTTTTATTGTGCTTGCTTTTTTTTGTTAATTTATTTAGCTCATCCTTTTATTTTCAAATTTTTACTTATATAATAAATTAATTAATCTTATTATTTCATATTTTTTCTTCATTTTTTCCTTCTAATTAACTATTTTATGATATATTTTTTCTTCAATATTTAAAAAGTGAAAATTAAATTGGTGACGAAGGTGCATCAGGCTTAGGTTCTGGTTTAGCAAATTGCATTAATCTCTCAAATTTGACACTTGGCCTTCAGTAAAAACAGTTTATTTGTTTTGGATTGTGATATTTTGAATTATAAAAACTAATTAAAAACAAGAAAGCTCTTTTTTCTTTTTGTTTTTATTGTGCTTGCTTTTTTTTGTTAATTTATTTAGCTCATCCTTTTATTTTCAAATTTTTACTTTTATTATTAATTAATTAATCTTATTATTTCATATTTTTTCTTCATTTTTTCCTTCTAATTAACTATTTTATGATATATTTTTTCTTCAATATTTAAAAATTGGTACTTTTTTTTGTTCTTTCTTTATTAATTTATTTAGCTCATCCTTTTATTTAAAAGTTTATTCTATTTTGAAATTTATTTAAAATTTACACAAATTTATTATAAAATATTAGCCTAAAGCATGAATCATAAAAATTCAAAGTAATAAGCAAGTTTCTTAAATCAAAAAGATTAGTTGTCTTTAAAAATTTATTCTGATTATAAACAAGTCACGAAAAAAGGATGAATAAATATTAAATGCTTGAATAATATTATATAATATTTTGAAAAGTTTTTTTAAATCTAAAATATAAACTGATAGATAGATTTTATTATTGATTTTATATTTATAAATATTATTCATATTTATTTTTGTAAGTAAATAAATTATTTATAAAAAATAAAAAAATTAAATTTATTTAAATAAATTAATTCCTCTTAAGTAACCTTATGGTTTCTCCAAAAACGATCAAATAATTTGAACTTTAAGTGTTATATTATTTCTTTATAAATTGTATAAATGCCAAAAATGATATGTTTACTTGTGTAGTATTTTTTGTTTTATTTTTAGTTTTATTAATATCAAAAATTAAAATTAATTTAAATTACTTTTGTTAAAATATCTATAAACTATATTGGGTATTCATTATAAAATCATCAATCATAATAAAAATAAAAATCTAATTCTTTGAATATGTTTTGGAAATTTCTTAAAAAAAGGCTTAGTTGGATTCAATCCAATAATATATATATTAGAAATCATAAAAAGTTTTAATATATCTTGATTCTATAACAAAAAAGAATGTATATTGCTGCCATAAATTCTAAAATACGATATCACATTTTTTACTTAGAGATACAAAAAAATATCACTACTTTTATTGTTTTTAATAATTGTAAATGCAAATTAATTATTTAATTACAACCAAAAATTAAAACCACATATATTAATTAAATTAAATTTAAATTGACAGTGGTAACAATAAATTTTTAACTCTTGAATAAAAATATACCTTTTAAAAAACAATGGTTTTAAATTTATGCTAAAGAAAGTTGACTGTAAAATTAATCCTAATTTATACTTTTACTTATGAATAAATAAAAATATTTTTTTAATTTTATTTTATGTTTTTACTTTTAATTATTATATCTTCTTTTTGAATATTTTTGTAAATAAAGAATTATAAGCTGTCCTCAATAATATAAATTACCATTTTTGTTTTTTTTATTCAGAAAGAAATTAATCGCTTAAAATCAAAATATACTTATGTCTAAACCATGATTATTATTAATCCTTGCTTGTTCCTGAAAAATTTTATATGGTGTTAATATCAATAAATATTATTATTAAATTAAAAAATATACAAGAAGAGATTCCTAAAAAAGATACCTGTTTAAAAATTGAACATAAAATCAAAAAATATTAAATAATTCAATACTTTAAAGTAAACTATTTTTAGAAAAACTCAAAGAAAAAGTATTAATTAGACAATAAATTTAAAAATGTTCAATAGGATCTTCAAGTATCAATTTGCTACTGCTACACACACTCCTTTATGTATTATTGGTGATGGTACAGCTAGTTTAAATATCTGCCTAACTTATCCACAGAAAAGGAATCAATTTAAGCTTTTTTAAAGTTTTTGATCCCTCCAGATTCCACTACTACCTACCTTCTTGGACCATAGTTGGTGGTAGTTTGTATGATGCAGAAAAATCATATAGAACTTAATAAAATCTATTAAACAAGAAAATTAACTTCATCTTTAATGTTGTAACTAAGGTTATCCCAGAGTAAAACAAGTTTATCACTGACGATGGCAGAGAATGGACCTATGATCACCTCATTATTGCGACTGGAATAAAGGTCGATTTCAAACGAATCAAAGGTAATTCAATTTAAATCACAATTCTAAATAAAAAAAGAGAGAATAGATTCCTGAATCATAATAATTATTTAAGTAAAACTCAAGAAAAAGCATAATAGATACTAGGGAGAAATTTATATTATAAAAACAACAAAAAAAGGAGAAAAATCAAGAATAAACATTTTAATTTTGATAAGTGTCAATATATGACATAATATAAATTATATGAATAATTTATAAAAGTATATTTATGTTTTTGATTACAGAAACATCATAAAATTTAATAAAAAATAAATTATCAAATACAGATATTAAAATGTATTTTTATACAAAAAAATTTAAAGGAAGCATTTGATGACTCTAACTGCCCTGCATGCTCTATTTATTGGAAAGACTATGCTACTAAATTCAATTAATTTGCTTAAGAATTTAAAAGAGGCAAGTCCGTCTTCACTGAACCTTAAATGCCTATTAAGTGTGGTGGAGCTCCTTAAAAGGTTTTGTACTTGAATGAAGAGCGTTTAATGGTGTGAGAAACTAAACTTCAATAGAATTCCATAAAACTATAACTGTAGTTTTTGGTGTTCCTAAATATAGTGCGAGCTTAGCTGAAATTATCAAACAAATTTTTTATTATAAACTTTAAATTTGCATTATCATGAATATTTTTTTATTTTTATGTATGTTTTTCAGTAAGCTTTTAAAAATTATTATTCACTTAGTTAAATAAAATAAAATTAGAAACTAATTCAATATATAAAAAATAGTAGAACTTGAAAAATATTATTTATAGAGCAAATTAAAAATTATTTTAATAGAACAAAGACTTAAATGCAAGAAGCTTACCATCCTATATCATTTGTTAGCAAAGTGTTTAAAAAGCAGGATTATCTAGAAAGCAGTAAGTTTTTTAAACATATGTAGGGGTGTATTAATAGAGAAAAAATTATTAGATAATAAATATAGCGATTTTGATTCTTTGAATCAAATATTTTTCTCAAATAAAAGTAAAATATTTGACAGTGAACCTATTATTTCTAAAAAGGCATTTTAGAATAGAAACTATGTTGATTCTGTTGGATAAGCTATGCAAGATAAGTTTTCTAAAGAGGATTTTATTTCACAAAATAAAAGAGATTACAGCTCAATCAATTACTCTATTCCTAAAAAAGCTATTACTTTAGAAGAAATCAAGTAAAAGCGAAATTAAAAAATAGTATTTGGGACTGATGGTTTTTTATATTTCAACTAAATTATTTAAATTTTAAAAGAAAATGTATTAATGAATAGATGTAACAAAAGAATGGTAAAATTCTGAGAAGTAGTAGTAGTTTAGAAAGTATGATATTGAAGAATTTATAGCAAAAAATGATGGCTCTATTTTTAAGCTACACAGTAAGGCAAACCAAAGAAGTCATAGCCACAAATTTGATTTTTACAATTTATGTAAAAATGAAAAACCTATTTCGAATTACAATTAAAATTATTAGCAATAAAATTAGCTTTAAAGCTTGAACTCTAATCCCTTTTTGAACTAAGAAAAATTAAAAACGATAGAAAAATTAAATAGGGATAATATTCAATTAGCTGGTTTTGGAAAGAAAGATGAAGATTATATGAAATCTGAATCAATGGTAGCTTATACTGGCAAAAAAAATGATAAAGCTTCAAACGATAACATTTACAAATAAATGATAAACAAGAGATACCATCTGCCTTTGATTTTAGGAACTGAAAAGTTAGACTATGAAAAGTCATCAAATCTACCAAATTAAAGTATTGGATAAAATCAGTAAGAAAATAAATAAAACGAATAGGCAGCCTAATTGAGAAGTAAATTCATGAATATTTTTGTTTAGCAATTATTAAGTATTTCCAAAATATTATCAAAAAGGAAGTAATTTTGAACTTGGATAAGAGAAATTTTAAGATTACAAGAAGAATATGGAAGGAAATGATAAATAAGCTGAATTTATTAATTAGTACAATTACAATTAAGAGTTATACAAAAAACAGCTAAATAACAATAGATTTGATTCGGTCGTCCTAGGAGAATAAAAAAATAATGATCTAATTTCAATAACAAAAAGTGAACTTCCTTAATTTAGAACTAGCAGATATGTTGAAGCCAAAAAGAATAACTACAAGATGATAAATGATGTAAATAAAGTAGAAGATAAAGACATTTTTGGGTCAGATTTCAATAAAGACTATTACAAATCTGAAAAATAAGATTAGTAAATAAAAAATTATAAATTGAGAAAATTAAATAATAAAAATGTTTAAATTTATTTAGGTATTAATAGTATAATGGTGTTAGACCCAATAAACTTAGTGCTTTATAAGAGCAATCACTTAGATACAGTAGCATAAAGTTTGACGACTTAAAAAATCCAGAATTTATTTCGATAAATTAATCCTCTTTTATATCTCCAACCCTTTTAACTAGAGAAAAATCTATTTTATAGGCAAACCTTGAAAATAGTGTAAAGAAATAGCCTGTATAGGATTATATTTTTGGAGTTAAAAATAAAGATTAGAATTTAACTACTAATTAGGAGCTAATGGCTGCACCAAAGAACGGTGTACCAAATAGCTTAGGGGATAGGCTTTTTAATTTAAAAATGTCTCATTTTTAGTTAGGGTGAGAAAATTATTTTTTATTTATACTAATAAAAAAATATCTAATTCATGCTTTAATGTCCTCTTTCTGTATTTATAAATGAATGTTTTCGCTATTAATTTTACAACTGCTTTATTTTTATTTAGAAATTTTAATAAATAGAAGTGTTTTTAAACAAAAAAATTAAATTAAAATGTATAACAAATTTTATAAAAGTAATGATTGATAGATAGATATATTAATTAATTAATATATTGATTATACTAATAATATAATTTAACAAAATCAACTATATTTCAAAAAAGCAAAAATGTCAAAACCCGCACCTTAAAAAAAGGTACCATCTAAAGTTAACCTCCCTCCACCAGAGGCAGAGCCAGTTAAAGAAGAAGAACCTTAAGTTTAATAGCATATAGAAATGGAAGGATTTGGAAGGTTTGAATATAGAAATGGTTTGGTTTATGAAGGTTAATGGAAATTAGTAAATGGAGTAAAAATGAAACACGGTGAAGGTGTGCTTATATTTTAAGGTAGACTTATTAAAAATAGAATTTATATAAATCTCAGAAATAAATGCAGAAATGAAACAGTTTGAAATAATATTTATTTATATGTTTTTGATTATAAAAGGCAGTACAAGTTATGAGGCAGGTAATGAAGAATATAGAGGATCATGGCAGGAAGATAAAATGCATGGATTTGGTGTATATAAGTACTTAGTTTATTTTTTATAAAGCTTTTTAATAATGCATAGTGATAAGAATAAAGAATAAACTATAGAAAAATATTTTTAATGAAAGAGAATTTAAAAAATAACCATTTTAAAATAAAATAAAACTAAAAGATATACAAGCGGAGCAATTTACACAGGAGAATGGTACAAAGGAAAATAGCAAGGAAGAGTAATAAATAAATTGCATTAATATAATTTAAAATAATTAATTTTACATATTTAAAAATGGATAGGGCACCTACGAATTTCCAGATGGAACTCTTTATGAAGGTGAATGGAAAGATCATAAAATGCATGGTGAGGGATACTTTGTTGATAAAGATGGAAATAGATGGGAAGGTATTTATTTAGATAAAGATTATATTTATTTTTGAATTAATAAAATTAATCAAAATTTATTAGGAGAATTTGTTGATGGTGTTTACTAATCCAAAATGCAGAAGGAATTAAAAATGGAAAAAATGCTAAAGAAAAAAGAATTAGAAATTAAGCTTAGTTCGACATAATTCTTTGATAAATTTGCTGAATCTTTTGCTAAAAGTGATAAAAAAACCATGAAAGAAAATCTTCTCCCTTATTTTGTTACTTAGGAAGAAATTAAATTATATGTGAATGGTCCTTATCCTAAATTTGAAGATAAAGCTCCAGAGAAATGGTTTGATTTAAATTAAATTTTTTAATGAAATTTTTATATTTTTGTTATTTTATAGGAATGAAGTAATAGCATTTGTTAAAAATTATACAATGGTAAATGTATTAAGACACGGATCTAATGCTAAGATACTTTAACCCAGTAATGTTTTAAGTAGTTAATTTAATGGTTTGGGATAAATTGTTGAATTCTAAAAAGATGAAGGAGATAGGGTAGTAAAGTTGGTATTATGCAATGCTCTTGAAAATAGCTGGACAATAGTCTTTTTTTTCGACTCCGCTGAGCCTGAGAAAAAAGGGAAAAAATGAAATAAACTATCATTTAAATTTGCAATTTTATAAAATTAATTTATTTTAGATGATTAAATTAACTACAACATATATTTATATTACATATATCTGTTCTATAGTAAGCTAGATTTTGTAACTAAGAAATTAATGTTATGTTTTTTTTAATCAGTAAGATAAATTTAATGTTCTACCTTTATTACAATCAAAGAAAAGTATCAAACAACAAACTCTTTATTCAAAATAGTGTAAAAATAAAAAAGATCATTTTATATACAGTATTTTGTTATCTAACTTGCTGAAATTTTGAAAAAAAGTATTCTTATTATAATAATTAAACCTAAAATCAAAAGAGAATGTGAGAACTTAATTGTAAAAATTGCAATAAATATTATAGATATTTATTTATTTTTTTTTAATGCATCAGAATTTACATTTGGAATTAGTTCTTTTTTATAATAATCACTTACTACTTAATAACAAATATTCTTTTATCTTAGATATAAAGAATGTATAATTTTTTGATAATAGCTTTAGCTATGTATGTATATATGCTTTATTATTTCTTAAAAAACTAAAAAACTAAATTGTCATAAACTATTGGTTAATTTATTTTGTTAATAAATATATAATTAATCAATTTAATACTAATAGAATATACTTTCATCAAAAAAGCTAGCTCGTGTTATACATTTTTACTGGATGCTATGAAATAAAAAGTACCTTTGTTTATACCAGCAGAAAATTTCATTCCAATTGAAAAAGAAAATATATCTGTATTTTTTTAATTGGATTAATAATTTCCATTTACAAATGTATTTTAAATCCCTTTATTATTTTCAGGTTGAGATAAAGCAGTAATTTTAGTAGTACGATGGAGTATTTAGGAAAGATAGTAGCTCGAGCATTTAAAATCGATTAGAAAATTAATAGGCCAATCATCACAATGATGTGTAAAAAACCCCTCAAAGTAATAGTTGAATTTTACTTTTAAATATTTTAATCACTTAGTCCTTAAATTATTTTAATAAATCCAAATAAATACCTTTACATATTTTGCATCCAAATTTTAAATGTTTTTTAAATCATTAGCATAGGTAGCATAGAAAAATTATTTAAAGAATTAGTCTATATCTAGTAAATAAGATAAAAATACATTATTTGATGATAGCGATTTCGTAATAACTGAAGACAGTAACGAAAATGGTATTGCTGCAAACTTACAATCGCTAGATATGAAGCGCTATTCGGATAGAAATAACTATTTCAATAACAGTATAAGAGTTTTTAATCTTCAAAAAAACAAATCCTATTCAAATTTTTAAAACAGTAATGATAGCTAATAAATAAATGAATTTTAAAATCACCAAGCCTTTTCCTATAGTTAGCATTAGAGCTTGGAGTTTTTTAATGATAATAAGTAATAATAGTTGAGTATAAAAAAGGAGATTGAACACAATACTTAATATAATACAAATAAGTCAAATATTTCAAATTCAAAAACTGAAATGATTGTAATGAAGATAAATAAATTTGATTACGAGCTTTAGGAAGAAATAATTAATTCACAGAGCAAATAAAATATATTAAATTAAAACTGTAATAATAAGAATATTTAAAACTCTAATCAAAGCCACAAATAAGGTAGTTTGGAAAACATAATAGATATTTAGGGATCAGATGATGTGTAGAAGTAGTAGTTTTAAAGTAAATAACAAAAAATATAAAATAAGATTTTAAATAATATATGCTAAACTAAAGGAGTCCAAGAAAGTATGCTCAAAAACAACAAATAAAAAAATGAGTAATAGTTATTGCATGAATCAGCAAAATTAGATGATTAAATCACTAATTAAATCTAATTGATTAAAGGTTGTAATAGTTAAAATAAAAGGAATTCTACAAATTGTTAATAGGAGGATAAAACTTAATAAATGTAAAACTCGTAAGTAAGAGGAAGAAAATTTAATTAATCAGAAGAAAATATTAAAGAAGATGTTAGTCCCTCTCCTCCAAATATTTCGAGAATAGAAGTTCAGAATGAACAGCAAATACATCTTTTATATATAGCTAAAAATAATAATATGACAAGATAAGAAAACAATAGATATCAATCTGAACCTGTCACACTCTTTATGAATAATGATTCTGTTTCCCTTTTTCCATAAAAAGAATATTGTGCTGCTGGTGGTGACATATAAACAGAAAATAATCAAGAGATTGAAATTATAAATGATGACTTTAATATTTAATAAAAATAAAATGTGATTGAAGTTTCAAATAATTCTTTTGAACAAGAATAAGAATAAGAACACACTTAAAATATATAAAACCACTCTATCTTAAATTCAAATACTTTTATAGTTAAAAAGAATCCTGTAACTCCACCAAGATAATAACATAAATTACAAGAATATACAAATAATAATAATAATAATTCATTTTTTCACTCACCAATAGAAGATTAAAAAAATATTAATGAAAGTGATTTTTTTTAAAAGAACAGCAGCCTTCCAATTCTAAAAGCTAATTCTGATTTGGATGCATTTAGATTGCATAACAAAATGTTAGACAATTAGTAGCTAGCAGATTATTAGTTTTGTAATTAAAAAAAAGATACTGAGTAAACAAATTCAGTTATAAATGAAAAAGATATTTCTTAAATATTACATCATGCAGAAAGAGATGATTTGAAAAGCTTTCCTTAAACACCTAATAAGATACTAAATTCTAATAGTATAACTGTCTTTTTCCAAAATTAGCAAGAAATAATCAATTTAATTTTTTAAAATGACATTCTTTCTTTAAAGAAACTTATTTAAGGATTTTCTAATTAATAAAAAAATATTCCTGATTCAAACGGTAACACTCTGCTTTACTTAGCTACTAAACTCGCCTTAAAATAAGACAAATATTTTGATATCTTTAAATATTTACTTTAGAATGGAGGAAATCCGCGAATTAGAAACAAAGAAGGGTGGTCTCCACTTGATGAAGCTATATTTTTTGTAAATTTAACCAAACAATAATTTATTAATTTTTATCTTTGTTGTTTTTAAAAAATAGAAAAATGTCAAACTTACTACAACATTATTTGAATATATATACCAGTCAAAGAAGAAAAAAATTACTGAGTAATTAATTTAATTAAATACTTTGCTTCCATCACTACCAGATTGCTACATAGAAATAAAATGGCATTTTGAGAGTATGATACCATTTCTTGGGTACTTTGCTCCATCTGACACATTTAGATTTTGGAAAATAGGGACAAATTTTAGGCTGGACACTACTTTGGTTGGATTCAATAATTTAAAATGTAAAAGAAGAAATATGAGTCTGCTATTTAAAAACTAATAGTTGTATCTAGTTAACAAATCAAATAAAACCATCACAGACCCTCAAGAGTAGCTTGATACTGAAGAAAAGAAAAAAATTATACAAGACTTATTAGAGTCAAAGCCTTTCAACAGTTCTTTTGATGTAACATAATGTACTGTCTAACCATCAAAAGCATGGAATGGAAAAATAATTAAGAAGAAAATAGCAAACTACAATGCAGAATAGTAAATTAATCTTTCAGTATTCTTTTTAACCTTATTTTATTAAAAAAAGATATAATATGAAACTTACTTATGAGTACATCATCAAAAATAAATCAGAGATGGGTGAAAGCATATATGAAAATAATGACATCTACCAAAAATCTCTTTTTAATCATAAAGAATCAAGCAATAATCCTCACATTGTAAGGTCAGCATCTATTAACAATGATGCAGTCAAAAATAATAATAAAAAATAAATATAAACTTCTCATTCCAAGGAAAAAGAAATAAAAAAAACTACATTTAGTTTATGGATGTCTAAAGATTATCCCATACATTTCAAAGTAAACTTAATAATATCTTCTAAAGCTAATATTTATTTTTTAAAAAAGTAATTTTTGCCTGTTTTACAAGTTTTAGAAAGAACGAACCCTATTTTGTCAAGACTAAACGAATTTCTTAATAAAGATGTAAGAATTCTCAATTAAATTATTACTTATATTAAATGTATATAGCTGACTAGATTAACTTATAAATTTGATAAAATAAGCTAAACATTTTTCTAATAAATAAAGGAAGTTAAAACCCTATTTTAAAATGAAGGTTTTCCAGTTAAAATATAAATTCCTCTCAACTACACAATTAAAAGTACAATTGATTTCTCCGATTTCAAGTAGTTTATTTAATTTTTATTCTTTTGATTATAAATAATTTTATTTAAAATAGATTTTTAAACAGCCAGTCAGAAGAACTTAAAAATATTTTTGATATAGATCCAACATATTAAGTTATACCAAGAAAAATAGCTTAAAAAACATTAACTAGATCTAAGAAAAGAATGATATTAGCCAATATGATTACTGCTTGAAAATTTTGTTATATTTAAATTACTACCCCTACCTTCCTTCCTATTTACCATTTTTCAAAAAAAAAATAATAATAATTAAACTAAATTTAAAGTTTATAATTTAATTAAATATATTTTATGTACATATTTTACAAAAATTATATTATATATAGTTTTGTTTTTCAAATATTAAGTAAGTAATTAATTGTAAAAGTTTTTTAATTTTTATAAAAGATACTATGTATTCTATTTGTATGCTGCCTTGAAAATATGCAGTAACTCAGGGTGCTATATATATATATATAATATTAAAATTAAATAAGATAATAAAAATATTTTAAACTATTATATTTTTTATAAGATATTGATTGATGGTGATATAATAATAATAATATTAATATATAAAAAAATAAAATCAAATGATATAGCTTAAATAAATTAAGAGTTTTTTTAATTATTTAAAATAAGTTAATATTTAAATTAAGATAATAAAGCAATCATTCATATAATTTAGGAATAGTAAATTATTCTTTATTTTCATTAGTATATGAGGGAGAAAGGTTTCCATTAGACTCGCTTGAGGGTTTATGTTGAAGCTGTAACTCTTACTTTAAATTTTTTAACTAACTACTTTCCTTTACTTGGAACTTAGTAAGATTTTCGATTTATTATTCTTAAATCTAGAAAATGTTTTCGTTTTAATCTTTTTTTTCTTCAATATTTTCATTTTGAGAAAAATTAATGTTGGCCTATTGCTATTATTCTAATATTTTTTATTAATCTTCTAGCATCAGTTTTTCACTTTCTTTTGCTCTTGCCTGAAGAGGTCTATTTTTCTTTTTATTTTCATTAGGAGGATTGAGAGCATCATATTGCTATTCCAATTCTACAATTAAGGTTTTCGAAAATATGAAATCTTTACAAGCAATTTTAAAGAATTTATCTTGATCAATTATATTGTTTTCATACTCTGAAAAGTCTTTGAGTACTAAAAATACTTCTTCGAAAGATTTAGCATTTAGAAGTCTCTTTTTTTTAAGTTTAAGCATAGCTAAAGCAACTCTATAAACTATTTTCCATTTTTCAAAGAAGAATATATCCATAATTCTTAAAAAATATTAGAATGGCAAAACAGAACTAAAGAGAGTCATATACCAGCTTGTTCCAAATGTTATTGATTCAATGCCATAATTTTGGAAATGTTCACTAATATCTGGCAAAAATTTTTTTACCAAATGGTCATGCACAAACAACTATTTTCTGATACTAGCTACATCTTCATACATTTTTTTACAATCATAATTTTCTAAAAGACTTATAATCATATAATAGGACTCTTCATCATTAATATAAATCATAAATGCCTTTTTTAAGATAGAATAAATTTTAAAAAAATCTATTATTTAATTAATTAAAAATTAATTTAGAAGATTATGTTTAATTGAATTCATGTTAAAAAAATGCTTATCAGAAATTATATTTGACCTTTTTTATTTTATTGTAGACAAAAACGCCATTTAAAATCATTCTAAAAATAAATAAATAAACAAATAAATCTAATCTAATAATATACAGCTGCTATGAAATTTAATCCTTAGCAATATCCCATATCTTCATGAGTTAAGGAGACGGCTTTTAATACATTTTTCAAAGATTCTATTCCAGTATTTTTTTAATCTCTAAAGAGTTAATGATTTGGAAAGGTTCTGTTCAAATCCGCATCAATATCTGTTTCATAAGGAAAGTCAGCTTGCTTGATGAGGTAGTTATATCCCTAGTTAATATATTTTTTTTTAAGTGCTTCTATTTGGCCAAGGTGGGGCCAAACTTTCAGTCTGATTCCATCAGGAATTCCTTTTCTAATTCTAGTTTTTAATTTCTCATTTTTACTTTAAATTAGCTATTCAATATTTGGTAGCATTTTTCTCCATTTCTCAACTCTCGCATTAACTTTTTTCAGTTCTTTTTTATCACTTTACATGCTAATTTTTGAAAGAGGAAGATAAAAGCCATACTGATCATAATCGTATTCTTCTTCTTACTTTTTTTTAAATGCAGCTTTTGCGGCCATAACCTAAAATCTTTATCTAAAGCTTTTTTTTTAATTAAAATTTAGTTAGTAAATTTTTCAATTATAAACTAAGAAACAAATTATTATTCCTTTAAATGAAAACATCCAATCTATGATTAATTTTTCAATCATAAAAATAATTACTATTATTACCTGTTAATAAGTTAGTTTTAAAAAAGTAAATTAACTTGATAATAATATTTTAAGATGATTTATAGTAAGAATAAAGCATTATATAATTAGTAAAATATAATATTAATTGAGAAAATTGCTCATTTTAATGATACTTTCTTAAAATATTATTAAATAAGTAAAAAGTAATTTCAAATTTTATTTATACAAACAAGAAGATAAAAGAAATATGAAATAAAAAAGAACAATTCATATTTGTGTTAGATTAATAGTGTTATCTTTTTAACAAAATAATAGAATAGATTTAATAAAAAATTGTAAAAATATTTAAAATGTAATCTAATATGCAAGGCAATTAAGAGTGAAAAAAAGTTGGATATTACATTTTATTGCTTTAAAATTTATAATGTTTAATATACTTACTTATATTTCTGTAATTATTAGATGAATAGTAAATATCAAATAACATTACATCCTTCAAAGTTAACAAATATTATTTATTGGCTTTTGATTTTTTCAATTATTAATGTAAATTCACGTTAATTATTTTAATCAAAGTTAATTAAATTTAAGCCACGCAATTTTTATTGACAATAATATCTAAAAAATAGATAATTAGGTATTATAAAAATATTCATAAGTCAACTCTAAATTATCTAAAAGCTTGTTGGCATAAAGAAATGAGCTAGCTACAGTCAGCATTTTTGATTGACAAAGAATATACAGTAATTAAAAAAAAATTATCTTACTCATTTTTTATTAGTTTCGCATGATGATTTACCATCTTTATTATAATAAGGGTCCTCTGCAAGTAGAAGGATATGTGAGAAAGCAATCAAAACAGCCTGATTAAATTGATAAGTCGATATATTTTAAAATTGATCTCGAGAATAAATAAATTGAACGTGCTCCTTCAAAGTTAGATTTTAACAAATATCATAAAATTGTTTTATTTTCCGTAAATTTATTACCATAATTGATTAATATCATAATAAATTATAAATTAAAGCTGTTATTCAATAAAATTTTTAGATGATTCTCACTATTATTTTCTCTTAATGAAGAGACTTTTAATATGTATTTATTTTTAAATTTAGGAGATTCTATAAATTCATTCAGCTACTTAGGAAAACTAGAAATCATGGGGTTATTATATTACTTTTGAGTATAAAACAAAAATGAAAAGACAGTTAACTTTAATATTGGAAACAGCTCAATTATATTAGCTATTTACCTTTGCTCTTTCTTCTATTTACGATTCAGCAAGGAAAGAGCATTTATTAATCAATTAATAGTAAAAGTAAATACCATCTAATTAAAATGAATATTTAAGTTAATAAAATATCTCATTTACTACCTCTGATCCTGCAAAGCTAACAATAAAAAGAAGAGTAGATATTTATAAAAAAAGAAATTAATCTGCTTCATCTACTAGGCAAAATAATTAAATTTTGAATAAAACTTGCAATTTAGATGAAGAACCTGGTAAGAGATAAATGATAGATAATCCTTACTCCCAAGAAATATCCAAAAAATCCTCTGAAAATTCTAAAAAGTCTTAAGAAATAGTATTGGACTAATATCAAAATCACTTTTTTGGAAGATGTGTAAACAGGGTTATCAAAACAGTTATTAATCCAGAAGTATCTAAAGTGTTATAAGAAAATTAAGAAAATAAAAATGTAATAAAGCCTAAAAATGATAAGAGTATTGTCGAAACTAATGGCTAAAATGCTAACAAAAACTCTTAAACTGAAGTAGCTAGAAAGAATTTTAGGTATAGCAATTAAAATTATGGAAATGATGACTAGCAAAGTCAAAAAAATTACAATCAAAATGTCTCTTAAACAGTTCCACAAACTAGTATTCATACAAAAAGACCTTCGATAGTTACAGAGAGAGATCAAGGCAATTAAAATTAATATAATAGTATTGCAACACCACACAATCAAACTATATCGACTATCACACCTAGACATAGCAGTATAAGTGCACGTTCCAGAAAATATAAAAGATAGAAAAATATAAGCTTTGATTCTGGGAATCCTTCTTAAACATTAAATTTCTATGCTGAAAGTAACAAGAAAGGAAATATTGTAGATAATTAAATTGATAAGTTAAATAAAACAACTCTAACTTGCAATTATTATGAGCCTAATATATATATTAAAAAGCAAGAATATGAGATTTAAAATAATTCATAATTCGAATAAATTTAAAGTAAAGATCAAGACTTTTATCCTTCTTTTGCAAAAAACTACAGTAAAAACCAAAGAGTTACAACTATGAATGTAAATTAAAATATTACTTTTTCATTAAATTAACTTTTTATTAAAAAGGAAAAAGATTAATCAGAATGGAGTTTAGCTTCTATTAAATCTCCTAAAATAAAGCCAGATGATAACAAAAAAGAGAGCACCACTTAATTTTTTCCTCCAGAGCAGAAAAAAATAAAAATAATTCGAAAAAGAAGTTCTAAACTCTCGAATACTATGTAAATTATATTAGTCATAAGTTATTATTATTATTTTTACTATTAATTAGAGAAGACGAGATTGAGACTGAATAGTAAAATTAATTAACAGCTCTGTCAAACCAGAATAGTTCATCTTTGAAATCTAATCATTTACTTTCAAATCTATCGAATTTTAAATTAAAAACTGAAAATAATAAAGAGTAAAACTAAGAATATATTTAGGATTATAAAGAAGAAGCAAATACTAAAAATAAAAATGTAAATTAGCAAGAATAATCAAATATTATACTAGAAGAATAGTTAGAAACTAAAATTGATACATAAAAAAACTAGTTAAGCAAATAAGATACTTTTAATGCACATAAAGAGTAGTAAAAATAAAATAATAATAAATTATAATAGGAAAATATTTAACAAATGTAACACTCATCTTTACTTCGTCCAAATAGCTCTTAGAATAGTAATCAAAACTCATGCTCTCCAAAAAAATATGGGAATATTCCAAAACCTTAAAGTGGATAAAAGTCGGTGTAAAAAAATGTTGAGTTGCTAAAATGTAATAATATTAATGATTAAGATACATAAATGAAAGAGTAAAAGCCTTAAATTAATGCTTATTTTAAGTAATTATACGATTTCAACTTAAATAAAGAAATGCAAGATGATGATTTGAATGAAATTGAAAATATTGATATAGATTCATATAAGATAATATTGCAAAAAGAACCTAAAAATATTGAAGATGATAATCTATTCATGAGCAAAATAAGTAAAGATTCTAAAAATATTGAGATGAATACTGATCAAGAAATTAAAAAGTTAGATATAGATGTGGAAAATAATAAAATTTTAATTTAAGATAAGCCTAAATCTCTTTCTCCATTAAAAAATAAAACAAATAAAATTTAATAATAAATAATTAATCCGAAATAAGAAATATCATCATATTAATTTAATTAATAAATTAATGATAATTCGTTTCCCCAAAATAAAAACCTGTCAAACAATTAAAAAAGCTAATTTACAAAAGTTTTAGAATAAAATTAAATTGAAAATTCCCCTAAAAACTAACACTTGAAAAAAAATTCTAACAAATAAGACTCAAATGAAAAAAATACAAAAAATATAGAAAATTAAAATTAACAAGAACTTATCCCAATAAAATAATAAATTTAATAACAGGTTCAAGATAAATTTATAGATCATAATACATAAAAATTACAATAAAATAAAGCATATATTAAAGAGACTGAATAAAATGCACCAACAATCGAATATCATGATTTTGATAATTCTTTTGATAAGGATGATGTTGAAATTGAAATATTTTCTTAAATCAAAAAAGTTGATGAAATTATCAAAATTATTGAAGAAAAAACTTCCTCAGTTTTGCAAAATAATAAAGAGCCTGAATAAGAAAAATGCAGCCTTCAATAATTATAAAATAAATCAGATGAAATTAATTAAATAGACAACATTGATGATATAGAAAATTAATTACAATAAAACAATAGTTAACAGTATACAGAATAAGACTAACCGATTGAAAGTAACAGAAGTGGTACATAAACAAAAAATAATGATTAAAATTATGATTGGAATTGTATGAAAGATCCTAACTACAAACCTACTACAAGTCCTCTTAAAGAAAGATTATACATGGTAGAAGAAGAAACATCCTAATAAAATCATAATCAGAAAACTAACGAAAATGATAACAAGTAAAGCGAGTTAATGATAGTTATGGTTAACAAAAACTAAAATATTCACCATAAGAAAAAAGAAAAACCTATTTTAAGGCAAAGAGATGTATTTTCTGATGAATTTTGGAATCCAGTCACTAATCCAAGGAATTACAAAGTGACAAACTAACCTCCAAATCTAAATGAGACTAAATAAAATAATAAATAAGTTTTAGTTCCTGTAAAAGTAACCTGCTAAAATGATGACTTGGATCCAAAAGATGGTGATAAATAATAAAAATAATAAGCATAAAAAAATGACAATAAAGTAATAAATGATCAATATAAAAACGAAAATAAAAATATTTAAAATTAAAGTTAAAACATTTCTTACTAAAATACAAATCTTTTTGATGAGGTGAAAGATTTTTTCAAAATTTAAGTTAGAGGAAATATGTAAAAATAATAATAGCTACAGCAATAGCAGCAGCAGCACTTTGATAATAACAGTCAGAATTAAAAAGATGTAAAAGCAAATAATAATTAAATTTAAATATAAAATAATTATGATGATTGGGATGATTATTATTGATTGATTTTCAATTAGATTAAATTCAATAAATTAATTTATTATTTTAAATATTTACAATAAAATAAAATATAAAAATAAATTAAATTTTAAAATATAAAAAATATTAAATATAAATTTGAATAATTTCAATTAGAATTACATTCTACTAGTTTAATCATTTTTAATTGTAAAATAATTCTATATTCTAACTTACTACTTTTATTTTAAACACAATTATACTTTCTTTCTAATATTTTACTCAATAAAGTTAGCATTCTCTATTTAATTACCTTTTTAGAATTTAATAAGATCTTAACTTAATAATTTATTCATTTAAAAATATGAATCTAACTTTTTGATGATGCATAAATTAACATAAACAATAATATGTTATTCTATCTATTTTTTTGGGTACCTTTTTAAAATTTCAATCAAACACTTTATTAGTTTATAAATAAATTTACTAGATGACCAATTAATTATTGATATAATCAGCTTTTTGTTTAATTATTAATTGAAATATTTTAATAATTGTGTATAACTATGAAAAAGATAATTTAATTTTAAAAAATAATTTTAACACTTTTTGAAATAAATTTAAAAAGTAACTATTACTTAATTTGAAATACAATCTAAAAGAAGATAGGTATACTATATAAAATTATCATTGGCTATAAATTAAGAATTTTAGAAAATACCATTTATTTTTTCATGTAGTTTTTTATGAAAATATACTGATAAATTTTGAATAAAGAAATAACATTTTAATACTTCTCTCAATATAGTAAATACATACATACACAAATAGGAAAAAAAAACTCATTTAAAAATAATTTATTTAGCTTACTGGAGATTAATTTATTAGATAACAAATTCTTTATGAAATTTACATGTTAACAAATATTCTCAAAAAATTAGGAGACTAATTGTATTGATTTCGAATTAAATAAATTAAAACTCATTCATTTCATTCATTCTATTTGTTATGTATCATTGATATCGATATATTCTACATCTCCTTCTTTTTCTTAGGAAATATTTAATGAATAGTTATTTTTCATTTATTCTTATTGAATTTTTAAAGAGTTGTTTCTTGACTTTGAGTAGGTCGCATCAGGTCTTTCTCTGTTCTGAGCTTTTTTGTTACAATTTTCTCCTTGTTATTTAAATTCGCTTATTGCACTATCTCTTTACTCATAATCATTATTAACGTTATTTTTTTAATTATTCTTATGATCTTAGTTTTTACTTTAATCATTGGTTTTCTAAATAACACTACTTTTTCTTTCTTTGTTATTTATTTAATCTTATTGATATATTTCTTGTTCGTCATCATCATCTTATTATTCTTCTTAATTTTACAAGTCATTGGTTAAAATAATTTACTTATTAGTATCAAAATTAAGGATATTTTAATCTTCTAGATTATTTTGAGGACTTCCTTTAGATAGATTATTTCTTATATCCATTTGTTTTTTTGATGACTGAGGTCTAGCAAATTAGTTTGAGAGATTTTTTTATCTTGTATTTTTGGAGCTTTCTCCCCCATTAGTTTCATTTAAAAAAGAATTTTATCTCTATTATTGATTTTTCTATTCTAAATCTAATTATTAGTGTTGAGGGATGTTGTTTTGTTGCTAAATTTTAGAATTGTCTTCTTTTTCTTTTTATGAATTTTTTTAAGACATTTAAATGTTTTCTTTTTCTACTTTATTTTAATCATCTATGCTTCTTTACCTTTATTCTATTTTTTACTATTTTTGAAATGCATTAGATTAATTTTCATTTACATCCTAGCTTGATTCATGCTTTGAAGGAATTCTACTTGAATTTTTTGATTGAATTTCTTAGCTTTAAGTATGAGTTGGGCTTTTATCTAATTTTTGATTTTTTCCATCTTCGTATTCTAATTCAAAATCTTCTTCCTCATATTTATTTACAACTTGGAACTTTTTACTTGGCAGATTAGAATGATTTGCTTTTTCATTATGAGAAAATGAAGATTAAATAGGTTTTTAATGATGTTTATTGAAGGGCATTTTTTCTTATTTAGACTCATCTTCACTTTCATGACTTTCATCAATCTTGTCAAGTAATTCTTTTTTATTTATCTAATAATCTAGATTATCATCCTCATAAATTTCTATCCAAGCTTCTTTTTTCTATATTATACTAAAGTCATTTGAAGGCTATTGAATTATTTAGTACTATAATTGTTTTTTTCCCTAGTCTGGTATTTCTATTTCATTTTTTAGACTCCATTTATCTATTTATTATTAAATAATTATTTTATATTTAATTTTGAACAAAAAATAAATTAAAAAAAACTTACCTTTTTTATCATAAGTGAGATTTTTGCCATCGTATTTCCACATAGAAACTAAATTTTCACAGAGTATACTTAAGGCTATTTAAGTGTCCTCAGATTCAAAATACGGGCCATAGTCTTGAATAATGGGCTCTACAACTACATAGTGAGAGACGTCTACTAGTTAATCAATAGATTTAAAATTAAATTACAACTACTAAGTATTCGTATTTAGTAATGTAGCTAGCATTCCTTATTTATTACCTAGAGATATATACACAAATTTTTATAATATTACAAAATTTTCTTCCATTTCTTCTAATTTTTTATTTTCCTTTTAAAGAAACAATTCTTCAGCAGGATACTCGACTACAAGCATATTTTTCAAATTCTTTTAGCTTTCAGAGCTATTTTTAGATGATGGAAGTGTAAAATTGCTTGAATTAGCGGAATAAAAATTTAATTTTGTAACTATTCCTTTTGGGTGCAAAGGTGTCTAAATTTATACACTATATCCAGAAAAATTTTGTTCTACTACAAGACATTTCTTCTCAATATCAATACTTAGAAGAGGTTTAAATTTTTTGAATAAAGTTTCTAAGTTATATCTCAACATTTGTAGCTTTACTTCATTTAATTCTTGAGGATCTTAATAATAATACTTTTTAGACTCTTAATGAGTCTAATACTTAGAATCATCTTCCTTAGAAAAGATTTCTCTTAAGTTTGATAAATTTATATAAAATCTGCATTAATCTTCCATTTCAACTCCTTATCCTGATTGAATATCTTAAAAAGCAATAATTAAATTATAAGTATTTTCATCAAATACACAACACATTCTACCTTTTTGAATAGCTGAAACTAAGCTGCTCTTAGCTCTTACAGCGCTATTCATGTAAGGAGAAACAATTTGATACTCAGCTGGGATTTAAGTAGCAGCTTCTATGTTTCCAGACTGTGAATGAATCCTCCTTTCTTAGGATTTCGAAGGTATTTTATTTACATAATAAGCAGATTCACCTCTTTTTTGCTAGCTTAGTTAGCTTTTTTAATTGTTTTTTTCTAAGTTTGTTTGATCGTCTTTTATTGTTTCGAAGTTCCACTTTTTATTTTGATTTTTTAATCTTTCATTTTCTTGTTAACTTAAAACAATTTTTTATTTCATTTGTTCTAATTTTTATTTAAAATTATTATTGTCAATTTCTTAGCCATTTTTGCTAATACTTTTTTCACTTGAATTGTGTTTCCCTTAAGTTAAAACTTTTTAACCTTAGCCGTTATATAGAGTATTTACTTTATTCTTGTCAAATTTTGGATTTTCTTAGTGACTGTTAATGCCCTCTAAGTTAAACATTTTTTCATGCTTTTCCTTGTCAGCTTATTTTAGATTTTTTGTGCTTGTAGATTTTATTACGAAACTCTTCTTTTAATTTTATTATTTTTCTCTTTACAAGTAATCTTAGTACCTATTCGTTGCTTCGATTACTGTATCTGGAATTAACAATTTAGGGTTAACTTTATACTTTCTTCCACCAACTTCTTTCTTTTAAGGTGGTGAATCTAATATTTCTTAAGCTGTCATAGGTCTTATAGTGCTTTGCTTTGTATACTTTCCTTACATTTTTTTAGCTAAAAAGAATGCAGGATGATTTATATCTACTGCTTATTGCTCCTTAGAATCTTACCCAGACTTGTGTTGTGTTTAGCCAAAATAAAGATCTGAGCCACCTTTTTATCTTTAATTTTAGTTACTTTTATTTCTCCTTATCAACATTTGATCTATCTCAAAAATATTTATTTTCTTCTCTGAGCTTTTAGGTGATTCCATTATATTTTCAATTAAATCTGAAGCTTTCGAATATTTAATGTTTTTATTATTATTTTGCTCTTAATTTTCAAGAGTTTTTTATTGCTTAATCTTAAACTAGTGCATTTCTTTAAGATTATCAAAATACATCTAATTGTATATTTGAGGCTTTTTTTGAGAAATACTTGATTAATTTTTTAAACTTTGAGGAGGTTATTATTAATATTTATTTTTATATAATTCTATTCTGGCTTGAGTGTTAGGTATATACATTTCATTTTAACCTTCTTCTCCCTCTTCATCACTATAGAGCAGATTATATATATTCAAGTTAATCGCCTTCATTTGTTATTTATAGTCAATCACAGTTCCTTCAAGCTATTTTTTTAACATTTTTCTATTCTTCACTTCTTCTTATGGAACAATATTTTTCCTTTGCAGCTAAATGTCATTATTTTTAAAGCTCTGTTTTTGTTCTTTTTATTCTTCTGCATTAAATTCTTCAATAGAATTTTATGTATTAATTGCAGCTAATTCATTATTATTATAATTATTTTATATGGAATTAAGATCTTTAGAATAATATTCAGGACTTTCATTTATCTTATTATGAAATTTCTTTTACTTTCCTTAATCCATGTTATTTGAATTGCTAATATGCAACTAATATTTCTAAAATAAATATTAATTTTAAGTTTTGTAAATAAGCTAAAATTTACTTTGTTCACAACTTAAAAAGATTAGTAAAATTAAGTTGTCAATGGATGATTATCTCCTAAATATTCTTTGACAATCGTGTATGCATTAAAAAAATTCTTAATACTTCTATCAAAAAGCTTAAAATATTATTCTTCAGTTGCCAAATTATGATATGCAATTCCTAATTCTGTGGCAATATCTTAGAATTCCAAATTTATCTATTTTGTTTGTTCTTCTCTTTAGTAAAAATCTTCTTCTAATTTACTATTATCTCCCATTGAGTTTGATAGCATTGAATTTTTAAAGTTCTTCATATTTAAATATTTTTCTTGGTGTGATTTCTTTTGCTCGAAGACTTTTTCAAATTAATTTTTAAGCTCTTTCACTGATGCCTTTGCACATTTAATAGCTTCTTAGTGCCTATCATACAAAAACTTATCAATAATTAATTAACAAATTAATAGAAAAATATTACCTTCCCATTTCACTAAGAATTGCGCTTTTATTTAAAAATGTTATTCCCATATTCGTTGTTGTCTAATTTTTGCCATACACATTTTCAGCTTTTTCTAGTAGTTTTAAGGCTCTTTTCTAGTCTTTACACTTACGAAAATAGCAACTCAAGTTGTTGTAAGTTAAAATTTACATGTCTGGAAACCCACTAAAAGTTTATACTAATATATCACATTCATTTAAAATAATGAGACTCATATCTAGCTTTTCTTGATTCAAAAACGAAATTGCTACTTCAATCAACTACTTCAAGCATTTTCTGAAATATTATGCGAAATTCTTCTAATTATGATGATTGAAATACTCATCTAAGCCTGTTGTTTTGATTTAAATAATCCAAAATTAAATTAAAAAGCCATAAAAATGTTAAATTTCTACTACAAAAACATTAAAGAAATTGTAATAATTTACATTTTTTTAAGTCTTTTAAGCATTTCTCTATATTATCTTAAGAACTTTATACTTACTATAATATTTAATCTATTAAATTTTAATAATCCTCTTCTTTGGTGGCCTTTTCAAGCACTATATTACTAATTTTATTAAAAAAGTAGATGCATTTCTAAGCATATTACTTTTACTGGCTTTTTGATATTATAAATGCAAATAAAAAATATTTACTGCTTTTCTTTTACATGATCCTCTTCTACTCCATACTATTCAAAATCTGAAGAAAATTCTTCGATGTGCTCAGACATTTTATCTATAAATCAGCTTAGTTACAATGGCTTGCTATTATAATAATAAGATTAATTACAGCTAGCTAAATTGATATGATATGATATATTTTGCTAATTATTAAGTAATTATAATTCAAAGAAGACTTGATTTATATTTTTCAGTTTTATTTAAATATTGATAATTAATTAATTAATTGATAAATTAAATCTTATAATTAAGATTTTAATTAAACATAAAAATGTAAGAAGTAATAATAGATTTATCATAAAATAGTAGTTTTTTTATATTAAATCATTAAAAAATAGTAAAATATTTTTTAACCTTTTAAAAAATAAGCAGTTTAACTGCTAAAATTATTTTAAATTATTTTTGTCTTTCTATGTAGTATCAATCTAAAAAAAATAGTAGCTGCAAAGTTTGAATAAAAAACATAAATTAATTTAGATGATATCATAATTATTTCTTTAAATTATTTAATTAAATACTTGTAAATAGATAACTTACTTTCAATAACTATTGATTTTATAAATTAATATCAGGCTAAACAAAATTTAATTTTAAATAAAAATATAAATCAATTTAATTAATTTTTGATTTGATAATTATTCTTTTAAGTTCTATTATTAAATATATTTATAAAATAGTCCTACTTTTGTTCGTTATTTTTTAAGTAATTGTTTATTAGTAAAATAAAGCAGAAAAAAAGAAAGATTTTTTCCTTAAATAAAAATTAATTTTAAATTTGATATTTGTTTCTTTTAAATTTTACCATTAAATACTAGAAAAGACTCATAATGTTTATAAATAATAGGTAGTATTTTTTGTTATTATTTTAGAAATTAAGCTTTAGCAATAGATAATATATTAGCTTTAATAAAAAATACATTAATTAATTACTAAAATAGATACGTTATTTATTTTTTGGTGATTATAAATAAAACCATTTATTAAAAATTGAAATAAGATATTTTATAATTTTTATTTATAATTAAATTTCAAAAGTTTTTTTTAGTTTTATCTTTTTTTTAGCTAAGCTCAGGTAAAACGTAAGAAGGAGGATTTTTAGAATGATTAATTGTAGACTTTTCATCTTAGTTTTAATTTATAGATAAAGGTAAATTTGTTTTAATTTAATGTTATTCTTATTCTGTAACTCTTTTACTCATTGGTAAGTCATAAATTTGTTAATAGGTAACTTCTTCTTAATTTAGATGCTAATTAGTCTTATTCTAACAGACATTCATTTTTAAAAAGTTTATGCCATTATCAATTGAATTGTTATTCAAACTATTTGAAACAATGCTTTTTTTCCTAAAAGATACTTATTAGCTATCTTTTTTCCTTTCAGCTTATTCTTATTTATTGAGTTTACTTAAATTAGCTTAATTAAATGAAAAACTCTCATGTTAATCCAAGTCTTTTCCATTTAAAATTTTTTATTAATAGCTTTTTCTTGCACTTTTTTCTGCACTTTCCTGATTTTTATTAGTTGAATTTAAATAATATATTCCTACTTTGTTTTTTCTAATTGTAGGGCTTTACTCAAAATCTTGTTCATAGTTTCTTCTCTTGTTATCAATAGTAGTGAATTATTACTATTATTAGCTTTACTTTTTCTACTAAACAATTTACATCATTCTTTGATTTATCAAGTCGAATTTTTTTGTTTTGATTGTAGAAATGTCTGAATAAATATCATTTTAATTTATTTCATTATCTTGGTTTTCTAATTGTTCTAAGTAAATTTATTAATTTTTGTTTTTATTAGAAATTTGTTCAATGCTTTTTTCAAAGTTTTTATTTTAGGCATAAGAATAATTTACTGAGCTACTATTGCTTTAATATATAGGCTATGTTTTTGATTATCTGTAGATATCAATTATATCTTAGCTGTTGTGTAATCCAGGAGATTACTCAGTATGCTTTAACTCATTTCTGTAATAATATTTTTGTTTGCTTATTCCTTTTTCATCTTCAAAAAAGTTTTTTACCTAAATAGAACCACTGACTTAAGAATTACCTTCTATATTTGCAGACTAGATTTTTTAAAAGAAAATTAAATTTAGAATTAAAGTTAAAAATAAAATAAAAAATTTTACAAAATCTTTGCAATTATATTTGGAAGCAGAAATAGAATGGTTTTTTTAGTAAGAATTTTATTGCTTCAAAATTTAATTTATTGTTAATGTAGATTATTCTGGCTAGGTACAGTTACGCTATTCAATAGACTATAAATAATGTATTGAATTTATATTAGATTAGGAATAATTTAGAGAGTCACCTTTTTAATACTTTGTTTAAGGTATTTATTTTTATATTTATTCTTTACTTTTAGCCTTTTCATATTTTATTTGTTCATATTACTATGCAATTTAACGAAACTCCTTTTGTTAGTCATAGCAAAGGTCCTCTTCTTCTTCCTCTTCATCCTTCTCTTTTAGTTAAAATTATTGTAACTACTGTGTATCAGGCAAAGACAGTTTTCTTTATCTCAGACTATCACTTCTCTACCTTGTTGTTGTATGACATTCATTTATTTTTGATTGCTAAATGTCATTATTTATGCTTGGATGTTACTTAAAAGTAGGCACAAATAACATTTAATTTTCGGATTGTTTATATCTAGTTGTTCTCATAGCACTTTATGCTCGTTTTTAAACTATTTTAGGTTTAGGAGGAATATTTTCAGTATTGAGGTCAGTATTAATGTGATTCTTAATTAGGTTTTATATTTGTTGTATGTTTAAATGTTGCTTTTAAGCTGTTGGAATATTTTTTTAGGAACTTTTCTTCATACAACTGGAGCTAGGCTTTTTATATATTTTATAAAAAGTTTAGATAAACTAGAAATGCTAATATATTTTAAAAAAATACTCTTTAAGCTATTATATTATGATCTTTTGTAGCAAAGTTAATCAGTTTATAACTTCCGTCTCTAAGTGAATCTCTCATTCCTTAAAACTCTTCTTAATTAATTTCATTTACGATTTCCTCATATTTAGTATCTTGGTAAACAAATGACTTGTTTCCTGGTAAAAGGCTTTATTATATCTTTATGCTCTCTTAACTGCCTTGAGGATTATTAATACACTTTGAGTTTGATAAAGGGAATCTAGTCAATCTTTTAATTATTTGCTTTTTTTACTGATAATCCTACTATTATTGATGAGAATTGATATGAGGTTTTTAAGTGTAGAGCTTCATAAACATTCTTCTATTTTCTTCTGTTATTTTAGCAGAATTTTGCTACCTCTTCTTGACTCTAACCAGTAGTTAATTGTTCTACTTTAACTCATATTTTTACTCCTTTAAAGTAACTATATAGTATTTATGAAATAATTTTATAAATTACAAGTAGCAAATTTAACATTAAATTAATATTTTAAGATAAAAATAAAAAAATTACTTTCATTTTAAACATCTTTAGCAGATATATCAACTATCTTTTTATATAAAAAATTATTTTCTTTTTCAACATTGTTATACATTCTATATGATTTCCATGGCATATTAGTATAGGTCTTCTAGAATAACTAAAAAAGAAATAATTTAGGCTGGATACTTTAAATTAAATAAATGATAAAACTACATCTTTTTCAAATTAGGATTAGCTGAAATCTTTAATTTAGCTAAATTGCTATGATTTTTATTACTCGTTCATGTATTAACCTTGAAATTAAGAACTTTAATTGCTAAATTTTTCAGATATAATTAAAATTAATTTGATAAAATTTTATTAAATTTTTGTTGTGTTTATTAAATAAATATCAAATGATTGATTGATAGATTGATTGTTCGATGGTTATCGCCAACAGCTAAATAATTATAATTCAATCAATATCCATTATTTTGTTTAGATGGAATCAAAAAATTAAATATTTTTAATAAGATTAATAAAAACTGATAGAAATTATATTTATTTTTAAGCAAACATATAAAAATAGATTAAGAATATAAATTTAATATTTTAGAGTTCACTTGCAAGACTATTCAATATTCTTTGCTTAACTGCTTGTTTCTTTACTATTTTCTTTTTTAAGCATAATTTAGCTTTTAAGCATTGAGCTTCTTGATAAATTGCCTTAATTTTGTTATTTTTAAATAGATCTATTAACAACAAATGATTTTGATTCAGCATTGCTTGTAGTATTAGCTTAATTAAAACTTGTTGTTCTATCTAATTGGCTCTTTATTTAAGTAAATGTTTAAATAAATAAAAATATCTTAGATTTTAAATATAAAATTAATTACTTTCTTCTGCTATTAAGAGACAAAAAATGAATTTTTAATATGAAATTGTTGAGAATTTCTGTCTTTTACTTGAAATTCTTTTTATTTCATTTATCTTAATTAAGATTAATGAATTTAGTAGCTTTTGTAAAATGATTTATCATCAAACTGCTCCAAGTATTTAGTGAAAGAAATTTAAGAAATAACCTGATTGTTATTATTTAAACCTAAACGAGGCTTAATATGACTTGATTTTCTCATTGATTTATCTGTTATTTGAGATCTATCGTTTTAATGAGAAAAATTTGTATTTAACATACCCGTTTGGTTAAATTCCCTTTCAGTGGCATCACTATTATTGTATTAGAAGCTCTTGATAGAATTATGTTTAGTTGTATTTGATACAGCTGAGAAGGGTCTTTACTAATTTTTTGCATAATGTGATCTCTTAGATGTCAGTAAATTCGATGCATTTGTGTCGAAGTTAACACTACTTATAAAAGACTTGCTACCTCCTAGATTAACTTGCCTTTAACTAGTAGACATATTTTCATCATTATGCTATTTAACTTTTTCCATATTAAGAGGCATTTTTAGTACCATTTTTTTTTCTTCCGTTGTTTATTAGATATTTTAGGTATTATTTTTAGCTTTTGCCTATTCCTCTTACAAAAATTTAAGATATTCAGATCTACTAAGCTTGTGGTTTTACTCTTCTGATTATGAAGTAGGAATTCTATCAAGGTCTTAAAATTAACTATCATTATTTTTGAAAGACTTATCTGCTTTATTACTTTCTACTGTCATCGATTAACAAATCATGGCTATAACAATAAATTTAATTAATATATATATATTTTTATTTGATATATAAAATTTTAAATACGTGTTATCTTAGACTCAAATTCTTCAGTTGCCAGTAAAATAGAATGATATTCCTCTCTTTTAATGCTATCTTCAAAATTTTGTATAGTCTTAGATTTAGAAGACTAACTTTAATTCAAAATCGAACTGTTTTCTTTGTGCCTTAGGCTTTAAAGTTATGATGTTGAATTTAAGTTTTATGCAAAGTTATTTTTATTTATGGACATATTCAATGATGATTATTTTTCAGATTTAGATTAACAATTTCCTAGACGCTCAATAAAATCTAGTTTTTAATAAAAATTAATATAAAAAAATATAACTAATCAAATATATAAATAAATAAATAATTTAATAAATTTACTCTTTGAAATATTTTGCATGTGCTAAAAATTGAATGTTTCAAAATAAGGGTTGTTAATTTTTTTTTGTTTTCTTATTATATTTAGATAAGAGTTTGGATCTTCAAACAGATTTTCTATATTCTGAACTTGCCAATTCAGTTTCTAATTTAAATAAAATATATTTATGTATTTTAATATTTTACTTTTTATAATACCTTAACAAAATTCTTTAGGAAAGATAAAAAATTCTTTGTTAAATTGTGATGAGATCCTAAGTGATCTCTAGCATTCATATATGAATTAAAGTAGGACAAAAATGCCATTTCTAAATCGTCGTTTTTTTCATATTCAATGCCTAAGTTGTGCAAGGCCAAACTTTAATTTTAATGAGAATACAAGAAGGATTATGACTTTTTTCTAGTTTATCCGTCTGTTATTTAATTAGCTAATTTTTCATTAGATTCACTGAATGCTAAAATAGACTGTTTGAAAAATTTTATTGCTTATTCATTACTAAAAAAAAAAAAATTAATATTGTTATTTTTTTATTTAAGTAGATAGTGTATTTATTATTCTTTTAAAATTTTATATTAAATCTTGATGTAAAAAATCTTTTGCCAATTTTATGTTATTTATTTACTCGTTTAATTTAGAAAGTAAAGAACCTATGTTAAGATAAGTTAAACCTTTTAAGAAGGGCGACCCATGCTAATTAGAAATACTTAAAGCCTACTCGACGACTTGAAATGCGCTGTGATCATCTCCAACACTACGAAAATAGTGTCCTATAAATAGTAAGCAAGTAATTCTTATGTGATGAAATTATCCATAATTGTGAGGTTGTGTTAGATCATCTAAAAATATCAATAGTTCAATTGCACTTTCATATTCTTTTTAATGAAGTTATGTTTTAATAATCTACAATAGTTTGCTCAAGTAAAGCTAAGCAAATTACTCAAACAAATAGTTTGAATAATTTTATTTTACCTATTTTAATACTTTTATAAATTTTATTAAATGTGTAAAATAGAATAAATGTTAAATAATAATAATATACAAACAAGTTACTTTCTTTCATGCGCTCAATATTAGGAAATATGATATTTTATTAGATTGAATGCAAACAAATTTCAAAAGGCAACTAAAACTTTTAATTAACTTGCTCCATATCATCTATTTTGGAATTTTATGTTTCGTTATTCATAAAAAATTGTGTTTTATTAATCTTTATTGAATCGTTATTCATATTAGTGTAGGCTTATATATTTAAGTTATCACTAGTTTCGCTACCTTTTTAGAGCTAATCTAGTTCATTACTACCCATAGTTGGTTAAAGGCTCATTATTTTTAGATTAATTTCAGATAAAATGAAAATTTATAGCAAATTTTATTCTATGATAATATTATAAGTAGAAGTTATAATAATCTCCTTAAAGTGTTTATTTGTTTTAAGTAATTCTTATAATAAATAATTTAATTAATTTCGTTTTATTTGTTGTTAATGTTTAAATTATTTTCTTTGATTACATTAGGATTTGTTTGAGAAAGCAAAACAAATAGCTTTTAAAATAATTTGGAATTTTGTATTAAAGGCATTCATAAAAATAAATAACTAAATATAAGTTAAAACGATTATAATTTCAAATAAAAAGTAAGTAATCTATTTATCTATCTATTAGTATCTCAAAGGCAGATCAAATAAATAAACATAATTTAACCATATTTTTCAACTGAAATCGTGCCTGTAAATACGATTTTTTTATATAGAATTTCGATATTAGATTTTTAAAATATGAGAGTAGACAGTAATTTATTTAAATTTTTTCTGATTCATATTAGTTAATTTTAGGAGATATCTAACTTCGATATTCTATTTTAAAAGTATTCGTATATATCAATATAAGAGTATCAAGCTACTCTTATCTTAAAGCTTCATATAATTATTTTATAGTAAATAATAAATTATTTAAAAAGAAACTGTTTAATAGCAGATAAATTAATATTTATTAAATTTATTTTCCAAATTAAAAAGTATATATAAATTTTATATGGATTTTTCCTTAATATCAAATAAAAATATAATATAAAAAACATAACTTTATATTAATTATTAAATAAATAAATTATCATTTAAATATAATTTATTATTCAGTTTCTTTCTTATAAAAAATTAAATTTTATTTACAATATAATTAAAAAATGAATGAAAAGTATAGATGGATTGATGAACGGATGGAAGGATGGATGGATGGATAGTTATCATTTTAGAAAGGAATTAAGACCTTACACAATATGAATTAAAATAAATTAATATAAATAATTGAAAGATTTTATTAATAATTATGACGTGATTAATAGTTTGTTTGTTTGTTAGTTTGTTTTTTTAGCTGAGAAAAGTGTAGAAAGACATCACTAAAATATGGTGTATTTATTCATAAAATATTTTATATGCTATTAAATATCAGCTACTTAGATTTATTTTACTTCAACTTCGTTAGGTTTTATTTCCATCAATATGAAAAGTTTATTTTGAATACATTTACCAAAGTATATTTTAATGGAAAATGTAAAAAACCTTTAGTAATTGATCATCTCGTAAAAAGATTTAATTTCAAACAAGTATTTAGGTTATTAAAATCCTTTACCTTCTATATTTTTAATATCAAGATCTTTTTTAGAAAAGTCAGTAAATATATTATTTTTATCTAATTCTTCAAGACTTTTAATAATTTAAATATAAAGCTCATCATCTTAGTTTTTAAGAAATTAACAAATTAGATCATAATAATTTGTCATATGTTTAATTTGATTTTAAATAGGCATCTAATCAATTTCAAAGCTGTAAACTGATTTAAACATAAGTTTAATTAGATCTTAAAAGCGTATATCTTTATTTTCTTTAAAAATTTAAGTATTATTAGAATCAAGAGCTTACTTAAATAAAATGTCACAAAATAGAATTTTTGATTAATTTATAAATTTTGGTTTAACTACAATGCTAAATAATAATCCATATCTTTTTATTTCAAAAGCAATCTGCTAATTTATCATATCATCATTTAGATCGAAATTAAATTATGGCTAATTTACATTAAGACTCTCAAGATCATTTGGATCTTTTCCTATAAGATTCATAAAATATACCTACCTTAACAATTTCTAAATTTAACAGGTATAGCTTTTTAAATTCTTATAAAAAATATCTAATTTATCTTAATCAGTTAAAATAACTCGAATTTATATGGAATGACTCTATCTGTTGAAGATAGTACCAATAAAATTAGATTCAAAGGGTTCAAATATTTTCAAGGTTTAATTCTTAGTAGGGTTAAGAATATTTTCTAGTTAAGTAAAAAATCGAGAATATAATGTCTGAAGAGTCTTTAAATATGTATACATATATTAACAAATCTTATCATTGTATTAATATTAGTTTTAGAAAATGTCTTAAATGACATTTATCTGCAAGTTTATCACTCTTGTATGCTATTAAACTTTTTATTTTAAATCTGAAATTTAGTTTTCATAAATTTCTTTTTTTTATTTAATCTACTCAGGGTCTATATTCTATAATTGCATTTAATGAGAAATACTTACATATTCACTTATTTTTTTTGAAATTGTTTAACATTCTATACAGTCTTAAATATAAAACGTTAGCGAAAAAGGCATACTTTTATATATTATGAAAGGATTAGTTGCTATTTCTTAAAAGTAGTCATTTTAGTAGGTTTAAACCACTCTTGTAATATACAAACACACTGATCTATTTTATGGTAAATGCTTGATACGTTTACTAAAAAGTAAAAAATCAAAGTAATCTTCCATGTAATATTATTTGTTTTTATTGATATCGTAATTGATTAAGTAGAGTATTAAACAAAGTAGTTCTAGCTGATGAACTATAGGTTCATTCATACTATAAACTTGATTCATGAAAAAATTATCTTCTAGCATTTCTGGACTATACTTTTGTTATTCTTTATCTGTTATTTTCTAAATGAATTTGTTTATAAAATTTAATAAAAATTAATTAATTACTTTGATAATTTGTACTTAATAAAATGAGCTTTCATCTGAAATTTTTAAATTAATTTCTTTCAATAAGTCTGTATAAAGTATATTTGAGAGTCTTTTTTTAATTAAAAAACATTTTAGCAAAAAAATCCTTTTGTAACTTTTAGTTCTTGATGAAAATAATCATTTTAACTTTAAAAAATTCAAATAAACAATCTTAAATGTCATTAATATATTACCTTGCCTTAAATGTTTCTTATATCTAAATTTAATGCTGAGAAGAAGGTTTCTCAAAAAATTACAATTCTAAATCAATATAAATCCAGTTAAAGCTGACATTTTTGACTATAGGTGAGTACCTAAAGAAATCCTTTTACTATTTAAAGAGTGCGCTCATATGATATATTTTATCAATCAGCTTTTGAAGTAAAATATAAGGATTTATTTCTTTAAGCTCATTTTTATTGAGTTAAATTTTTAAATTTTAATTATCTGTTATAAAGTCTATTCCCTGAATTAAATAATGACTTATTCTTTCTGGCTTTTACTCTTCTCTTGAACCTTCTTCATTAAATTATATCTATATTACATATTGATCTCTTTCGTCATACAAATTTATATTATGTATTATTTCTTATGTCTTTTAAATCTGCATTTTAGCTTCCTATTTATTTTCAAATTATATTTATAAGGCTTAAATTTTATTGAACTCTTCTGATGTAACAGCAGAAGTATACTAGTAAGAAATCCTATTAAAAGTGCTATTTTCCTATTATATTTAACGCTTCCTTTTCTAAATATTTACTTATTTATTTTCCTCTTTTTCTCAATGTTTTGAAATTTAATATCTTTTTATTAATTAATTTCCAACATTCAAAACAAAGAAAGTAATTATTTATATTCAGTTTATGCTACTAAATTATGAACTAAAAATACTTCTCTTTTTTGTATATTATTAGTTGTCACTTGTTAATATTTTCATAATTTTGATAAATTTTATATTACTACAACAAAAAAATTTTTAAATACATACAGATTTTTTTGATTGTTTCAAAAGATATTTAAATAAATATGTACATTCTAAAATAAATAAATAGATAGATAGATAAATAAATAATTTATGTTTATTTGTTATAATTATGGTTTTCTTTTTTCAAATCTTAAAGTAGTAGATATTAAATTTATCATAATTATCATTTTCATTGTAAATCCTTGAATACAATTTAATAATTATTTTTAATCTCTCTTAATTAACATCACCTTTTCAAAAAAATTTTTTATGCTTATTAATTCAAAAGATTTTGTTTCAAGCAGATCTCTTGTTAAATAACTTCTTATAAATACAAAACAAGTCCATTTTATTAAATATTTACACATTTTAAATTTTTCAAAAGAATTTTTAAAAGATATTTAAATAAATATGTACATTCTAAAATAAATAAATAAATAATTTATGTTTATTTGTTATAATTATGGTTTTCTTTTTTCAAATCTTAAAGTAGTAGGTATTTAATTTATCATAATTATCATTCTCATTGTAAATCCTTGAATACAATTTAGTAATTTATTTTTAATCTCTCTTAATTTACAACACCTTTTCAAAAAAATTTTTTTTGCTTATTAATTCAAAAGATTTTGTTTCAAGCAGATCTCTTGTTAAATAACTTCTTATAAATACAAAACAAGTCCATTTTATTAAATATTTACACATTTTAAATTTTTCAAAAGAATTTTTATTAATATAATTTTTATAAAAAGAATAAAATTTTTATATTATCAAGAATTATTAATTTATTTGAGCATCTGTATCATTACTTCTTCATGCTGCTTATGAATTGGAATAAATGTTAGAGAGAAATTTAGTTTAGAGACTTATTCTATTATTTGCTATCTTACTTTGCTATCTATTGCTAAAAGCATAACCAAAAAAATAGAGCAGAATATAATATAGTATATAATTTCAGTATTTTTCAAAGAATTAGCTGTATTGATGATATTTTAGTTAATTAAGTCTAAAAAGTCTTTTAAAGACAGCATAGGAAGCTAAAATCCTTGTAAAATAAGTATTTCATAATCATAACTATTCATGAAGTTGTATATCTCAGATTTAGCTTGGGAACTATTTTGATTTGTTAATGCACTTATTATATTCCCAAAATATTAATTATATCTTGAGAAAAGTCCTGACAAACCAGAAGAAACAAAGGATCTCCTTATTTAATAATCTATATTTGCAGTATCGGTACAGAATTAATTTGAGTCATATAAATTGCACAAATCAGAACTAAAATAATCATTTAAATCACTCTAAAAATTTTAGTCATAGTTTCCTATATTCTCTGTGTAGGTCACAAATGAGTTAATATAATTTCTAATTACATTTACGCTTTACAAACTAACTGATATATACTATGAAGTTTGAATTTATGGAAAGTATTAATTTTAAGTCATCTATTTCACAGAAAGCAAATCAGTGAATAGCAAAGCTGTGTTAGTTGCATAGATAAGCTATGTAGTCTTTTTTTACAAGGTTATACTTGGATTCATTTTTAAACTTTTGTTGTAAGATAGTGTCAAAATTACAGTAAACAATATTAAACATAGTACAAGAACAACAGTCAGCAAAAGCTAAAATTTTACAGTACTAACTGACTAACCCTAGATTGTAGAAGAAAATTATAGATTTGACTTATTCTTGCCTTAATTTTATATTTATTGATTTTGTTTTTATTTTTTTGATTGCTTTTTATCACCTTTTGTGTTTTTTTCTTGTATTTTATAAGAAAGTGAAATATCTTCAATATTTTTTTTATAGTTAAATTAAAACATTATATTGCTAAAATTTATTGATAGCCATTAATCATTTTCTTTATTCAAAGCAGTGTAACAGTTAGACAGCTTGCTGATTTCATATTAAACGTCATTTAGGTCTAGTTTAGTAACTAAAAAAATAATTTTTTCTTGGTATCTAGCTAATTAGCATAAGAAGAATTAAGTTATGACAAATATGCAAATTAGAGTAGATCCTACAATAATTCCACAAATAATATATCTCTCGCTTAAATTTGAATAAGTATCATAGAAACTGTCTGAAAATTATTCTTCTAAAGATTGAAAAGTTTGAAGAGAAGATAGAGAATTAGCAACTAAATAGAAAAGCCCTTCAATATTTGAGCGGTCAGAAGAAAATGCAAGTGAGAGCAAAGCATTAAATGTTTTCATAACAAACTCTAAAGGTTATACAGCAGCCTAAAAATTAAATTACCTTTTTAATATTAATGAGAAAAAAAGTTAATTTGAGTTATTTTATAAGAAATTAAATTTTACTGCCCACTGTAAATCACTGTGTTAATAGGTTATAAGTTACTGTTTGAAAGATAAAGAGAATACAGTATTGAATTTTACTTTGCCATATCAGAAAAATCTTCTCCAAATTGATAAATTTATTGCTATAAACTTGACTAGTATTTTTAAGTAATTTCAGAGCTATATATTGATCCGTCATTCATGCCAAAAAGATTTAAGCCTGTTATAAACTCTTGAATATAAAGTTAGTAGCTACTCTTAAATTTCTGAATTAGTCCAAAGTCATCAATAAGCTACTAAGCATCTACTATCAAAATAATAGATGCAGAGAGCAGTAAAAAGAGAATAATTGTAAAACGACCAACTTAATTTTGGTTAAATGTTTAATAAATAAAATATTTAATTAACGAATAAAATTTTACTTAATACAAGGTTTAAAAGATTGATAATTCTTGGATTTTTCTTGAATGCTATTGATTAAATTACATCATTGTCGGTACATTTAGTAAAAGAAGAAAGTGTTGTTATAGATGGTTAATTCTTAATTATATATTTATTGTTTATATTATCTTCTTTTTAGTCTTCAGATTTTAATAAATCAGAAACTCTCTAATTTGAGACTTAAGTTTTGTCGTCTTTAGAAACTTCTGAGAATTAATGTTAAAGGATTTCATTTATACCACCTGAATTGAACTTAAATACAGTTGCCTATTTGTTTAAACTAACTCTTTTCCATAATAAAGAGGTTTCTTACTATTTATTAGATTTGCTAGATTCTGTCATGTTAAATGTTATTGTTTATCTTTTGCTAGATTTATTTCTCGACTTTCTAATGCTGTTTTATTCCATCAAATTAATATCACTTATATTTAAAATACTTGATTAATTTTTATATAATTTTATAGGAGATTCCGGTATTTCTATTTGTGAAAATGATGATCTTCCATTTCTGTAAGAATAAATATCATTTTCTACTTAAGTAACTATTTTATTTGCATCATCTCCTTCTGCTTTCTAATAAGTTGGTAGCAATATTTCATTTGGTGATTTAGGACTAATTAAATTATTTAATGTAAAGTATTTATCTCTATTAGTGGGACTCTGAAGAGAGTTAATAATCTATATCTGTAACTCACTCTAAGAAATATTGTTTCCATCATATTAATAAGCTTGATTTTCTTAATTTTTAAAGTCCTTTGCTATAAACGAGCCTATTCCCTATCTTTCCTCGATCTCTGCTTTTTTAATAGAGCTTTAGTGGCTTTCTGATTCAAATGAAAATTCATTTTTTTATGCAGAGACTAAACTTTTATCTTAGTTAAAATATATTTACTAAATACCTCCTAAGATAGTATTTGTTGTATTTCCTTAATTATGATGCTATTCCATTGTATTTACAACTACTGGTTTTATAAGTCTTTTTGAATAAGATCTTTCTATTTCATCTATACGAAAAGTGTCATAACCACCTTTAAAAGTGTCAGAATCTTCTTAGCCTCTCGTGAAACTCAGTAATGGAGTGGAGTTATTATTGGTTAAAATGGGTATTTACAATTGAGAAGGATTTTACATAAAACTTTCTACCCTATTTCTTATTTTCAAGCTAACAATCTCATTTTCCATTGCTTATGATTTATGAGTTAAGCTATTACTCTAAGTTGACTATTCCTCAAGCTTTGGAATTTAAATATCAAGCTAACTAATATCGTTTATTTCTAAGACATAATATTTTTAGCTCACTTATTCTAAATCATTAACCATATAAGTAAACTGCTTTTCTATTATATTAAATTGTATAATTAATTTATTTAGGCTATTTTAGTCACTCCAAAACTATTATTTTTAAAACAATTTATTAGATTATATTACAAAGTTAATGAAATATTGCTTTTAATTTTTATTTAAATACCTATCTGTTCTTTTCAAAGTAAAGTTAATATTTGTGGAAAAAATTTTGTTCTCCAGACAAATCATTAAGTTAGCTCTGGTTCAATAATTTGTCTCCTCTTTCAGGTATAGATTAAGGCTGATTCTTTTTTCTGTTTTCATTTAATTAATTTGATATTTTTTATAAATTAATAGGCAGAGTAATTATTGCCTTTTAGTTATTGAGCTAATTTTCGTAATTAAAGTTGCTTTTAGAAAAATCATCAACACTTTTTAGAGATTGAAAAGATTTTATTTAATTGGAAGATTACGTCTAGATATATTGAAATAAGGAAGGCATGATATAAAAGATATTAATTTTATCAATTATTTGCTCAAGGTTCAATTTTTATACAGAGTTATTTTACTATTAATTTCAAATATTATTAAAATTTATTGAAATTTAAACAAACAATTTTACTTGCTTTAGTGTGTTTGTTTTCATATTTTTGGCAAAATCGAATATTTAGTGGTAGATTTATTCAGTTACACCTTAAATAAATCCTAGTGAATCTATAAGAATATATTCATTTAGGTTATCATATTTTTGGATGCATCCATTAAGCACAAAGTCATCCTTAATTGTGTTTATATAATCAAATTTTAAGTTAATTGGGAAAATAAATCCTTATTTATTTATAGAGTAAGTATGCAAATTTTAATTTATGTATGGAGAATATCCCTTAATAATTAGATTGTTCATCAATTGTGGATGGATTTTGTTAATAAATGAAGGAATAATATCATTTAGATTTTAAATTCTTTATTCTTCTTCTAATTTGTAACCAAAAAAGCTTGTGATTTTCTCTTTATTACTGTTTATTATTTTCCCTTTTGCTTTCAGAAAACTTGCTTGTATGGTTACAACATTACCTTTGATAATATCAGAATTCGTTATAAGCTCAGAATTACTGCAAGCTTCTCTTTTTACCAAATCTGCTGCTTTCAGTTCATACTAAATAGATTGTCTTATTTAATTGTTGACATAAGCTTTGTAAATAGCTACTATCTTTAAATAATAAAATTAAACTATAAATTTCTATATTTTAGCTTTTTAATTTAAGCAAATTAGAGTAAATTAGATTCTAATTAAGTTAGAAAAATTGAATATTTTTAATGTTTTAACACATTTATTTGAGTTTATAATTAAAAATTACCTTCAATAAAGAATAGCTATTCATCAAACTGAAGGAGTATTTTTTGTTATCAAACATAAGTATTGTCTAAATAGTACTAGTTATGTTATGGCATTATGAACTTAGTTACTACATTTCTAGAGAAATTTAATTTATTGTTAACTTAGCTGATTTTAATTTTTCCCAAAAGTTTATTTTGTTTTGAATAAAACTCTTTAGTTGAGGCAGTATTGTTTCTTAAGCATTTTGCTAAAATACGATTTACTAGAAATCCCTCCTCAAATGAAGCTGATTTGAATCCTCGCTTAGTTATTCTCGTTAAATTCTCTCCTCTATCATTTACTCTATTCTTTATTCGAGTAATTCACAAATAGATTGAAAATAAATGCTCTTATCTTTTCTCTAATTTACTATTGTTTTTAACAGCATGTAAGCTTGAATTGGGTTTTTTAAATACTTAGCCACAAAAGAAATGTATTTTAAAGAGATATGTTCTATTTCTTTTTTATTGTTAAATAAGATCTTTTACTATAAACTCCACTAAAATATACTGTCGATAAGTTGGATGATGCACTCATGCTAAACAGCGTTTTTATTATTTTTGAGGTCGATTGTTTTACAGTAACAATTATTAAAGTTACAGTTGATTTGATGATATGAAACAATCTCTAATAATTTGTACTTTGCGTTAGTATCGCTCTATTATATAGAACTTAACCGAAAGATTTCTTCTAAGTAAAAATCTAAATGATGGTATGTCCTAAATAAAAATAAAATTAATTAAAAATGACCATAAAATTTGTTTGCAATAAATTTGGTTTTTAATTAAGTACCACTAAAAATTATTAATTTAATTGGTTATAAATAAATAAATATCTTATTTAAAGATATCAAAATAGATTCCAAAGTAAAAAATACCATTAAAAGACAATAAATCTTTTTTTTTTTTTGAAAACTTTATTTAAAAAGTGTATTTTTTGTTATTATTTTTATTTCATATAAAAGAAATTTGCTTTACTTAAAGCTTAACACTAGATTTAATCTAAATAGAATTTTATGTGTTTAAGCCCTTATTTAAAAATGTAAATATGCCACTTAATTTTGCTTTATGAAATTAATCATTAGTGAGTTTACTTACTAAATTCAAAATTTTTTTGAACTATTAGATATATTATTAAACTAATTCATTAGAAATTTGTTATTTAATCAAAACATATTAACAGAATCTGAACATATTTTAACAAAATCTAATGTAAAAAAGATAAATTACATCATCAAAAAAAATTTACCTTCCAAAATTTAGTGAGCTTATCTTCATAATGCTCTCATATTTGTAAAACCATAGTACAAGAGAAAAAGCAGATGCTAGAGAGCCAATTATAACCATTTGATAGAGCATGTCGTTATCACTCTATTAGGGGTTGTATAAGAGTATGGTATATATGATACAAAAAACTTCAAAAAAAACAGACGTTGTTGCATAATAAATAATAATATTAGGATTTCTGAATGGTAGATTTGTTAATAAGTCATATATTAAAGTTACTACTGTAATTTAAATTATTGTAAATTTAATTTAGGTTGCAACGCTTACAGCATACGTAAAGAAAACAATAAGAAAATAGCATATTAGCTACAAAAATAAAATCGGATGAAATCTCCTTTTTAGCAATAATCTTTCATTGAACTCATAATTCCTGTAAAAAAAAATTAAAATTAAGCTTGTGCAAAATGTGAGGACCGTCCCTAAAGACCCTACAATTCTAATTATTAAAGGCATATTACACTAAGTGCTATCTCTATACTCAACTAAAAATCCTTGGCTTCCACACATCATAACTCCAATGTTCATCTCAAAAAAAGGTATAAAGAAAACCCATTAAAAGAATATAAAGAATGTATTTAGTAGTTAATTTATATGTGAAATTAATTGCTTATTTTTGCCTATCCATAATTTCCATTTAATTTTCATAACAGTTATGAATACTAAGTAGCTGATATAAAAAAATGAGATAAAGGTAACAAACGCAAAAAATATCAGTGTGAGAATAGAGTTTTCCTTAAAGAATAAAAGGTAAGTCATAGTGCTATTTACGTCTATTTTGTAAAGCACTTTTAAGTATTCGTTTTCTATAGTCCTCTTTTCATCTACATAAACGTAACCTCTAATCTGAAAGAAATGCCATACAATAAGTGCAACATACATCCCGATTGATATTGAATAATTAGGCTGATCCTCTATAATCTCTAATATTGTTTTAATGAACTCTTAAAAGTATTTTTTCATAACTTTAAATGCCTAAATTTATATAACTAAAACCCTATGATTGACAGACAGACTATTTTCTTGTTTGAATCTTTTAGATAATTTATTAATTATTTTTTTATTTTTTGTTTTACAAAAATGTTTGTAATTAATTGGTCAAATATATAATTTTTATAGATCAATATATAAATCGCAATAAGTTAAGTATATGGATATTATTTTCTGTGTTCCAATACACTGATTTATTAGTCAAAAGATAAATGGTATCTCTTATTTTATATTTATCCGTACTTACAGTCAATTATTATACTTTAAATTTATTAAGCTGGCTAATCAAAAGTCTATTTACTGTTTCATTAAGCATTTATTTCAAAAATTTTAACTTAATTAAAAAATTTGTAAAAAATATATGAATGCCTAACAATTTGTCTCGCATAATTAATATTCTATTCATTCATTTTCTAATAGATTAAATTAACTAAAAATTTTTGTAAAATGTAAAAGAATTAAAAAATTTACCTCAATTCTTCTATCAAAACCCGATTTAATTTTAATTCTGTTTATGCTTATTTTTTAATTTTTCTTACAAAAATTTTGAGCATAAATATTTTATTAGAGCAATTATAATTTTGTTTCTTTTATAAATTTGATTTAAGCTGGATTTAATTATCAATAAATTTCAAATAAAATTCAAGTTAAAATATTTATTTACTAACTAACAAATTGATTGAATTTGATATTGATAAAAAATTGATATTTACTTTTAACACTTTTTCTTCTCAAATTAATTTTAATTGTTTTTAAGCAAGAAAGAACTTTTTTTAATAAATATTTGTTCTTAAAAATAAAAAAATAACAATTAAATTTTATCATTGAAAAAAAAAAAAAAAATCAATCTAGTGGATAAGAAAAATTTTTAGTTCGTATCTCATTAAAATAATATTTAAACACATATTTCTTTCGAGTTATTGATTATTTCTTTTAAATAGTAAATATTATTGTAATTAAAATTCCTAAATTGCTTAACTGCGTCATATATAAAATCAATTATTTAAAAATAAAAATAAGCAAAAAATTTAAAAATGCATATGTTACAGTCATTAACTTTATAAAAATGTGTAACATTAAATTTAATAATTTAATCTAAATTTTCTTCCAAAATACTTTAATTAAATTATCGTTTTTAATACAAAAATACAAATTTTAATTTTCAGTTGTTAATTAGCAATTAATATGAAGCAACTTGATTTTTTAACTACTTAATGTTTAGTTTAAGAGTTGTGATATATGATAGAACTTTGTTGTAAATAGCTTCGCAGTCAAACTTTCCTTGCTCATTGAATATTTCAGCTGAAGATTCGTCATAGCAAGCCTTTATTAATTTGTTCGAGGCTGTTATAATGTTTTTCATTTCTTTTTAATAGTTTTAAAACGCATTAAACTAGATCATCTATTCTATTGAATTTAATACGTCTAAGGGATCATCTAAATTACACCTAACAATTTATTCATCAAAATATAATATTGACTGCTTATCCAGTATTTTATTATACATAGATAAAATTCTATTAAAAACCTAGTTGTACTACTTTTTGTAATGCTGTTCCTCATTTTAACTATCTTTTCGTTTATTTGATTCTTAAATATTTTACTTTTAATATGATACACATATATTTTAATTTGAAAGTTCAATATTATTATCTATTTCAAATTTATATCTAGAACTAGAAAATTATTTTAGATTATCCTTGCTCAGCTTTAACTGCTCGATTTCTTTTTCCAATATTTAAATTGTCTCTTTAGCTTCTTTATTACATCTTGTAAGTTAATATTTTTCATCTTCAAGAATATTTAATTTAGTTAAATACTCAAATGCTTTTTTGTCTAATATTTCATAGTTATTTATAAACTTCTCTAAATTTATATTTGAGAATTTCGTTTACATCAAAATGTAGCTATCTTTAAAAGATTTCAAGTCTTTCAGTTAGCTCATAAGAATTTGCTAATTTTCACTAATCTCTCGTTTTTGTTTATCTAGCTAATGGTTGAGTCTTTTCAACCACTCATTAGTGGTCTCTAATTCTGCATTTTCATTATTTAATCTAAATATTCTGCCTCTCAGCTCTCTAATGATTTGATCATAATCTTCTACAGTCTTTTTCATGATGGTAAAAGAAGACTCAAACAATTACTTAGATTTTAATATCAAATAATCCTTATCAGCTATTTTAAGCAAATCCTTGAGGTTGTAATAATAATTTTCTCTAATTTCTTCCATTTTCTGCTTTTTAGATACAGGTTCATCTAAAACTATAGAATTATTTTAACTACCATCTGAATCTTCAATTTGATTTAAACTCTTTTATTTATTTTCTGAATTAATAATTTTATTCTATTATTTGTAAACTCTTTATATTTCTAATACATTTCCTTACTTTGCTGGATTTTACAATAATTTTTATTCTATTATATCATCTTGGTTTTCTTTTTGGTTTTTTAAAATAATAGCATTAATTTAAGGCTTAGTCATCTAATTTATTGTTTAAACATCTTTATTAGTTATTGCATTAACTGATTAGCTTCTTTTGCTTTTGGATATTTAAGAGAATCTTTGGTTATTACTTTATGCATTTTAATTTAGCAATGTTTTAGGTTTATTTTTTAAAAAAGTTTACATATTTAGAGCATCTCTTTTTTCTTTTAATTATGTAAGGTAATTATTCTATAAAATAATTGTATTTCTTTTAGATGTTTAATTGTTTATTATAATTTAATCATTAATATCATCTTCTATAGTCTCTCCTACAACTTTTTCCATCATTAAATTATTAACAAGGCTTTTTGATCTCTTACTTTTTTTATTTGCACTTATCTCACTAAATGGCATTTTTAAAAAGCTTTAATGAAGCTTATTTATGCTCTCAGATTTTAAATAAGTTACTTATTGCATTTTTGTCCTGTGTTTTTCATATATTAAGCTTTTTTCTCTCACTATATTATTCTAAGTAATTTCATCATTAACTATAGAGTTGATTGATGTAGAATATGAAATTTATTTACTGTTATTGATACTATTAGGATAAAAATTAGATGCTTAAGAAGTTCTTTAAATTTGCTATTTTGATTGTTTTACTGGTTCCCTACTATTTAAACTGGTTTTCATTTTATTTTCTTTAGTAAAAATCAAGTTAGCTTAAATTTAGTTAAATAGTTTTTTATAAATTTTTAATATCCATCGAATTATCAATTTATTTGTTTGGACAGATTACTTTCAATTTACAAAATTTTATTTTAATGAATATTTTACAAAGTATTAATTGTTAAATATATTTTGTTATATTTTAATCATTAAATTTTAACTCAAAATATTAACTAAATTTTAAATATTAATTTAGATTACCTAAAATTAATTTAAAGAAATAAAGATAATTAATTTTAACTAAATATGATTGATGCTAGGTTAGGCATATATAAAATAAAAAATTTATACAGTTATTATTCATTTTATTTCCATTTGATAATTATTTGAGAAGTGTTTTTAAATAAATTCAGAATTTTATTTTAATATTTTTAAATTGCTCTTGTGATTCTAATATTAAATCATTCAAGTACTATACCCATTTATCTTTCTCAAATTTACTTCCACATTGCACAAAGAAACATTTTCTTACAGAAGAAGGAGGTCCGATAATTGAGAAGCAAGTTTCAGGTTCAGGTTCTAAATAGAGTTAAAATTTTTATTATGATAAGAAAATAAAAATAAAAATTAAATACTTTTTCTAAATGAAAGTGCAAAATGAGACTTAGAAAATCCTTGAGGGTCTGTTTCATAATTTGACTTTATTTGCTAAATCATGTTAATTGGCATTTTCCATTTAGACTTTACAGTCTACTTACCTTCTTTTTTACAGTTTATTTCTTTTAAATCATTAGCAACGTATATTCTTAGTTTACTGGATGTACCATTCTCTTTATAACTATTAATAAAAATAAATAAATTAATAATTTTAACAACTGAATTTTATTATAATCAATCATACAGCTTAGCGATAGATCCTTTGAAAACAAATTCTTTTAATTCATCAGTTATCAATGACTGTCTAGTTGCGTTGGATACACCTTTTTCAATATTTTTCTAAGTATTCTATATCATTTTGAAAATTTCTGGTGCTTTTTGAGTTTCTTTCAACAGTCTCTCTAAAAGCTATAGCGAAGATTCTGCTACGGTGGCTTTATTTTGGTCAGAAGAGCTAGAGATGATTTCTAGAATTCTTAGTGCCTAATTAAAAAAAATAATAGATAAATATCTATTTTGATAGTAAGTTATGGTGATATATTTATTTATTTACCTTCTAAGATATTTGCTATTTAGTAAGAAGTTTTTTAAGAACCTCATTCAAGTATGGTAAAGTATTTGAAGTGATTAAGCTTTGAGTTGTTAGTTTATTTAGAGCTAATTTTTCAATGAAATTTAATGCACATTCTACAATTTCAATATTTTCTAACTTATTTTATAGAGAAACAATCATTTAAGGCACTTACTTTTTGCATATCATTAACAAGACTTAATCGTTTGATGAAAAACTATCAAGTAGAGTGATGTAATCCTTGAAAGCTGAACCACTACAAAATTTATAAACAAATATTAATCTATTATATCAATAAATTCAAAAAATAAATTTTACTCTATTGAAATGGGGTCGAATGAACTTAAGAAAGACTCTAAAATTTTATCCTGACTAACTAATTTCAGATTATTTTTATTTTAAAGCATATTAATGATTATTTTAAAAGCCTTTGAGATATATTTAGAATCTTTCACTTTCATAATGTTATTAAAAAGGATACTAATCAGATTGGTTTTAAAAATTCCATCTAAAATTTAGTTCTGTGTTAAAGAAGTAAGATATTGCAATATTCTAAGAATATTAATAAGACTATTCATTTCTACCTTGCCTTCTTCAAGTATTTGAATTGAAATTTTTACTCCATCAAGCTTACAAAATTCTTAACTTATAGAATCAGATTGAATCACACAACAAATAATTTCAATTATTATTTTTGAAATTTCTTCTGGCATATTTATACAGCTAAATTTAAAAATAAATAAATAATTTTTAAAATAATTCTTCAACAAAATAATAAATAAATAACTTACTTGATGATTAATTGCAAAAAGCCTTCTTAAATTAGCAACTTGTAGCAATCTTCTCTTTCATCAACTTTTTTAATTACTGCACAGATATTTTGCAATATTTCTAGCGAGAAGGTACTTAATTCCTTATTTATCTCTCTTTTGTTGTTAAATATTTGTGAAATGCATTCCATAAATTTAGCTTTAACAATTTTCACTGAGTTTTGTTCAAGGAGAGATAAATTTCCAATAGTTTTCAAAGATTGTTAAATAGTTGAGTCACTCAAAGTAGTTGATTTTGAAATATTCACTAAAAGCTAAATAGTATTAGTAGTACCTACCATTTTTTTGGCTTCGTTATTTTTAAAGCAAATAGAATTAAGCAACATACAGACGTTTGAAATTAAATCATTGTCACTTTATATAAACTAGCTAGATACTTCTATCAATAAATTTAAGAATTAAGGATTTTTATTCAAAATCTCTGACTAATGTTTATCGTTGTTGAATACCATACTTGCAATTGCAAAACAGGCTTTACTGAAAACCAATGGGTTTTATTTGCATTAGTTTATCTTTTCAATTAGCAAAGGAGCTAAATAAAAGAACTTTGGTTGAATAGCACTGTTTTAACTTGCTTTTCCTAGGACATAGCAAGCTGATATTAAGAGGGAGTGATTATTTTCTTTAGTTTAGAAAATATTTTCGATGACTAAATTTCCTCCTTTTTCTAAGAATTACTAGGATATTTACTTGCTTGAGCATATTTTTGCTAATGTTTCTAAACATTAAATGGCACATTCTATATACTCTCCTTCAAATGTTTAACGAATTATACTTAAAAGGTTCTCAACTATGTTAGTTTAATGGATTAATTATAGAGCTGCAGGGAAAGGTCCAGCATAGCTTAAGATAATTGCGCTATATTTTAATCCCTCTGCTTGTTTGAAAAAGTTTTTTATTTCAGTATTTTTAACCAAAGTATTTAAAAATTTTTAAATAATATTGATAAAAGCAGCAACAACTTTTGATTTTTGAACTACCTTAGGATAGCAATACATATAATTTAAGATTTATAAAATGATATCTAGTTTGTATTCTTCTCTCTTTTTAATGTACTCAACAAGAGTTTCTGCCAATCCAATACTTTATAATTGCTATGCTTTTTCTATATCCTTGCAAAATGACTGAACACATGAGTGCAGCTATTTATTTGTTTATTAAAAGTAAAAATTTTAATTTCTTAGATATTATTTAAAATATTACAGTTGTGAGAAGAGCTGGTTCTTCTTTAGAGGCTTATTTGATTGGAATATTTTCAAGTTATTTCAAAAGCTGACTAATTTCAGAAACGGTGATATTTTTTAAATCTTAAAACTTTTGAAGATTAGCTAAAATTTAAGAATCTTATAGAGAATTTTCCTCTTATTTAGTAGAGCTACTTGAAAGCCTTTTTTAATCTATAGTTAATCTTCTATTATTTTCTTAGACATATTTTAAGTCCCTTGGATCTGAACCACCAATTATTTATACAATATTATTGCAGGAAGTTTAAATGCATTAAATATTAGGGTATATCTTTTTAATTGAAGAAATGTAAGGTTCAAACTATTTTACTTCATCAATAAATTGACTGATAATTTCCTTATTATAGTATCTTAAGCACGATTCAATAGTGTTCACTATTTTAGCACTTACCAAAACGCTCTCATATCTTTCATTTAAAATCTATTTTAAAAGTTTATTGAAATTAGATTTAGATTTGAATGGCTCAAGACTTTCTATTTAAGACTTATTGCTAGTAACAGCGTGAATGCTGAGCGAGATACTTTCTATAACTTAATCTTGTATTAATAAACTTCCTTCGATAGTTTTAATTGATGGCTTTTCAGGAACTTTAGCTAAACTTAGCAGATTTTTAAATGATTTAATTTGATTATTAATCTTTTAGCAAAATGATATAAATATTTTTTCTGCATTTAAGCTGCTGACAACTCTAGCTGTTGATCTGTCTTTTTAGATTGTCTTAATGCACTCAAATAATTACTTTAAAATCTTGTTTTATAAGATATAATTCATGTTTAAAATTAAAACTAAATTAAATATTTTACCTTTAGAGAGTAAGGGTCTACAAATTCTTGTTAGCTATTAAGTAGCTTTTTAACTAAATTAATAAGATTTTCAACAACATTTAATTAAATTAAAACAGTTTTATCAAACTCATTATCTGTTAAGCGACTTGTGAGTTCAAGGTGGTAGTATAAGAATGTAAGGAAAGAGCTTTTCTGAAGTATTTTTTCATTTTTTTCAAGTACTTACAGAGATTACTAGCTTGCATTTTTGAAAACTGTTTTTATTAATTCTGAATTCATGATATAATCGAAAGATTCTTCATTTCTAACAATACTGCTTAGGACTTGGCAAATGCTTGAATATAAATTAAAGAAATCGCTTTCTTAAACTCTCTAAGCTAAATTTTCTAAAATCAACAAAAATTTTTCGTTTTAAATGAGTATATTAGTTGGTGAGCATTACACGCTTAATGATAAGAATTCTAGGACTTTTTCAGAAATTTAAACAGATTAATTTTCAATCAACTCTAAGCAGAAAGTGTAAAGTTGTGAACTAGAAAATATCTAAAATTAATATGATTTAAAATAAATTTAGCAAATTAATAAATGTAATTTACTTTTTTTAGATTAGCTAATTCTTTATGAGTTTGCATGTTAAATAATTCAGTTGTTGTTTCAGGGTCTAAAATTTTATGGCTAAATTAATTAATTTGATTAAAAAGCTATAAATTTGCATTAATTGCTTCAAAACAAAGCAGGATAATTGATTTATCAGATTTATTTTATATGAGGATTTCATTTAAAATGATATTGGGAATATCAGACTCCAATATTTCAGTTTTGGTTTCTGTACTCTTATTTATTTATTGTGAAAAATAATTTAATAAAATAATTGTTATTTTTTAAATATACTTCTTATGAAAGAGAGGTGATCAAAGTCAGAGTTGCTTTCAATACTTCTAAGTCTTTTAACTTTAGGAATACAATAATTTATTAAATAAGCTATTTATTTGGCTTTAGGACTTAAGCTTTATCTTGAGGAATAAACCCATTGTAGCTATTTGATAGTTTTGAAATCTTTTTTATTATCTCAGGATCGTTAGTTTTCAAAGAAGAGACAATCTATTTGTTTGATACTATAGTGTTATCAGTTTTGAAGTTTTAAAGCAAATCGTTACAGAGCTGCTTAATTTATCTATCTGAAGAATGCTCTATTTGAACATTTTAGATTACATCATCTGCATTAAGAGAAGCTAACTGCTGTATGAATTTCTTACTAGCGCCAAGCATTTTATTTAAAACCATTAAGTAAGAGTAGCAAACTTATTTACTGGCATTTGCATTCTTTTCAAGGGCTTATATGATTATTACAAAGAACTCATTAGACAAGTATTATTCAAATATTTTGGAAGAACTTAGCTTTACTATAACATTGCAAGTATCTGAAATTAATTCTTCTATCTTGTCTTCTTAAATTCTTATGTTTTAGTTTTTGATAATCATATAAAGACACTCAAGACCATTTTCATTTAAAATAATTTCTTATGTTTTTTGAGATTCAGCAAGAGTCAAAAAACATTTTAAATTCTCACTTAACTAACTTTGTATTTTAGTGGTATCACTTGTCATTAATACTTTAATTTTTCTCAATATAGACTTAACAAAATCTTTGTTGCTCAATTAGCTTGCGCTTTAAGGAGAAATTTATGCCTTAAAATATTTTTATTTTTAAGTTTTTAATGTTTATTTAAAAATAAAATAATTTACCATCGTAAAAATTAATCTATAAAGCTGTTGGGAAACTTCATTTTCTTCTAAGGAATTCATCTTTTCTAAAAGAGTGAATAGTAATTCACATATTTTTTGCTCATTTACTAAATTCAGTGTTTCCTCTCTTAATATTTCTTCTTTCAAAAGTTCTTCGAAAGCTATAGCTGTATTCCTATTGTAAATAAAAATAAGCTCTCAAATTTGATATTATTATTTTTTTAAATTGATTTTACAGAACAATTAAAACAGAGTGTTATTTTAAATTTAACAAAGAAAGTATTTTTTAAATGAGTAAAGAGTCTGTAATTTGATAAAGGGCTTTTTCTTTTTAGTTAATTGAAGATTATAATATTCTAATGATGATTTATAAAGATCCAACAAGCAGTCTTTCAGAAACAAACAAGTTTCCAGTTAGTGCCAATTCATTTTCGTCTTGGATAATAATATATCCAATAAGATTATTTATTGCAATAATTATATCAAATCCTATCATTTGTTCTAAATTTCTATCAATGAGGACATAATTTGTGATAGATTCGAGAGAAGTACTTGAATTTTAAAGAGAAAAGTTCTTATTTGAAATATTTTATTCAGGATCAATTGATGCAATCAAATGTTTGAAATCTTCCTCTTAAAGTCCGGCTTCACTTTAAATAATTGAATTTTATTATATCTAAGTAATGCTATATAATTCGCTTTATTGCTAATGAGATGAATGGACCTAGAATGGGTTATTTGATTTTTATTTTAATGCTGAAATTGAAGTAGATTCTTCATTTTTCTAGAAATCGCTCTCTTGATAATTGCTTAAAATCTACAAAATTTCCTAAGCCGCTTAACGAATGAGTGGAGAATTATTCATACTTACTATGTAATTCATTAAGATAGGTAAAGCTTTTAATTTAATTAGGGATTCAGTTACTAATTGCTCTTACTGCTTTAAAGCTATTTCTAAAAATGAAAAACATCTAACTCCCAATTCAGCATTTATAAACAGCTCTAAATTAGAAATTATAAATTTGAAAGCACCTTCTTCTATCAATAAGTTTATTATTAAATCCTCCTGTTAAAATTATTTGCTAAGCTAAGTAAGCAAAACAAGTATGTCCAAAGATAAAATTAATAAATCAAAATCTTCAATGTTTTTTTTAATAAGGTTTAGGATGTTCTTTATCAAAGTAACTGCTGGCAAAGTTTATTATTTTCCTGATTTGTTGTTGCTATTCTATGTGCGAATGATTTTAACTTGAGGCTTGTTTTGATTTGATCTCTTAAGAATTTACAAAAGACACTTCAAGTGCTAACGAAGAGGATTCTTAGTAAATTTACCCAGAATATTTGAACTTAATTCAATAAAATAATCTATAAATCTCAAAGATGTATACTAAGATTGAGTTTAATCATTTTCAAAGAGCTCGCTTGTGTAAAGATAAAATAAGTTCATGGCAATAAGAATTTCTTCGTTTTCAAATTGATTATTTGGAAGTTATTCTAAGTCATTTATAAATGTTTTGCTTATCTTCAAACAAATTTAATGAACTCCCATTTCTAAACTTTCGCTAGGCAAAATACTAATACCTAAACCTAGTTTTATTATACTCATTTCGAGTAGAATGCTATACTCTTACTATCTGTCAGGTTCATTCTAAGAAACTAGTTCTTCGTAAAGGCCTTCAATTTATTCACTTACACTCATTATATCGTCAATAGTAAAAACAAACTACAAAATATCTTTGCTTGTTTTCAGTATTTTCTATTCTAACTTTTCATTACTCTCCTCAACTACTTTGTTCTCTTTTTTCATCTTAAAGATTTCTTCTAAATCAGATTGATCATATTCTACGTTTCCTTTAAATAAAAAACTTGTTAAAATAACAATCAAAAATTTTTTAATAAATAAATTACCTTCTAGTTCTTCATAACTCTCATCATCTTGTTAATTTTCTTTGCTAAGAATTAACATATATGCTTTCTTATTGACAATAGATATTATAGTTTCAACAATATCTAAATCTTTTAAGGTATCTACTAATTATTTATTGTGGTTAACAAGTAAAGATATGCATTAAATTGAATATTGGCAGGATTTTCTCCACTCTGGATGATCATTACAAACCTTTTAATTTACAATAAATGGATAAACTTTCGTCAATTAACATATAAAAATTACTTCAATTATTTCTTAGATAAAACTTTTTTGACCTAATTATTTTACGCTTGCTTTATCCTCAGCTAACTAACTTAATATCTTTGTAACCTTTTTAAAATCAATTAATTAATTTATTAAAAACATAATTTAAATATTAAAATTGTTTACATTTTCAATGACATTTTTGTATTTTTTACAAGCCTTGAATATCTTAATTAGTAAGAAAATTGCATTATTTTAAATTATATAGCTGGCTCCTTCCTTTTAATTTGCAATAATAGAAAGGAATTGAGAAATGCTTCTTCCTACCAAAACATTATCAGAGTGAACAGTGTCTGCAAAATCTATTATTGTTTTTATAATACCCTTTTTTTTGATTATATCAAATGCTCCATCATATGAATTTAAAAGAAGCTAAAATGTTTCGATTATTGAGATAAAGACTTGTGGGTTGTCATTTTCTACAAAATCAGACAAGATATCAATACCACCTTCATTAACCAAATTTTTTGCTTATTTGCTATTTAAATTTGCAATTCTTGCTAAAGTGATAAAACAATTTTTTAGCACACAGACGTTATCTTCCTAAACATTATCCTTAAATTATTTAACTAAATTTAAAACTTCCTTCAAAACATCTCCCTTTTGTGAATTAATTTATTTTATTTTATTTTAGAGAAATTTTAAGTTAAATTTGAATTATAAATAAATAAATATTTACTTTTTCGATAAGTTCTTCCATTTGTTCAGAAGCTAGAACCAAATTAGAAAGCAAAGCAGATTGAAATATCAAATCACCTGACTGTTATTTTAAATCTCTAAGGGCATTCTAAATTGTATTTTCATTTATTATTCTACTCAAAATATAAGAACCTAAATTGGAAATGCTCTTATCACCAGAAAGGCAAGACATTATACTCACAATAGTTTTTATTATATTGCATTATTTAACATACTCTAAGCCTTCTTTTGTTTGAATTATTTTTTATATAAACCTTATTTTAATAAACAATAATCAATTAATTATTCGTGTTCTGCTTTTAATCTATTTCAAAATTTTACTTAAATCCTAATGATACGCTGAGAGTAGAAAGTACGCAGTCATAAAGAGTTTCACAAAATTGAGGAATTATTTATTTTTAAATTACTTTTTGCAATACACTGGGGTAGTTGAGAAAGTTATTCAATGTTTCAAGTCCTTAAATTTATGAAACATCTTCAATGTTTTTAGATCTCAAACAATTCATTAAAGACTCTAAAGTATTTTACTCAATAAATTTTAATGCAATAGCTGGATTTACGATAAATATGTTTATCAAGCTTAACAGCTACTTTATACTTTCTTTAGATTTTATGTAATCTGGATTATTAAGGGTAGAATTAATTCCTTTCATTATGTTTCCTTCAACTAATAGCTAAACTATTTCTTCATTTCGATTGTTGCCGTAGCCAATTAACTTTTCTAAAACATGGCATGAATTCTTTTTATTTGTTTCATTAAAAATAAATTGAAACCAATTTTTATAGCTGAAAACGACTTTACCAATACGATTGAGTCATCTGAAGAATGATTTTCCAAGGCCTAAATGATATTGATATGAAGCTACTCTAATTATTTTGATTTAATTTTGAATTATTTATCAAATGAAGAATAAAATAATTATTACCCTATATAACAAACATTGCATTCTCTCTAAACTTAGGATTAGGAGGTGTTATAAAGCTAATAAGCGCATTCAGTTAAAAATTTAAAAGCTTTTTGAATTTTGGATTCTATTTAATTTATTCTAGCACAGATATGATTCCTTTATCTGGTTTTAACACTAATTAAAAAAAATAAAAATGTTAGCTACCTTCATGATTTATCTCACAAAAAATATTCTAATGCTCCTACTAAAAATCTTAGCTAAATTAACAAATTACATTGCTTGTTTTGACTGCTTCTTGAACTATACATTTTTCTTTCTTTAAAACTTTAACTTGAAATAATTAAAAATTGAGAATTTTATTTTTTAATATTATTTTGGCAACAATATCGTTTAAACTAAAAATAAACTATAAATTCCAACAAATAAAAGTACTATGAATGATTTTATTCTAAACAAAAAATAAGATTAAAAGAAAAAATTGATTAATCCATCATAAAAATTAAGAATTTAGAATTAAAGAAAAAATATCTTTAACAAATCCTTAAATTATAATCAATTAAATAAGTAAATATTCAAACACACTGCTTATTCAATAAAAAGCAAGATATTTTTTGAGTTTAATATGGATCAATTTCTCTGTTTGATAAGCATCTAAAATTGTCAATATTTTTGAGATAACTAGATTACATTCAATAATTTTAGCAAAAATCTCTTTCCATCTTAAAAGTGAATTTTTATTACAAAAGTTAACTTGCATTTAACTTTCAATAAAATTTTCTTAATTTTTTCTCAATAAAAAATATGAAAACTAAATTTTTTTGTTTTATTTTAAAAAATATATTTTCGAAATTCATAATCAATTAATTCCTGATATTAATTAATTAATTTGAGATGAGAAAGATTAAAATAAAAAGTATTTCATTTTTCTTAAAACTAAAATAAAAGTATTTTTATTTTATAATCAAATACCTTCTTAAAAAATAATTTTATTAAAGGATGCTAAAATAAATAGATAAAAATTAATAATATAATTATTATTTAAGAAATTATATCTATTGCTTCATCGGTTAATAGACAGTGATTTAAAATATTTAAATATTTAATGTGAAATTATGTATTTAAAAATATTTTATTTTAATTTTTTAATTCTTTTTTATAATAAATTCTAATATATTTTTTTAGCAAATTTAAAATTCTTTAACTAATTTAATTTATATAAAATAATTTCCTATTTATTTTTATAAAGTATTTGCAATATTAAAAAAAACAAATATTTTATTTTAAATTGACTGAAAAAATTAAGTAATATTATGAAAAAAGTTAATTATTGTTTATTTATATCATGAAAGAATAATTATATGCTAATACATATTATATAAAAATTTTATATTAAGTAAAATATTATATTAGTAGTATCAATTTAGTATATAGTATAAAGTTTTATGGAGTTTTTATAGTAATAGATAGATTATCCATCAGATATCTAATTTATAGAGGAATGCCTTGTTGATGTGGCATATTTCAGCATATTCTTCTAATTCACTAGCAAGAGTAAAGTGCTTTTCTTTCTTTATTTTAATAACAATAATAAAAGTTAAGTTTGATAATAAAATTAATTGATCAATAAATTTACAATACATAAAATAATAAAAAGAATATTACATTTTTTCCCATAGAGAAAGTTGGGTTACGAGACTGTCTTGTTTAGTTCACTTGCTTTCTCTTATTTCCAAAAGAAGTAGATTTCTTTCTCATTTATCACTCTTAAACAATGAATTACTTTTTGTGGGGGATTTTTCTCTATTTAGAAAATTAATTATTATTATAAAAATTATAAGGCACATCAGAAAACTGGAAGCTTTTAAATGTGATCGCTTTAATAATAAAAGAACTTTATTATATTTTATTCATCTAAATAAATCAATATACTGACGTGTTTTTAATTTTTTGAAGAGGTAAAGTGATTATAATGAGTATATAAAATGAAGTAGACAATTTTTTCTACTTTTTTGGTTATATTTTTGCTGTGTCTATTAAAATCTTTTGAAAATACTTTTAAGTTTAAAATTCTTCTATTTTAAATATGGATGAGGTGTATCAATAATAATAATAATTATTATTATAAAAATGTTTAGATTCTTTAGAAAAATAGAATCGAATAGCAAAATGTGTTTGATTTTAGCTTATCAAAGCCCTTAATTAGCATTTGAATTTTCCCCATTGATTTTATTTGATAAGGAAAAATGTAATTTAAATTATTTTTTATAATCTAAAAATTAATTGGTGTAGTATAAATCAATCAAATATTTTTCGTGTTTTTATTCAAATTATCATAAGAAATTAGCTAAAACTTCTTAGTATGATATAACCTTAAATAAACATTAATATTATATTTTATAAATAAAAGTAACTCTCAAATAAAAAATAATACTAGATTGATGTAGTTTTTAATTTATAATTTGATTTTACTATTATCTTTATATTCGATCAATAATTTTTGATCATTTTATATTATAAGTAGATTGCTTTATATTATTTTTGATAGGAACAAGCTTAACTTTAATAGAAGTACCAAAATTTAATAAATCATAAGAATTTTGAAAAAATACGTTAAAAAGCAAATTTAACAACAAATTTTATAAAGCTAATTCTACTTTACCAGCAAAAAAATCTTAGATGGAAATGCTAGTTGATCCTCAAGAACAATAAATATACTGAAATACTTGAAATAATGTTTGGTATTCAAAATCAGAAATTTTATTAATAATTATTTGAGAATCTTCTCAATTATAATAAAATGAGCATTAGTAGAAAAATGTAGAAAGTCTTATTATAATAACTTAGTTTAAAATCAAATGGGATAAATAAAGTATTTTAATGAATATCTAAATTTTTATTAAATTGAAAGTTTATTAATAAATATAGATCTATAGGAGAATCCTTTCAAGAAATAATAATAATAATATGCGCTTTCTTCTCAATCCACAATAATTCTTTATAAAGTGGATTATCTATGAAAATTTTGATAAGTTTATAATAAAACTTTAATCAATTTTATGGAGGAGCTCCTTAAATATTGAAAAATATAGTTATACTGAGTCATTATCATATTTAATTGATCCAAGCTAAAATATCTGATTTAGATAAACACAAACAAAAAGAAATTATTATAACAAAGGCTACCTTTTTTATTAATTGAAAATAAGAAATATAATATAACTATATATTGTCATTTCTTTATGTATTCAAAAGATAATCGACGATAAAATTAAATTAAATTTGATTTAATTTGATTTGATTTGGAAGGCAAGCACTCTAACTTCATTTACTGCTATACACATTTTTGATTAATTTAAAATACCATAATAATTCTAATTTAGCAAAGAGAAAATTTTAAAATGTATTTATTTTGTCAGTTAGTCAGCTTTTCAAAAAGCACAGTTTAAATTTAGAACAAACTTAAATCTATGGTAGATATTATTTTTAATAACTTATAAAATAATTACACAAAAGTATTTTAAATTCATAAAAATAAATGATTTTTTAGCAATATTAATCAATTAATCAAACAAGATTAAAAAAGAAATATTAAATAAAACCTATTAAAATTGATAGTATAATTAAGGAAATAGCAACAAATAAATAATCAAACCTTAATTTAAAAATATTGCTTTTAAATAAAATTGTTTTTTTATTGAATTATTTTATTATAAAAAATGTTAAAAAATAAATAAGTTATTTAAAATAAAATTTACTCCTCTTAAAATTATTTTTAAATAGTTTAAAAAATATTATTTATTAAATTAAGTTATTTATTTTTTTATTTCGTTAGTTAGTTGTTAGTTATTTCATAAAATGCTATGTTAATCAATCAGTCAATTTACAGTTTCATTTTCAACTATAATTACTTAATCATCATTCGAATCACTTTTATTCATTTCTAAGTTATCTTGCTTTTCTTCTTGAATTTAATTATCATTTTAACTCTCAATGATATTTTCAGTTTACTATTTTAATTCTGATTTGACAGCTTAATCTTGTTCTTATTCGTCATCTTCAAATTATATTTATTCTTCAGATGATTATTCACTTTATTATTTTTCAATTTGACAATTTTATTCTTCTTCTTTAATGTTAATTTGCTATATTTAATTTGGTGTTGATTATTACTAATCTTATGAATCAATAATTTCTGAAAAATGATCTTCTTCAATAGTTTCATGCTTTTCACTTTATATCAAATTTTAATTTTGAATCTACTATTCTTATGAGCTAGCATTTTAAGTCTGTTCTTCATTTACTTAATTAATAAAAACCTACTCATTTTAATTTTATGGAGACTATTACTGATCTTATTAATCTAAAATTTCAGAAGAATGATCTTCCTCAGTAATTTCATGTTGGTCAGTTTATATTTATTAAACTTATGAATTAGAGCTTTCAGTTTATTCTTCTTTTTCTTATAATTTAATTTAGCTTTAATCTATATTATTTTTATTTTGTTCTGTTTCTGATACAATAGTTTTGCTTTATTCTGTATTTTAGCATTCTTTAATTTATTCTACAATTTCTATTTCCTTTTATTACTTTTACTCATCAACTTCTTCTTTTAACTGCTAGTTTTCTTGTTATTATAATAACTAACTGTCAATATCTTTATGAGCTACTTCTTGTTATTTCTATTCTAATTATTCATTATTTTATTGTTTCTATTATTCAGGTTTTGTTTCAGCAGCAAATTATTAAGGTGGTTATTTTGGCATAAATTAGGTAATATAATTTAGTATATTCTTAATGATTATCTTAAGATCTATATCAAAGCTATCAGAGTTTTTTGATTTACAGTTTTGGCATTACTAACAGCTTTTACATGTGATAGTTAGGAGATTTCTTTAGAAACTATAGCTGTTCAAGTCAATAAGTAAATCCAAAATTGAATTTATAGATTCATAATACTTTTATAAATATTAATTAAGCATAAAATATTTAAAAATTATAAATTATTACTTCAATAGGTTGAATTATTTTTATGCAAGGTAATATAATTTAAGAAATATTATTTCTTAAAAGTAAAATGTATTCATTTTTTTCTTTAGTATTTGTATCTTTTATAATTTTTTCAAATTCTACTATTGAGGTATCATCATACCTTTATTTATTTTATTACTCAATTAGAATCTTTTTTCTCTGATCTTGCCCATCACTAACACTTTTAGAATATTCAACGAATTTACTCATAATAATTACTGCATTGCTATTAAATTTTATTTAATTTAAATTAATTTATTCTTATAAAAATTAAAATCTATACTCTAAAAATAGTTTAAGGCATTTCTTATTTTATGATCCTGTTTACCTATTTTCTTATATTTCCCTTAAGTAATTTTCATACCATATTAAAAGAAGAACCGATCTAGAATCGCTTTAATGCTGAAGGAAGTTAATTAATTCTTGATTATTTTAAATTTCTATAAAATAAAAATATTTTAATAAATCATTATTGCTAAAAACTATTTTTATTACTATTTTTTAGGAGAGTATATCTAAACACTATCTTGCTATTAAAATCAGTTGCAAGTTAATAAGAACTGTAAAGATAAGCTTAAGTTTTTTCAAGTTACTTTTATAAAAAACACAATTTAAACTGAGGATTTAATATAATTTTAAATTTACTTAATATGTGAATTTGAAAGAGAACTTACTAAAGTATTCCTTGACACAATTTATACAAATTAGCCATATAACAATTTTATTCATAATCGTTGTAGGCTCTAAAGTTAATTTTATATCAACTTAATTTATGTTATTTACTAATTTATTAGTAAAAACATGATCGTATGTCATTTTTAGGTGGTCATTTGACTAATATAATTGCTGAAGCTCTTATGGAAAAGAAGACTCAAAAACAACTCCTAAAAAGTCAAGAACTTGATCAAGCTGCTCATTTGTTAAATATTCACCAACATTCAACAGCAAGCTTTACATTTATTCAGCAGCAATTTGAGAAGTAACCTTAAAATTAGTTAAATTTTTATAAATAAATAAAAAAATAAAATTTAATAAATTCTACCTTCTAATAACGAGTAATACTCTTTTACAATATATTAAGAACATACTTTAGGCAAGACGAAAGTTTATTGAAATTTTAGTAGAAAATTTCTATCAAGGAGTCGTAAGAAATTTAAACAGTATCTTTCATATGATGCACAATGAATTAATATTAATTTTAATTTTAGTATTATTATTGTTATTATTATTGTTATTACTGCTATTGTTATTGCTATTATAATTATTGTTGCTATTTATTTATTTAATCTTCATAAAAGCTACTTAAATGCTCAAAGTATGGGATAAATAACTATGTGAAAAGTTCCTGCCAAAATTCTTCTGTAAATAAATAGCTGTAAGACTCTACTAACTTAAAAAGCACTTCTATTCTTTGTCTTTAGACTGTAAGTCTATTTTCTTCGAAAGTTCTACTTAAACATAATAAAGATGGCATCAAAAGTTCTATTTAGAATAAATTAGTATTTATTTAGCAAAAATTTAAAAAAAACAAACAAAAAAACATTCTTACGTTATAGCATTTTTTCATATTCTTAAGCCCTTTACTGTTTGGCTTCAAATTATATTCTAAGATCACTCTTCTAGTCACTTAGATTTTAAGATTGAGAAAATGTATTTTAGACACTTTTAGAATGCAAAACTAGGTAATCGATGAGTTTGTTTAAGTAGCTAATGCTACTCTAGCATATTTGTTAATTTTTATAGTTTATAAGTTTGCATAAAATATCAACTATTTAAGGAATTTCTTCTTATAAATTTTCAAGAGTTCTGTCTTTCAAGAAGATTTAATCTATGATCTATGTATGTCATTTTATTTTATTTAATTTTACTTATTTGATTAAGAATAAATAAAAGAAAGAAATACCTAAGAAGCAAGTAATATCAATGAATCTATCTTTTTGTTAATAGTGAGTCTCACTATTGAAATAATTACACTCCATCCAGATCTCAGGTTATCAAAGTTAATGCTTGTTATCATTATTATGCATCTTAAGACTAACTCATATATTTCATACTTGGCGGCTTTATTTACAAACAAATATTATTTTATTAATTATTAAAAAAGAAATTTCAAAAAGAAAATTTTTACGATTAGTATTTTCGAAAATGTACAAGAAAGGTTGGAGGAACATTTTCTAAAAGCTATAATGAGACAGCTCAGTTTTCTTTAAAAATTTCATACTTAGCTATTTCAATTAATCTATGACTAATTAAGCACAATAAGAATTATGATTCGTTCCTACCTCCTAAAATAGAATACTTAAAGTTTGCCAAATTTTGTTCCATTCATACCTTACTCTATCCATATTAAACTCTGCTACCTCTGAAATTCTCAACAGACTAAAAGTTTTAGGTTTAGGCTGATTTATTTCTTATTTGCAAGTCTAACACAGGCAGTCTATAAAATCTTAAATTGAATCACTGTCAAATTTAGAAGTTGAACTAAATATTTTATCGATTGCTTCATCTATTTTTAAAAAAATGATATTAATATTATTAAAAAAAATCAAATGCTGCATTTTTACTTTCAAGAGAGATAAAAATTAATTTTTAATTTGACTTTTCTATTTCCAATTGTTGCAACTATTGCTAGTAAGCTTACTCTTTGATAGTGAAATCACCTTAAAAGTAATAGTCTATCTTTGATAAGCACTCTAGCACGCTCTTCCAAGATCCTCTAAGCCAATTTCCACTGGTAGATGCTATCTCAGTCATACAACAAATAGAAAGGATATTCTTTATTGAAAAAGGTTTATCCTATAAGAGTCCTGTATTCTTAGTAAGGCACTAAACAAAAGTTTCTTATTAAAAGTTTAGCTAGAAACGCCCAAGAAGCATAATACAAAATTTAATACCCTCAAGACATTTCATGATGAAGTTTTTGTCTTCTGTTTGCTCAAGACCTTGTGAAAAGGTAGCAAATAAAGGACTCCATATCACGTCAAGCAACTCTTTAGTAAAATTAGAATTGAGAACTTTAATGAATTTTTAAGAATCTTCATCATTGTTATCATTTAGAATGATTTATTTTCCTTATGCTAACATTTTCTCTTATTCTTCTTTAAATTTTTTTGTTTTTAAAACAGCATCTGAGTTAATTGCTTCTTTTTATTTAATGTGATATTCTTCTTAGTCATGGAAGCCAAGAGGTTGATCTTTAACACTGTTGAATATAAACTCAATTTATTCAATAGGTAGATCATCTCCATCATCAATCTTTGAAACTAGATTAATAAATTTCTATAAATTTAGTTTTTCTTTTTCCTTAATTTATGGATTATAGAGATTCGTTTAAAGCATCATTATAGCATAAGATAAAGTGTAAGTAACTCCTGCATTTCTGTAGACATTTGGATTTTCTTTGATATACTTCTCTCCAAATTATTACAATATTCTATCAAGAGCTTCTTAAGTATTAGGAGGATACATAACTTTAAAAAGTGTTCTTAAAGAAGAGACTATATTTTGATTAGACATATCATAGTATGATAGGAACTGCTAAAATACATCTTAGTTGTATTTACATTCATCACCGAAAAATAATCCAAACTATGCTCTGTCAATTGATGCTCTTTATTAGTATAATAATTCAGACAATTAATACACAGATCTCTGCCAAATTGCTAAATCTTTTTCGTCAGCTTCATTCTCAGAGGGCTTTTTATTGATATCAACTGGTTTTTCAATAATATTTTCATTAAAAGCAAAATTTAGTCCTTATTTAGTTTTATAGTTAAACTTTTCAATACACTTTTAGATCTAAATTTTTCTCTTCCTCTATTCTTGGACAGTGTCTTCATTGAAAACATCTTGATTTAGCGAACTATCTGAAACACCAGTAGCACCACCGACACTGTTAAACTAAGAAGTATTTCCTAAATTTTGAGAGGATCCATTCTTTTAGGGGCTAAAAGGAATTTCTCTTGGTAAAGACTCAACTTGAGCTTTTTAAAAGAATTTTTTAAATTAAAACTCGATTTTTTTATTTTAAATTACTTATTTAAGTTGTGTTTTTTTGTTCTTCTTCGTCAATATTACTTACTGATTTGCTAGCTTTGTCTATTTACTTATCTGATCCATAAAGAGGATGATGATTATCTATAGCCTACCTACCAATTTAAGGTGATCCGATTGAGGAGTACTCTTCAGAGAGAAGTGTAAAAGGAATAAGATTTTTAACAATCTCTACTAAGGACTAAAGTGCTGTCTCCCTAAGATTTTACTCTTAGCCAGGTTAAAAGAGAGTTGAGTATTCTGCCTTGGAGTATTTACCTTGAGATATTTTAGCAAGTTGTTCAACAATATTTTGTGCAATATTCTTTGAATTGAGTTAACAGTCATAATTAGCAAACATTTCTAAAATAACTCTAGGTAGCTTAAAAATAATACTGAATACTTATAAAACATAAAATCTATGATGATAGATAGTATTACTGCTTTCAAGCATCTTCAAAAGTATTTCTTTAGTAAACATCTGTTCAAATTTAAATAGAATATTTGTAAAAATAAATAAATTAATCAATCGATCTTTAAATTAATTACTTCTAATTCTTTCTTTAAGTTATCTCTGAAATCAATAAATAAGTAAACTAGGATAGAAAGGGAAAGCTAAACAACTTTTTAATCTTGAGACATAGAATTGAGGAGCACAGAATGAATTAATTACTCCTTTACCAGCTGCTAAAAGTTGCTTAAAAAAACAATTCCTGTATTTTCTATAATAACCTTTAGCATTTCTAAAGAAATGATCTTTGATCTTAAGCTCTATGGATTCATTTAGCTATTTAAGCTAAAAATTTGTTTAATAAAAATCTGTAAAAATTATTTGAATTTTATTTATTTATTTATTTACTTTGCTCCATCTCTTTTTGATAAATTGCATAATATCTTAAATAGCTCAATACCATCATCTAAATATTAGTTCTTTTTAATCTAAAATTTGTTGCTTTACATTTAAAATATGTCTTCAATCTATTTTATGTGCTTTTATTTGCACTCAGGACAACAAATAGCAACTCTGGTTTCTCTGCAATAAAAATTGGCTGTTTTCCTACAAATAAAGCACCTATTAACAAAAAAGAAAATAGAATTAATAACTTCATATTCTCATATTATTATTGAATGAATATACCATCCGTATTTGCCTGAAACCTAGTTCTTTTCATTTTCTATGCTCACTTAAATAGTTTAAGTATATTTTTCAGTTGTTTCTTAATTTATAGGAGGTACGCACAAGAGAGGTATCATATTTGTCTGATTATCTTCTCCAACTTATTTTTATTTTTCATAGTAAATGACTGTATTATCAACAAGGTTAGTCACAGTTTATTGGCAGTAAAACTATATTTAATTGTTCAAAAGTTAATCTAAAACGTTTTAGGAGTTATCATCTTAGGATTGTTAGTTTAAATTTAATATTTTTGCTGGGTCAAATTGTTCTTCTTCCATATTTTCTGATTGTTGCTATCTGTTACTATGCTGAGAAAGTCTTGCTTAGTGAATGCTATTAAGGTTTTAGAATGAATTTTTAGGTGACTCAAAATTTTGCTTATTTTCTTAATTCAAATTATTGCCACTAGTGCAATTATCTTGAAAAAGTAATTCTCCTGCTCTATTCGATGTAATGCATCTCTTAAAAAAAAATATTTCTTATTATTCATTCGTTATTTCTGTAAGTTTCTCCATCCTATCAAAAACTATTTTAACTATACTTTTAAGAGCAGCCAAAGTGATATTTTGTAAACTTGCACTTTTGCTATTATTATTCTCTATTATATAAATATAAAAAATTCTATTTCATATGTAATTAATTATTTTTAAATGCTTACGACTATAAATATTTATTAAAGCCTGTGTCAAATACATTAAATTGTCCCTTTTTGAATAAAAATTAAAAATATTTTTTAATTATCTACCTAAAATTGCTAATATGTTGAATGTATTTGCAATAAAAATTCGCTATTTTATTTCATCTTTTTTTTCTTTGAACTTTTTAACTTAGCTTTTTTGTGAATGTTGAAAAATCCAAAAATACATAAAATAGAATTTTAATCTAAATTTTTTATTATTACCCATAAATAGTGAAGACAGGAGAGATTACTATTGTGTGAAGAATTTTAACTACTGATAAGTGGATGTTATCTTCTTTAATACCAATACATTCAATTACCATCTATAAAATTTCATCTTCATAAGTTTTGCTTGTGCTATAACTTGCATATCCATCTATAAGCTAATTTGCTATTAAGTTCTTTTAAAATAAAATAAATGAATAAATTATATTTATGTTTTTTTTTTTCATATTAAATATATTTTTATTATTCTGAATCCTACTAAATTCCTAAATTTTTTAGAGTTTGCTAACAAATAATACCATTTTTATAAAATTAAAAATAATAATAATTTATTACTTCAAGGTAAAAAAGCACTATTTCTGTAATTTTTGGCACTTTCAAGTCAAGTAAATCTTTTAAAAAGTTTATAGTAGAATTGGCATTTTCAAATGTTTAATCATTCAGAGTTTTAATGCTTTCTATTAAAATAAGATAAGATATCTTTAAAGCTTCTATCATTTATTTAATTGCATACCTTATATTTTATCAGCCTCAATTTTTAGGTTTTTTTTATTCTTTGGAATAAGCTTTCCAACTTTTGGTAAAAGCTCAACCATGCATTGCTTGTATATCTAGAAACGAGAAATATTCTCTTGCATTCAAACTAAATAAAATATTTAATTGATTAAGCTAAAATTATTATATTGCTATTTTGCTAACTATTTAGAAAGTAAATATCTCTTTTTTTTATCTTAATTAGTTTTAATAATTATTATTTTTGCATACAGCCAAATATTCAATTTATTTATTTACTTATATATGGATATGGAATAATTAATTAATTTTTTTATCACTTTCTCAAATGTAAAAGATCTATTTATCTATAGTTTTTCATTTCTTTTATAATTTATTTGAGTGAAGCTTCATAGTAACTATATGACATGCCAGCTTGATATCAAAACTTTAATAAATTATCTGAGATAATTTCATTATCAGATAAAATTTAATCAAAAATTGGATGAATTCTATCTAAAAGCTTGTTTGAACTATTATCTTTATTCCTTTTTTTATAGTGTAAAGCATAACATCTATATTTTTTTTATTTATTTATTTATAAAGTATCTATTTTTTTTTCTCATCTTTTAAAAATTAAATTTTTCTGATACTTTTATTTCTTAAATTTTATCTCTAAAAATTTTTAATTTAAAATTTTTAAAAATTGTATTAAAAAAATAATTTTTATTTATTATTTGAATAAAAAAATTTAGATTTTTTTAGTGAAAAAACAATTTTTTTAATAATTAAATTCTACAATGAATTAATTAATTAATGTAAGTAAAATTAGTTTGATTAAAAAAATTTATAGATTTTTGTCCATAATTTAATTTAAAAATATTAATTGAATCTTTTAATTTATAATTACATTTTTTTAATAAAGAAATCAAGAGTAATTGATAAATAATTACAACCTGTTTATTAAGTAAAAAAGAATAACAATATAAAATAACTAAAATAGGATGGATACAAACACTTCCTTACTTGATGCTACTAACAACTTAACTCAATTAAGTGATGAGATAAAAGGAAAATAAACATTTACTTAAAAGATTAGGCTACCCGAATCTCTAAATTTGAAAAATAGCATATTTTAGTAAGAAATTTGATTATTACAAAAACGTAAAACGCAGAAAGAAATTAAGTTTGATTCTTTAAAAAGGTTTATTAGAAAAATGTAGTTAGGAAACTTGGAAGAAAGAGATATAGTCATGAAAACATAGCAAAAAATATTATAAGTAGAGAGAGAATTCCAAAGTTTGTTTGATGAAACTGATAGTTAGATTATTTAGGAGAACTATGAAGTTATAGAGAGAATTTTGACAAAAGCATTATATGCATAGTATTTATTATTTAGTTAGCTAATTAATTCTTTTTTTATTGAGTAAAAATAAAATAATCTAGGTTGTTAAAAGGATGCAGAGTTAAATATGATAGAAAAATTGAATTTTATTGCAGATTATATGATTTTATCTAGCCAATTTAATTCCAAGTTGATAAAGCTATAGTCAACCATCAGAACTTTTAAAAGGCCAAATAATGTAAGCTTAAAAATGTCTAAAATATGCTTAGTAAAATTTTTTATTTCAAGAGATTTAAAATATAGATGCATGCTAAACACCAAAAGATAAGATAAATTGTATTGTAAATGCATGCAAGCTTATGAGCAGTAATTTCTAAAAATTTAGTAGTTTTTAATTCAAATATGAGATTTTAATAAATAGGTACTTTAGCAAGTTAATCTAAAAATAATCCAACTGGAATAGATGATTTACTACCAGTTATGCTTTATTTGGTTATATAGAGTCTTCCAGCAAGACCCCTTACAAATATTTAATATATTTAGTAAAATTTATAAATAAAATAATAGTCTTCTTATTAAATTTTAAAATATTTAAGAGAGCTCAGGAGTGATAAATATCTTTTAAGCGAAGAGTATTATTTAACGCTTTATTCAAGTGTTATGGAATTGATTGAAAATCTTTAATTTTCAGACTTGAAAGAAATTACTGAAAAGCAGTATAATGAGTAAATCAAAGCAAATTATAAGAAATATGCTGAATTCTTAGACGCTGTAGATAAAGAAGAAGAAGAGATTAAAAAACAAGAGATATTTAAAACTGTTTCTTAATTATAAAGTTAATTGAAAGATTTTAATGAGAGGCTAAAGATTTTAGAGTAAAATAAGCTAAAATTTGCTTCGTTTCCATACCAATAAATGACTTTAGGGGATTTGCAAGAATTTTATAATGAATACCATATAATTCATAAACACATCTTAGACAGCTAATTAGAATTATAAAAAAATTTAAAATTTGTTAATAAATTTATTGTTTCGAAGACGAACCCTAATGGAATTTAAAAAATATAACAAGAAGATAATTCAAGATAAAGCTAAAACAATAGCAAGTAATAAGGATTGCTATCATTTTTTTGAAAATCTCTAAATAAATTTGAAAGTTGCTTAAGAACAAATAATTTTAACTCTATTCAAAAAGATAGAATAAATATTTAAATCAATAAGAAAAATCTATAACCTAATAAATTAATTACTAACCAATTTTAATATGATAAATAAAATACTACAATTTTTATAAAGTAGATAGATAGATAGATAATTAGAGAGGGAAAAATAAATTTATATTAAATATTAATTTGAGTAAGATATATATTTTTGTGTTTGTTTAGTTCAGTTCAGTTATGACCCCACATATAATTTAAGGGTAATGAATTTTCGTCTTCACTTTGGTACTAATGATGGGTGGTGTTGTTGTTGTTATTTATATTTTGGAATCCTTCTAAAAAGTTCTCCCTTTATTATTTATTAATATACTTATTAATATAAAAAAAAAAATAATTAAAATATATTACTGAGAAGAAGGTGCTTTGTATGTTTTTGCAGCAGATTACCCGAAACTCTCACTTTACTGATATTTTTTAGATTCTCTGCTCATCACTTTTAGCTTAGCTGATTTCTTTTAATCCTGCTCTTACATGAGTATTTTGGCTGCTTTCGAGATAATGTCATTTTAATTATTGCTGTTACTATCAATTGTGTTATTTTTGGAGCTACTTCTTAGAAGTTTTGAACTAGGATTATTACTTTTTATTTATGAATTTCTTTATATTTTTTTATTTTAAGCATGGTAAATAGTTCTACCACTCTAAATAGGTTTCGATAGCTAACGCTAGTTGCTAGCAGGTATATTTTTTTAATTATTAATGTTGATAATAGAGCCTATCAAGTTTGAAGAATTAGATATTTTAGAGCCATTTTAGCAGCTAGAAGAACTGACTCTTCTTGCAATTTCAATGTTATCTTCAGATTCATTATTATATTGTAAGAAAGTATTATTATTACTATCATTAACAGAATTTAAATTTTTCAATTGTAAGTCATTTTATTTGATTGTCTCATCACTTAATGATTACTAAATATTTAATGATGCTTTCTTTTCTTCTTTAAAATTCTCATTTGGATTTATTTTTGAATAAAATGAGTTGTTAACGCTAATAAATTTTTATTTATTTAATTTGCATTCAGTGTTTGGTTCTGTCATTTTATCACCTTAATCCTAACTCTTAATATTATTTATCAATCCTTTAAAATTAATTAAATTGAACTAAGTATTTTCTTCTGAGTGAGTCACACGACTCTAGTACTCTCCATTTTTATTATCATTCTATATAAGACTTTTGTTTTCAGATTAGTAATGAATTGATTAATTGACAGAATTTTCTTCTTCCATCAATCTATTGACAGAATTTTCACAATTCATTGAAGAAAAATATTAAGATTTTGATTAAAGTTTATTTTATAGCACAATCTTATTATCATTTAGCAATTCCTACTATAATTGCTAATTTTGATTGTTGCTTTTATTACCAATAAAAATGGCATTAAATTGCCTGCGCTGGCGTTAGTTATTATTATTATTGTTTTTTTTATTCTCATCTCCGATATTGCAAAAATTTTCACTACCTTGAGAATTTCCCTCAAGAAAAACTAATTAAGAAGGATTTGAATTATTGTTGCTATTAAATAATTAATTTTGCACTTATACTTGTGATTTTGAGTGTTCATCATTTAGCGATTGAAGCATCTTTTAATTTTGGTACTAAATTTATTTCTCACAATACTTTTGTCTTAAATTTTCATATTCCTGTCTAACAAATTTTTTAACTTCCTTACTGAGGTCTTATCTTATAGTAAAATTATGCAAAAAGGTGTAGAACTCTATGCAAGTACAGTTTAGTAATAGAATTTTAAATATCTTAATAATATGAGCATCTCCTTCATTAGAATTATTAAAATTCATTTTAATATAAACTTTTATTTGATCAATATGCTTAACTAAATCACTATCGAACTTTTCACGATAGTTAAATCCCTTAGGAACCTTTTCAGCTACTGTTAAATACTCATACATGAGCTTTAAACACTAAAGGCGCGTAAATAATTAGATAATGTGCAAGTCCATCTATTTTTTAAGTAAATTATAATCAATCAAAATAAAATTGCTAATTTAAATCTTAAAATGAATTTAATTCTTTGTATATAAATTAATTAATTAATTACTCTCTCAAATTAAAGAAGATTTAATTTAAATTATCTATTAATTATATCTCTAGGGAATTCATCTTCTTTCTTTCTCAATAATTAGATGTCTACTATCAATAATTTTTCTAAGATTTCAGCGATTAAAATTTACGGGTTTTTACAATTTTTTCCTAAAACATGTTTACTAAAGCCTATGAAATCATTGATATAATCTAATATAATTTGCTTCTTTTCCCTATATAGTAAAATTTAAAATTTATAAATAAATTTTATGATGGAGAATTTATGAATAGATTAATGATGTAGCTTAAATAAAAATTGCTTACTCATTTTTTTGAGCCTCATCTAGAGCCAATTTTACAAGTGAGCATTTTACTAATAAATACTATTCAAGGGATAGTTTAAAGAATTCGTTAACTGAAAATTATTTAGAATAAGACATAGTTGGAAATGGTGTTGAAGCGAACTTTTTAAATATGTTTTATATACTTAGTTATCTATATTTAATTATTAGAAATTGATTAATTAGATATTTAGTTTTTCTTTCTTTACAATTAATTAATTAACTAATTATTATTTATTTCATACAAATTTAATGATGTCTTTAAATTTTATAAATTTTACGCAAAAAAATACAATTTTGAAATTGTATTCTATTATTTTACCAAAAATATTGCTTTGTCTTAGATATTTATTGAATGCTAGCTAAAAAGATTAGCTTTCATTCTTTTTCTTAGATTTTTGTATCAAGCTTCAATGATATCTATCTATCTTTCTTTCTTATCTTCTAAGATTCATTCATTTTCTGAATTTAGATTTACTTTATTTTAAATAAATCCTTCTGATTATTGATATTTTTAAACAATAACTAAAACGAATAAGTTTTAATTTAAAAAAAATTTATCAAAGTAAATTTTACCCGCGAAAAGATGAAAGAAATGTGGTTAAATAAATAGAAAATTTATAATCTTAAGAAATATTTATTTTTTAAAAATATTCTATTTATTATTTAAGACTAATTTTCAACAATAAATTGATAAAGGTATTTGAATTAATAAATACATAATTAATTTTAAAAGTTTAAAATAAGAATATATTTTTTAGAAATCATCAATAAATTATCTTATTGAAATATAAGTTAAATATTTTAGAATATTTATTTCAATTAAAGGTTTAATAAAATATGCTAGAAAGCTCTACTGTTTGCATACATTTTTTATGTAAATTGATGTAAAATATTTAAAAAATAAAAATAATTTCTATTAAATTTAACGAGATTGTTTGTTTTATTATGAAAAAGAAAGATAAAAGTGTTCTTAGTTAAAAAAATAAATATACCTAAATAATGAATGAAATACATATTTACTTTTAAATATATTTAATTATAATAAAATTATTCAAATAAATTTTAAATCATAAGATTTTTAATATTTTAGAATAAGAATTCAATATTAATTATAACTAATATAATTAGCCTGCTATTTTTTTAGATTTAATCTGCTGAGAATATTACTTTTTATTAAATTTAAGATATCCTCTTCATCAAAAAATTTAAGAGTTCTTTGGATCATTTTTTAAATAGCAAAGAGTTCCAATTCAGAATAGGATGATAAAAAATCTTAATTTTCTGTATATTTTTTTATTAGACCATTTATAAATTCCTTATATTCTGTTACATTTTCTTATATTTCATCATGCTATAGCATATTTTATTTAAACATTTAGAAATTATCGCAGTCAGTCAATTTTCCTTCACCATTAAGTGACCATAACTTTCTAATATTCTACCTTTAATAAATGACCCTTACTTTTTACTCATTATATTCAAAGCCAACCTTCGATAATTCAAATTTGATATCTTAAAGGATCTATTCTGATAAAGAAGGATCTTCAAACTTTTAAAGATAATTAACAAACTTCTTGGATGTGTATAAAGCTTACTCTGAATCAAATACTTTTATTAAGTAGTCATCTTAAAATTTATAAATTTCTAAATTGTGTAATAAGATTTTTTGCTTTTTCAGGGTCTTGACAAATGAATTGTATATAATTTGCTTTAATTAATTGCATACCTTATTTACGACATAAGGGGTAAATACTTCACCAATGAAAATACCTTTATTAACATTTAGAGGAACTTTTTTATTATTTTTGATGTCAAAGTGATAAACTTTTCTGTTCTAAAGATATTACTCAATTTTATATAGCTTTAGGTCTTTTATCAACTTGTAGCTTATGTTTTAACACAAATCTTTTATATCTATGTAGAAGCAGAGCAAAGGTTAGAGAGTAATAATTTTATTCTTGTAACACTATATTATCATGTTATTTAAATTATTATTTGAATAACTATTCTTAAACAAATAATTTAAATGTTTGTAATATGAATCTTTAGTTGCCAATCTCATCTTTCCATCTATGTCTCTCATTTCAACAATAATTCTTTAAGGTTTTCCTTTTAGTGGTTTAGGACAAGTTTTATTATTATCTATATAATAATTATTAGTAGTTTTATTAATAAATTCTTAAATTTATGCTGCTTCAGTATATGTTTCTTCTTTCAAATTAAACTTTTCTAAGAAAACATTGATATCTCTTGTTCCTTTTACCTTCAAAAATTGCTTCCAAATCTAAAAATCTTGCTTTTACTTATCTGTTATCAAATCTGTTTTTGATTATATCAAATTTTGCTCAACTTCATAGAAATCACAAGGTAAAAATTATATTTAAAATATAGATTTATGAAAATATCTTTTAATTTTATTGAATTTGTATTCTTTTAACAAAATTTCTTTATAATCATCCGCATAGTAATTAGAAAAGAATTTATCTACTAACTTAGTAGTATATAAAATTATGAGATCTAATGATTTAAATAAATTATCATGTTTCACGAAATTAACAGGTTTCATTTCTTTTAATCCAAGATAGTTTCTTATAAGATCCTATGAAACATTTGATTCTAACCTAAAGTACTTTATAAGCTTCACCAATTATTCTAAAGATCTAAATTTTACTCTTCCATCCTCTTTTTCTAAAACTTCAATTTAAAATGGATACTCAAAAAATTCAGGGTGGTTTGAGTTTTCATTTTCATTGTTTACAAGTTCATTTTCTAACTCATTAGAAATTTACAAATAGAACTTTTCATTGATAATCGTTCTGCTAAATTTTTATCTTTTTGTTGATAAAAGTTTACTTGCATCTTTCATTTCTTCTTAAATTTTCTTTCACTTTAATTTTTGCTTTTGTTTTCTTGATTTATTAATTATTGATATTTCTTCTACTTTTTTTTATCAGAAAATTAATATCAATTTTTCATTAAAACGCTCAATAAATTTCTAATAGATACACACTTTAATTTAATAGATATTTTATAAAATACTTTCATTCTCTTCTTCAAATTTTTTCTTTTTCCTTTTTCAAAAATTAAAAGTGTTTTATTTATACTAAAATATTTACACATTGATGAAATTATATTTTAATTGATTATATAATAAGTGAGTGAGTGAGTTAGTTAGTTATTTTAGTAACAAATAACAAATAAAAATAAATTTAAATATCTTATTTTTTTATATGTACACATTTTTTATTTAAAATATTTTTTCAATTCATTTTTGTTTTGGAGGTGGAGAAGGAGAGTAAGAGCTCGACCCATCTGCTTCACTTTATTTTTTTTCTTTTGGAAAGTAACTTTTAAGTGCCCACTTTATTAATTGTTTAGTTTCTGGCCATCTATGATCCATAGATTTGCAATTAAGAAGCACACATATTAGCCCAACTTATTTTCCATTCCTTTTACATTTGTAACTTGAAGAAAGACAAGGCCCTGCAGTTTCAGTGACACCAGTTTTTACTCCATCATATCCTTTTTTTTCAAGCATTTAGTTTGTATTTTCCCACTCATACTAATCTTAATTAGATTTTTCTTGGTCTAGGACATCGACTGTTTCGTATTCTTTTGTGTTAACTACCTTTTAAATGAGAGGATGCTTCATTACTATGCAACTTAGCAAACCAACATCTTTTGCAGTACTTGTATTATATTTGTTAGAAAGGCCATGTACACAAGCATAATTAGTTCGCTCTAGGCCAACTTTCTAAGCTTATTTATTCATTTCCTTTATAAAAATATTCATACACTAATTCAAACCACCTGCTTCTGATTTGCATTTATAATTAACGTAAATTTTTTAATCTCCTGGTACTCCACTTGAAGTATTGTCGTTTGTGAATGAAAGTTTTGATTATTAGCAATAAAGTAGATATCCTACACCTTCTGAAAGTACTACAGCTGCATCGTTTCCACTTGGAAGCATCAAACCATAAAGTAACTCATATGTAGAAACAAAATCACCTTTTTCTAAATTAGCAGTAGTACCTATAGTTTTTGTTGCAGCTTTGCTAACCTCTATAAAAACATTCTTAATATCTAGCTGATTTTCTTCTAAAAATTTAATTGTGACATAGCATGTCATAATTTTAGTCAAAGAAGCTATCTCAACTTGAAAATTATGGCTCTTGCCAAATATGAATTCATTTGTGTCTGAATTAAAAACAGACCAACACTTAGAGCTAACTTCCGGAGGTTATTTAAATGCTTTTTATTTTATTGGTTTTTTAGATGGGCTCTTACTTGATTTTCCATCTGAACTATTATCGATGTTGTTTGATGATTTTATTTTATTACTTTAGCTTGCAATGTTATAACTTTAAGATTTAGAGTTTTTTCTCTCAGTTAGCTAAGATTGATTGCTTCTTTTTGTTCTAATGAACTATCTTTAATCTCCTATTTATACATTTTTACTTGCATCTTAGCTTGATTGGCTTTAAAAATGTAGTCTTTCAAGTTAAATCTAAACAATCTTCTTTTCTCTAGGAGTTTACTGAGTTAATGATTTTATTGGCGAAGAAAATTATTTATGGTTTTAACTAGCTTGAGTGATTAGCTCTTATTCATCTATTTCTAAGTTAAGATTATCTTTAACATCTCTCTGAATTGCCTCAATCGACTGCTTTTACTCATTAAGTTGTTCATAGTTTGAATTTTCTTAAACAGATTAGTTATCTGCTTTTTCACTAAGGACATTTGTAAAGTTCTCTTGATTTTCATCTAATTTTGATTGATTTTCTAATCTTATGTTAGCTACTTTTTGCTTTTCTGTTGACTAAGATAGTTTTCCTGAATTAGTTAAAGCCACATCAGTACTTATTTATTGGCTTGCGCCTTCATCTAAATCATTCATTTGATCTGTATTAAAGTCTAAATTATTTAAGCTACTAAATTTTCTATTAAGTTTAATTGTTCCATTTATAGATATATCATTAGTGTTAAAATTATCTAAGCAATTATTCATTTTTGAAATTTCTACTTAATTTATTTTACTCTATGAGTTTTAATCTAAGCTATGATGACTTTGATTTTCTGTAGGAGTTATCGATCCTACTATCTTATTGCTTGATTTGTTTATATGTAATATAATTTTTCCATTTTTATTTTGAGAAGAGATATTCAACTACTATTGCTTTTAATTAACTGGAGGAGGAGTGTTTAGCTAAGAATCCAAAATAGTTCTTTTAAGTATAGACTGCTCTTTCTCAGCCAACAAACTTCTTTCAAATTAATTCAAATTAGATCCAATTATATCATTCTCTAAATAAGAAGTATCTTTCCCATTAAATTTTTTAGGTTAGATGCTAAATGGCTATCTCTTGGGTAAATAATTATCTTTATAATTTTGATTATTACTAGTACCTTACCTTGAATTTGAAGAAGTCCGAAAATTAAGTTTTGTATTGTTAGATTAATAATTTATATCCTATTCACTAGGTTCATAATTTTGATTTGATTATTGAAGATATTATTAAAATGAGGCATTTTAATATTTTTTTTTTATTAATTAATATAATTCATCTTTGTTTCTCTAATCTACTTTACTTATTAAGATCTCACTTGTATTACTTAAGCTGTCTTCTCCATTAGTTTCAAAGTTCTTGTAAGCATTCTGAAGGGGCTAAATGTTAAGTACTGATGACATTTATTTTGTATCATTGCTTTAGTTTTTTTATTGATTAATTTATCTGTTTTCCATAACTCTTTTTTGATAACTCATATTTAGCTTAAATTAAGGCTTCTTAAAGCTAGCTCTTTTCAAGTAATTTAGTGATTCTATTTCCTGTTATTTCAACCTAGAATTATCTAATTTTTAGCAGTTCTAAGTAAAATTCTCATTAAATAAACTTTCCAACTCATCTTCTTTGCTTTTACCTGTTTAATCAACTAACTCACTGTTATTTATTGTATTAATGGGCTTGTAATTAATGTTTTGTGTAACTCTTTAGTAATTGACCATACTATTCCTATATTATGTATTGCTGCTCTTTTAATAAACTGATCTTTTTAAAGGACTATTGCTATTTAATTCTATTTGATTGAATGTATAATTTACTAGAGGATTTTTAGAAAAAATTTATTCATTCTTTTAGTTTAAATATGTTCTTTGTAAAATTTAGTGATTTATCTTTTATAAAGCATCTTAATTTTACACTAATTTAGGTAAAGATTTATTATCGTTTCTATGGCATGCACCACTTGGGTCAGAATTCTCCCTCATTTTAAATATTTTACTTAGCGAATCTCTTTATTCAGCTCTGCTATTTTTTTTACTATTTGAACTATTTTACTTATTCTGCTTATCTGATGGCATATTTTCAGTTCTGGAGATAGTAGGTATATCTGGAGACTAACTCTACTAAGTCTATAATAAAAGTTACTCCATCCTAACAAATTAATAATGATCTTATTTGTTTCTTTAAAGAAAATCTTGATTATATTTTGAAACCCTTGCTTCTGCTTGATCTAAAAATGCTATTTCATTTTATTTATTCTTGTCAATCTCTCTCTTCATAAGAAAGAATATATTGCTTTTAAATCTTATTTAAAGATAGATAAATATTATTTGAATAATTAATTTATGTACCTCAAATTTTATTATGTTTAAAAAAGTAATTATTTTACATAATTAATCATTAATGGTTATTAAATTCTGCAAATACTAATTTAATTATTCATCTCTTTCTTAATTCTATTCGTACCCAAATTATTAATTACCTCTCCTAAATTTGTGATAAAGAAGGGTTTGTTTAATTTTATTTTACATTGAATCTAATCAAGCAGTAAAGTTGCCAAATTTGCTAAATAATTTATTATATTAAAAAAATATTTACAATTAAAAACTAAATATTCATTTTTTATGTCTAAAATATTGTAATAAACTAAATCTATAACTTAAGATATAAAAAAAGCAATTAAATAATAAATAGCAGTAATTTTTTGTAATAAATTATATTTTTAAATTATTAAGATTGAAATAAATAGTTTTGTTTACTTTTAAACAAAATTGTTTTTAAAATTATTATCTTGTAAATTAGTAAAAGAAAATAAAATAAAATTTTTTTTTAAGATTGAATAAATCAGTTTAAAACAATTCTTCATTTTTTTTATTAAAAATTATATAAAAATAATATAAAATAGTAAAAATTAAATTAAAAATAAAGCAATCAATTGATTATGTCAAATAATTATTTAAAATTAACTCATTAATGTATTTTTTTATTTTAATAGTGAAATAAATAATTTTATTCTTGAAAAATATAATTTTTTGATACTAATCAGCTTTAAGCTTGATGATTGTAATATATTTTTGTTTAAAGATTTAAGTGTATCTTTTTATAGTCATAAATTTATAAAAATTAAGAAGCTTCTTTATTAATATTAAACAAGAATATTAACTTTTATAGTAAAAAAATAGCTTTTAGCCTAACATGAAGAATTTATTATAATATTTTTTGAAGGATTAAAAAAAAATAATTCCTTATGCTATTATATCAGGAGGTGTGTTTGGATACTGTTATAAGCTACAAGAAGAAAGAAAATTGTAGTAATAAGCATTTTTAGAAATGTAGGAGTTTAAAGATGAGCTTAATGTTAATGCAATAAAAGGATTGAAATAAGACGCAGATTATATTAAATTGGAGAACTTAAATGATAAAATTGATTTAAAAGACTAAAATTACAACATTATAGCAACATAAAGAGATTTAGGTACAGGATTGAGCTTTTTAATTGTAGGAAATCTAGATGATAATAGGTTTTTAACAAGATATTATAAGCTAAAGCAATTTTTGGAAAAATAAAAAGAGTTTCATACATAAAGAGTCGCTTAATATGTTAAAGAATCAGGAGAAAATTTGATAGATCAGGCTACTATGGATTTGATTGAATACAAGGTTTATCCAATTAGTTAATTTTAATCAGAAATTTAATTAAAAGGAAAAGAAAGATTCTATTTTGTAGATAAAGAAACCCATGAAAACTTTTTATCTGTTTTTAAGTAAAATGAATCTTACATTATTGGAGAATAAAAGAGTGTCGGTCTTAGGTTAGACCTTACCCTTCCTTTTGAAGATTTACAATAATAAATAGTAGGATTTTCAATCCTATAAGCAGCTTATGTTATAAGAAGAAACCAATATCTTGCTGACCTTGAAAAAAATTAATAAACTAGCTGATAAAATTTAATAATAATAAAGAAAAGTTGAAAAGTAATGTTTTTATATTTTTTCAACATAATGTAAAAATGGATTTTAAAACTCAAAAAAAATAAAATAATGAAAAATTTTGAATATTTTTTAAATATTAAACAAGAAAAATCGTGTTTTATTTTCAAAAATAAACATTTGATTACAAAATGTAACATTTTAACAAAAATTTAAAATAAAAATAGAATACCTTTTCATAAACAAACTTAAAGTAAGATTTTATCATTTCAGAAAAAAAAACTCTTTATTAGAATAAACAAAAGTTTAAGATTATTATTGTTATTTATTTTGTTGTTTTTAGTAAATTATTTACTATGTATTGTATGATTTAACTTTTTTTATTGAGGCTTTTTAACAATGTGCAAAATGAATTAAGAAATTATTTTATTAAATTTAAAGCAAGAAAAACTAGTTAGTTGCTTTTCATTTATAATCAAAAATAATTAATTAATTAATTGATTGATAGCAAAACACTATAAAATTTAACAAATAATTTATTATAAATATAATATCTTTTTATCTAATATTAAAGAAAAATTAAATCATTTCAAAAAACAACTCTAAGTGTGAAGAAATTGAAATGTTTATGATTAATGGGGTTGTTGATTATGTTGTGTTTATTAATTTTTTTATTCTATATTGGGTAGATGCATGATAATACTTTTAGATTTTTAATTATTTTGTATATTTGATACTTGATTAGGATTTTTAGATTCTTGCTAAAAACTAGAATGAGAAAATATGACTTGTGAACTTTATCTTTTATTTATTGATCTTCTGTGAATTAATTATAAGTTTGTTTATGATTTGTTTTAGTTTCTTTCAGTTTGCTATTGTTTTATATAATTGTTTTTTAATAAGTTTTATAGAGATTCCTTAGCTTTTTCAGAAGTTTCTTTTGGAGTTTACATTGTTGATTATGTATAGTTAGAATCAAATATTATAGAAGAAAATTCCTTATCCTTTTTAGTTTCTGGCTATTCATTTGGAAACTATTGATGACTCAAACTTAAAGCTTAAAAGTTATTAATTTATTAGATTTAATTATGATCTATTAATTAAGGTTACTCAAAAAATTTTCTAATGTTAAAATTAAATTATTTCTTTCTGGTTTTTAAAGTGCCTGATGATTTACTTGCTTCACTCAAATTACTGATTTATTATTTATCAATTTGTTTTTTACTAGTTTATTATATTAAATCATTTTTGTCTTTACTTGATCCTCGCTAATTTACTAAATCTTCACAGCTTGTCAAATGTTGAGGATTCTTCTATTGTAGTTCAAGTTCAAAGTTTTGGAATTTATCCTGCAGTCTTTTTTTAGACAAGTATTTTTATAAAAATTTTGTCTATTGAGAAATTTAAGTTGATGAAGAAAATTAGTTATTTGTTGTTCTCTATTATAAATTATCTAGCTAATCTATATTAATATGTTGAGCACTCTTACTTTAAACAGGATCAAAAGTAGAAGATTATTTTTTAATCTTTTCCTTTTCTGAGCTTTAAGAATTTATAACATTTTTTAACTCTAGCATGTATTTATTATTTTTTCCATTAATTTTCTCTTAGCTAGTAAAATAAGTCTAATCGAAAATTAAATCTTTCTGTTAATTGAAAATATAGTTAATTTTCTTTTATTCCAAAGTGAAATTATTATGAGGCGTATTTGCTTAAGATTAAAAAATGTTATCCGTTGATATATTCTTTTTGTATTGCTTATCTTTTTGCTATTATCTATCTAGTGTATTAAAAATCTACTCTCTTGCATTTACCATTTACTCTAATTTATTAGCTTAACTTTTAAGTATTTGCTATGATTAATCAGTTGCTTCTACAGCTCCTAACTTTTGCGACTGATGTTTTCTGTGAACCATCAACTTTTGAAGCATACTATCCTTCAATTCCTAATATATTTGTAATATTTATTGTTAGTTAAAGCAATAAAGATATTTATTTACAAATGGTTATTCAATATTTTTTTTTGATGATAATTCTGTTTCTATGATATTCTGTGTATTAAAAATTTTCTCTGCCATTAAATCCCTATTTTAAAGCTTTTTTTTGCATTCTTCGATAAAGGTATCAAGCTGCTTATAACTTTGAAGGAACTTCATAAATTTCTTAATATTTTAAATTTTAGTTCATTAAAGAAACAATGATTATAAAAAGTTTATTAATTACTTAAATATTAAAAGCTAGTACATTCAAGTCATTTGAAGAACTAATTACTTTAATTTCTCTAACACTAGATGGGGATGATTGGTTAGATATTTCGTCAATCCCAAAAAAATTATTCATCCCCAAAATGTTTACATTAATTCTTTTTTTATCACACATTTTTGATATGCTAACTTCGCCATGTAATATAAAGTAAATTAAATCTACAGGATCTCCCTCTTAATAAATAATCTATTTATTGATATATCGCATTTTTTTTGCACTATTTATAAAATTAAGAATTCGTGAGCCAGGTATGTATTTAAAAAACGAGAACTGTTAGAAGAATGCTATCTTTTCTGTAATTTGCTCTTGAATGTATTTGATAAATACTTATTCAAAACCTTCCTTGCTAATTGTTAGTAGATGAGTATCCTCTATGCAAACCATAGTAGAAGATCTAATTAATTATAAAAAAAATTTCTTATCCAGTAAAAAAGCTTATTAAATTAATTAATTTATAATCACCAGTTAAAAACAAAAATTGATTATTTTGTGGATGATTTTGTAAAATAACGATTGAAAAAGAATTAGTTTAATTTTCTAAATAATTAAAATCCCCAAATACCTACCTTGTTTGATGAGTTATTATCTCAATATCTCCAAAACCTTAACCAATCTCAAAATATTTCTCAAGTACTTTATTTGGCAAATTAATTTTTTGATTGTTTAAGTTTTTATTTAATTCAACTTGCTAATTTTTTGCCTGTAAAATATCATTAAGTCTTGAACTCTATAGCAACCTTTAGCTAGTTTATGAAATATGAGGGTCTTGTTACTTTTTTTCACTATTTTCATCATTGTACTATGCGACTTTTCCTGTAGAACAAAATTAATAGGAATTAAATAATATTAAATATCTATTTTAATTTACCTTTTAAGATGACATAATAGTTAAAAGAAAATTCACCTAATTATTAATAAAAATATATTTTTAATTAAGCATAGCTATTACATATTTAATATACCAGAGCTGTATATAGTCTAGCCTTTGCTAAAGAAAGAGTAGCTAATAAAAGGGTATATATTTTAACTCAAGTCAGTTTCTCCTAAATCGTTTTTAATATTCAAAACTTTTAATCCTCTTAAGAAAAGTTATATAAAATTGATTTCTTCTTTATTTCTAATTGGTTTCTTCATCACATGTAGCAAAATCTTTATTATAAAATGATGTTACTTACTATTAATATTTTTTTATATTTTAGTACTTCATTATGAGTAGGATTTTCTAATTATATTTTGTCATTTGAAAGTAGAATTTATTTTATTTCTTGCAATTTTAGCTAGTTGCGATATTAAATATGCGACTGAAGATTAGATATAGGAGAGTTTAAGGAGTCCATACAAATCGTATTCAATTAAGCTTTAGCATTTTGATGCGAATAAGAGTTATCCATGTCTTTAGGTGAATTTTGATTTCTTATTCTATCAAGGACAAGTTTTCTTAAGTCTTTTTTTAAATCATAAGATTACTCATAATTAAAAATCTCAATAGAACATCTTTATCTATTACTGATATTTATATTTTCTAAGAGTTAGCAGCTATTTAACTCTTTTATAATCATATTTCGCTTTGTAGTTGTTACTAATATTGTAAATTTATTAAGACTATTTATAATTTAAAAAAACCTTATTTTGCTCAATACCTTATTTAATTAATTTGTTTATTTTTTAATATTCTTTATTTTTTTTACAAAAAATATGTTTGTTTTTTAGATTTAAGAAAATGCATTTATTAAAACATCAATAATCATCAAAAATTAAAAATAATAAGTTCATAAAAATTTAAAGTAAGCTTTTTTTACTATTTGATGTATAGATAAATCTTTTTTACTGAGCCTATTTTAACATACTTGAAAATAAATGTAAAGCCATACTGTATTTTAAATTTCTAAAAATATTACAATTATTACATCTGGTTATAAATATAATTAGGAACATATCAGTAATAATATTATTTCTTTCATTTTTATTAGAATATTAAATTACATTAATATCATTAAAACTAATAAAAATTATTTTCTTTTAGTAAAATAATACACAAAAAATTATGTTATAATTTTAAAATATAAGAAAAGGCATTTAAAAAAACAAATTAATTAATTTATATTTGTTTGCTTTATACTAATTAATTAATAAGTCAAATTCTATTTTAAAAAATACTATGAACTTTCATAACTTTAATCGCAAATATTTGAAGTATATACTAACATTAAGTTGTTTATATGCTTTATATTACTTTCTAAAAACTCAACTTTAAAAAATTTTTATTTATATCAAAATTACATTCAAATCAAACTGTATTTAATACTAATATAAATATTATTTGATTATTTATTTTGTTTAATATGTTTCTTAAGAATGAAAGAATAAATAAACGAGTGTAGAAATTATCAATTTAATAAAATTTAATTAATTTTAAAATAAAATTAAATAAAATAAGAAAATATTGTTTGAAAAGTATTTTAATACACATTTTTATGTAATAAATTCATATTTATTTTATTAATTAATTAATTAATTAATTAATAATTTATTTGCTCTTTATATTAATTTTTATTATTTATTTATTTAACTTTATAAAAATTCTGTCATTATTAATGATATATTTTGATTTTAAATTTCATGGATTTTCAGAAAGCAAATCATATAGAGTCAAAATAGGATTTGTAATTAAGAAATTTGATATTTCCTTCTAAAAAGCATAAGTTTAGAGAACATAAACTTTAATTTATCTCAAAAGCGTATTCAAATATACTGTATCATTTATAACATTTTAATCAACTATATTAGCTTAATTTTTATCTATTATCACATAATTTAGATCACTGTAAGATTAAATTTATATCAGCATTTTATATATATGAGTTAAAAATTAATTTTTTATTTTTATAATCAATTTAACATCTTTGCTAATGATTACACTAAAAAATTCAATAAATTAAATTGAACTTATAATATCTTAGTCATTATCTGAAAATTATAAAGTTTAAATTTCATTTGATAAATCATACCTAGTACTTAATGTAAAAAAATATAAATCATGATAAAAATTAATTTAGCAACTTTTATGTGAATCTTTACAATGTTGGAATATATTTTTATATGTCCTCATTAAATTTGAAATCAAATTTTGCTAATCATTTTTTTACGAATTAAAGCTTTTTATGTCCATTTTAAGAGAAATGAAAATATTTGCTTTGTATACGAACTTATCAAGTTAATTTATAATGTTGGCTGGATCAATTATTAATTTATTTTAGTCCCATTCTAGATGTATAGATACTGTGTTATTTCTAGTTATTTTATAATAAATATTGATTGAAACGATAATTATCTGAAAGGAAGACACTCCTAAAAGAAAGTACAGTCCATAATCAGCATTAGCTACTAAGGGATAATAATTTAACTTTAAAATAAATAGAGTTATTACAATCAAACATTATTATAAAGCAAACCTTAGATCTATCCATTTAGCTAAATAAAAATCTCTTCTCTTTTTATAGAATGTGCTCAAAGTTAAGATGTTAAATTAATATATGTATTTTAATAGAGAATAAAATAGATAATTAGACATTAAAAAATCCTATAAATTCGCTTGCCTCACCAAGTTTTAAGCTTCTATTAGTAGAATTATTAAGTTTAAAAGCATAACTGAAATTGATATTATTTTTTGATATAAAAAACTTTGAATCAAGATGTACCAAAAACAAAAATTGATTGCTATCTAAGGTAAATTTTATAAAATAAAAGCTACTTTTTAAAATTTTTATCTTACTCTGATTGCAAACAAAAGTACTGCTCCTATGAAAAAATGATTTGCAAATATGATAAAAGCATAATAAGGACTAGAATAGATTTAAGTTTGCTCAGATATTGCTAATATATTAGAAACAGTCACTGGAAACACAATAAAAAGCATCTGTATTATTTCATATTTTGCTTATTATTTAATTGACTAAGCGCATGTTATCCACTCACTTCGGAATATTACAAATACAATAAAAAATAAATTTCCTATTTATCTATTGCCATAATAGTGAAAGTTAGCAAAACCTAAAACGATTGAGGAACACCATATGCTTAAAGTTATGTAAAGTTACAATCTTAAGCCATCATTATAATAAAGGATAAGCTAATTTAATAATAAAATGTTTGCTACCATATTAAGTATACAGCATGTATACAAAATTTTAAATTTTTGTCTTTCTACATTCATTTTATTTTGCTTTTGTTATTAAAAATCTTTTTAACACAATATATTAAATATATAAATTAATTTTTGATCAATATATTAAAAGTAATATGACAAGCTAGATCATAAGAGTTAATTATTCTATAATCAGGTATAAATAATTGATTAATAAAAATATTATTTAAAAAGATTTGTTCTATCTTTTTTGATGATAAATATTTTTTATTTGTTAAAAAATGTAAAGTTCATCTTTATTAAATGGAAATTATAAGAACTCATAAAATGGATTGGAAAGTATTATTTTTTTAAAAGAAAATAATTTACTGATAAAATTCTTTGTTTTTTTTATAAATACAAAACAAACTTAATTTAAATTTCAAAAAGAAAACAAAATTAATTGTATTTTTTAGAATTTATTCATTTTAAAATTCAATCCAAATTTCTGATAAAATCAAAAATTAAATCTTAGTAGTCTATAAGCATAATAGAGATTTATAATAAAATTTTTTTTTTACAGTAAATCAAACTTCATACAAAATCAAAAATTAAATTTTAATAGTCTATAAGCATAAAAGAGATTATAATAAAAATTTTTGTTACAGTCAATTAAATGTGAATAGTCTATAAGTATAAAAGTGATAAAAAAAATTTTAAGTCAATCAAATTTCAAACAGTATAACTAAATAAATGTTAATCCTCTAAAACTATAAAAATGATATTTTTTGAAATATATGTAAAATTCAAATTCAATAATTACCAATAAATAAATATTAATACTCTAAAACTAACTAATAAAATGATATTTATTAATATTTATGTTAAAAGCCAATCAAATTTCATAGAGAATAAATAAATAAATACTAATAGTCTATAAGTATTAAAATGAAATTTATTAAAATTTTTGTTAAATGTCAATCAAGTTTCATACAGAACAAATAAATATTAATACTCTAAAACTATAAATTTGATATATTTATTTAAAACTTATCTTAAAATAAACTTAATCAAATTTCATAGAGATCATATAATACTATTTTCGGATTATTCAATAGATATTATTAAACATTATTTAAAAAAGCTAAGGAAGAAAAATAGTTACTCCTAATATGTTCTAGTATTTATTTGAAAGAATATCTAAATTAACTTGTTATTTATTTATAGTTAATAAACAAATACTCATAACTATTTAATCTTTGAATTTGAATCAAATTTTTCATGCAATTAGATAAAAATTTTGTTTCTTACATTTCTACATATACTGGAGCTGCTTAATCAAATAATTGTGTTATTTCTTACAGGGCAACTAAATTTTCAGTTGATTAAAAAAAAGTTTCTAATATTTATATTTCTTATACATTTGCGTTATATTTGTTAAAATTTCTTTATACCTTAAAATTAATTTGATTTTCTATTAAAATAGTAAGAGTAAACCTTTTGCTTTAAAAGTTTTTTAAACACAAGATCAGTTATTAAAGTTTATCTATAAAACTATAAAAGTCATTTTTGCTTTATCCATTCAATATATTATTTTCAATAATTATGTTTATTGAAATATCGATTATAAATCTATCTTATATTATTTAATAAATGTTTAATGGAAGTTCAAATTTTTATTTTTTGAGATTAATCTAAGCTTCGTATGCGTTTTTCTTTATTATTTTAAAAATTAAATTAACCACAAATAAAATAACTTCAAAGCTTCCAAAGGCCAATAATATTACTATTAAACATCTTATGTTTCCTTATTTTATAAAGGGATAATTTAAAAAAAACTAGACAATCACTTGGATAATCTGTAATCCTAAAATAAATATTGATTTCCATTATTATAATTAGAAGTTCTGACCTCTGCTTAAATAAAAAGAAAATACCTCAGTATTTATCTATATTAAGATATTAAATAAGAGATAAAATATTCTTTCAGAGTATTCAGAATGATGCTTCCAATATTTATGAGCAGAAATTGATATGAAAATAATGAAATTTCCAAATAGAATAAATAAAGTTATTTTTTTCTAATAGTAAATACCCTAAATAACTAAAATCCAAAAGCATAGACTCAGGCATACAGAAGGAAACCAATTATAAATTGCTTATTGATAGTTGTTTTCTTTTTAGTTTATTGATATAACTAATAAATGTGTGATTGCTATAAAAATAGAGCTAAATATTATAATAATGATATAAATTCCATGAATGGTCTCAATTTTAGGATTTGAAACCAAATATATACTAGTGATTTGTATTGGCAGAGCTAAAAATAGCATCTAAATACTAAAGAAATTAACATAGCTTTTAGGTTATTAAGTTATAAAGTACCATTCAGAGTTGATTAAATTTAGCAAAAAGTATATCAAATAAGTCATAAATGTTTTGTTAATTTGTTTTTTAATAAAGAAAATAGCTGCTAATATTTTTGAAATTCCCAAAGCTATTAAAGTTCCTATTAATATGGAGTACTCATTCACGTTAACCAGTGCTGTAATATATTTTATAGTAAGTATTGTTAAAACAAAGCTTGCAGGTACCCCAAATACCATATTAACATCTTTCTAAAAAAAATTTCTCATTTTTTCTATATATTTCTTAAATCTTAATTTTTTTCTTTTGAAATCTTATAAAATTACTAATTTTTATTAATTAAAACCATTCAAAATGCTTTTAAAGATTTAGCTCTCGAATGAACTTCAAAATGTATTACTAATTTTACAATAACTTTTGGATATTGGAATTATTGTAAGATAGAAATAAATTTGATTCTGATAAATTCTTAAGTTTTCTAATTTGAAATTTATTTGTCACATCATTAAAATTAATTTTAAAAATAATTACTAAATAATTAGGTAAATTAAAATTTTTTTTTACTTATTATTGAAAACAAAAAAAATAAAATAAAAATGATTAAGTAAGTGGTTCACTTCCATTCTTTATTTTAGTTTTTTGATTTTTAAAAACAAGTAAAATAAAATTTTAATTTGCTAAATTTATTAAGCAATTTTTATGATAAATTTTCAGCTCAAACAAAATAAATAATATTTAGAAATTAATAAATGAATAAATTCTTTCTATATCAATAAATAGTTGAAAATAACAAGCTAATATTTAAGATAGAAAAATTTAGTAGATGCAAATAGATAATTTTTAGAAAAAAAAAGTATTAATTGTTAAAGTTAGCTATTACATTATTAAATAGAATTAGTAAATTGTTTTTATAGACTATTGAAACTATTCTAACAGATAATTTTTTATCTAGTATATTAAAGTACTTTTCTATTTAATCACACACTAATTTCATTTATTTGTATAATTCATCTATTAATTTTTATTTTAAAGTATGAAATTATTTATGTAATTTTAAATTTTTCTCAATAAAAATTATTTATTTTTAAGAAAATTAAAATTTATATTTATAAAATTGTAATTTTTTTAGAAAAAGTTTGTAAAGTATTTTTATTATTTATAAAGATCTTGTATATTACTAAATTCATCCAAGATTATGACAAAACTAGAATTTAGTGCTATACACTTTAGACCTAAAAATAAATAGGTTAATTTTGTAATATGAAATATTTATTATTTAAAAATATAATTTGATCAATAAAAATATCAAATTTATTTAACTTAATTAATAATAAATAAATTAGTAAATACAAATAAAATATTTATAAGTAGTATTTATTCAAATAAATTATTTTAATAATCTTAAATGGAAGTAGCTCTCAATTTTCAAAGGTTGTTGAGGTCTCTGTTGTAAATTATTTTTAGTTAAGTACTCTTCAATGTCTTTTTCTATTTGAATTCTTAATTATTCAGCTGGATCTAAATACCCTTCATTTTAAGAGTTAAGCTCTACGTATGTGTTGTAAGCTGAGAATGTTTTAATAAAGTTGATAAATTAATCAACAGTTGCAGGGATCTTTTAAATTTATTCTATTTTCTTAACGAATTTGTAAATTTCATTAAATCTATAATTTGGATAACTAATTTTATTTTAAAACTAATTAAAAAACAATATTAAAATTAATAATGTAATAATACCCTTATATTAGTTCGTTACAATCAAATTAATAAAGAGGATAGGTTTTTTCTTCAAAAATGCTGAGGTAATTGCTTGCTGCTCTTTAACTCATTTCCTCATTATCAAAATTATAATCATATGTTTTGAAATAATAAGACGCAATTATAAGGCTTCCATCAGGTTTTAAGAGATCTTTTCCTACCATTTTTAGGAAAGGATGCACATCAAACCAATGCAATGCTTACCCAACAGTAATCAAATCAAATTTAGTAGGTAGGTTTTTTTCTTGCAATATATTAGGGAGTTGATGGCAATCAGCCTTAATAGAATAAACAGAATTTGATAAGTTGTTGCTCTTGATTAACTCTTCAACTACACTCAATTATTTTTCTGATATATCTGTACCAATTGATTTTTCAAAATGATTTTAAAGCTGAAATAGTAGTTATCCAGTACCACAAGCAATATCTAAATAAGCTTTTTTGTCTCCTGACTCTGCAGTTTCTTTCATTAAACTAATTATCTCGTTAGGATATTTTGGCCTGTAAGCTTCATAGTTTTTTACTTGATTTTATTCATTACCAAAGTAGTCTTTGGTCTAAGAAGGTAAATTTTATGGTAATTAGGAATTCATTCTTCGTTTTTTATTTATAAATTAATTAATTTATTTATTAAATATTTAATTTAAAAATTGATTTATTTTAATTATTGAATCTTTTATTTAAATGAATTTGTCTACAACTTCACGTAAATTGTTTTAGTACTTTCAGAACTATTTCATCACTTTTAATTTTAATTAATCAAATAATATCATCATCAAATTGTAAAACTTGACTATTGATCAAACTATTTCTTGCAGATCAAAATATAATTAATACATTTAAATCTATGACTTAATTCTAAGATAAATGACGACATTGATTACTATTTGTTTATAAAATACAAATGTCAATTTAAACTTTATGATTTTTCAATAGAGTATATATCGTGTTTCCTCTATAAAATAGTGAACTAAATAGTAGGAATGCATGCAGCTTTGAAAATTATTCTCAATATTGGTTTACATATAGTAAATGAATTAAATGATTGAGGAATGGAAAAATTAAGATGAATGAAAATATACAATTAAATATTATATTAATATTCTTTTCTTTTTTAAAAATGAAGTTAAATTATATTTAAGATTTTTTTAAGTTAAACGGATTATGTTATAAGCATATTGGAATAATATGTAGACTAAAATTTATAAAACCTATATCAACTTTTTCAGTATAACTACGTAGACAGACACTATGAAAATATAATACTATCTTATATTGAGTGGGCCTTTTAATTTGATGAAAAATAAATTTATAAAATAGACTAATTTAATAATCCCTATAATCACTAAATTATTATAGAATAATACAATTAATGAAATATCTAGAAAATTGTTACATTTGAGGAATAGATAAGTGCTATTGGCTAAAAAATCATCAAATTTTTTATTAATTATTTAATAAAAGAAATTTAGGCATAAAAATACCAGCTTATAAAGCTTATAGTTATATACTTACATTTTTAATTTAATTTTAAATAATTTAACTAATACTTTTAAGAAGAGACATGGTTCAAAATATAATATATCTAATTGAGTTTAATTTTTCTATAAATTAAAATAAATCAATTTAAATAGTTAATTATTGAGTTGTTGATTATTTTATATTTTATATGGAATTATTCTAATACATTTAATAGAAATCAATATAATTAAACAGCAAACAATATCTTTATTTTTTAATAATTCAAATTTAAGAAAAATAGAAATAGAAATAAATAATTTTAAATTTTTTTATATTGTAATTGATCAAGACTGACTGACTGGTTGAAAAGTCATGAGGTTTTCCTTTATATCAAATTGTAGGAATATCTAAGCGTAAATAACAAACAGCAATTAAAGCTGGACCTAAGATCATACCAAACCAAAAGAGATAATTTCCACTAGTTTTATCTTTCATGTGTTTTGTTATTGCAAAAAGTGGAATTTGTTAAAGCATAAAAATGGTCATAATTGGCTTGAAAGTTCTAAAGATCAAACAAAAGACCCATTCGTGTAAAATAGCACTAAAAACAAAAGTTATAATTTGAGCTGTCTTTTTGGAAAATTTATGGTTTTCTATGCACTCAAGATAAACATGTCTGTATAAAAAGGTGTGAACCGGTCTATTCCATTTTCTATTTGTAAAAAATTTAAAATTTTAAAATTGAAATTGAGTGGATAAAAATATATGTGTTTTCTTGTTAAAAATAAAAGTAAATACTTGGAAATAATATTACAAATTAGCATTATTAGATATAAATTGAATGATATTATTCATATTTTTTATTTATTGATTAAGTTTAATTTGAGATTAATAGTTTGATATTTAAAAATTAGGTATCTTTATTTGGCTAATTAATCGATGCTAAAATAAATAAATAAAAAAATTAATTAATTAATTACCTATTATATTCTTCAAATGTAGTACTATTCCACCAATCCTAATAAAAGCATCTGTCACCAAAACGAGTTAATTCACCAAATACATTCAAAATATTTTCAAAAACAACCCAAAATAGCACCATTTATAAGATAGTAAATGGGAAAATGATTCTGAATAGAGTTTCAAACCAATATATTTTGTTTCCTTAACTTGTGTATGGAATAATATAATCGCAGCAAACTATATAGCCAAAAAGAATTCCAAATGCTGCCATTGAACTCTTATATACAACATATTTGTAATCAACTTTATCCTTTCTTGGAAATGAGTGTTCATATACTAGAGTAGGCATCCACATGTAGAGAGTAAAGTTTTCTAGCGATATGTTAGCAGGATAGCATGGATTTTTAGTTTCTCTGTACTACTTGTTCATCTACTTATATGAATGCAATTTAAAGTAATGAGTACAGCAAATAAAGGAAATGAAAGTTGCGTGAGTAGTTCCCCAGTTTCTGTTCATTATTATGAAGTAAGAATAAGCAAACAAGAACAGTTCGCTAAGTATCTGCAATGCGCTAACAATTTTTTGGTTAAAGCCTTTGACGATAGCCTTTTGCAATATTAAAGCAACATAAGAGTAGATGTAATAGAGAGGCCAGTGACCCAAGCAAAGGAAAAAGTCATCTTTAAAAGAGTTGATGAAAACCAAAGGAAAGATCTCTCCTTGGTTAAGATATCTTAGTATGGGATCAACAGAAAGGAAAAAAAATCCAAAAATAATACCTGCAGTGTAAAATCCCCTATAATCAGATTTATTTAAATTAGAGCTTGCGTGGTAATCGTCAAGAAGAGAAATTCTTTCCTAAAATATCTTTTTTTTAACGACTTATTAATTAGATTCATCACTAGATGATCTCTCAAGTTTAGGGAGATCTTTTGTTGAGGAATTTTTGTGATTAGATATATCTTTTTATCTCCTAACCAAATTATGCATTTCAGCCATTTAAATCTTAATATTTATTAATACTTTTTGTGTAATGAAATATGTGTATTTTTTACTTAAATTTAATATATTGATTCTTGATTATTATGAATTCAAGATTTAAATGAGCTATGCCTGTATTACATTATAATATTATTGTTTGTCCCCACTTTAATATTATTAATCAGATTATTAATTAATAATATTATTTAAATTTCAAAGTGGCTTTCAAATCAAATCTAAAAACTCAAGAAATCCTTTGAGTATATATCCTACGGTGTGTTTTTAAAAAAGTAACTTATTTGTCTGCCATTTTTTCACACTCGATTCGTAAAAATAAAAAAAGTAAATTTAGATGTAAAAATTTTTGGCTCTATATCAAAATAAATGCGTATAATAAAGATTGCTTACTAATTTTAAATTAGAAGAATCTATTTCCACAAATTTAGTTTAATTTTTAATATTTAGAAAAATAGAAGATAATCAGATTTAAAAATTTTGTTACTAAATTTCTTTATCAACTCACAGAGGCAAAAATTAAAAATTAATTAATTAGATTATGTGGGAAAATTTGTTTAGAAATCCTTACATTTCTTTTCATATCGTAAATATATGATTTAATTAAAAATATACGTCATTTAAAGCAATCTAAAAGCAACATTGAGTTTAACACAAATAAATAAATAAATTTGTATATTTACCAATTCTAAATCTTATTATACTTTCATTTATTATTAGATTAAATTTTATTGTTTGATTTTTCAAATTAATTTTGCTGAAGTTTAGAGCTGCTTTCACTGATTACTAAATTTTCATTCAAAACTAGATTTTTATAAATAAACAACTCTTGACTAAAATACTTATTTTTTAAAGTTTCTGTTGCTTAAATGAGAGCTCTGTACCTATCAGCTAAATCAAATTATAAAGCATATTGCATTTTCCTTAAACAAACTGGGCAGAGCTAAAATGGTTTACTTCCAGATTCTTCATAGTGGTTAGATCCATTCATTATGCAGTGATAATAAATGCAATGTTTAATTCCAAATTAGTGGACTACTTCATGACACATCACCTTACAGCTTCTATATATTACCAAATCTTAGTCTACTTAAGCCTTTGGATAATAAAAACTCTCTTAGTATCTTGCAAAACTAAAAACACCTACCTATATAATCATTTATATTAAAAGTTAAATATCTAAAGAAATAGATATTAAAATTATATTAACGCTTTAAATTTTGAAAAAAAGTTACTAAATTTAAAATAGTCTATTTTATTGCAGTTATAATTAAATAAGTAAATCAATTTAATTATCAGTTTGAGATCGCTAAAAATAACTACAAATATTAATAAGATGATATAGATAGATTTCAATTCAAGAAATATATTTATATGAAAGATTTATTTAATTTTTACTTTTTCTTACAAAGAAGCTAAACCGAAAACAAAATTCCATGATTCTTTGTTGTAAATATCTGTCATACAAATTCCAATAATGCAATAAGCATCCTTAGGTTTCGATTCTTTTAACAATTCTAAAATTTTTGGAGCATAAAATTACTTTTTGTTTTCATTTATTCTAGTCTTTACTCCTAATTTTTCAACTTCTAGCAGTGGCAAAAAATCTACTTTGATTCCAAAGAAAAAGGCAGATGCAAATATTTTCAGCTTATCAACGAATTCCTTATTTATATCTTGTTCTAGAGGTTGGATATATATTTTTCTTTTTTTAGTATCTATAGTTCTAGGTTTTTCTATATATTTATCAAATGTTTGACCTTCTTCTTTTTAATTATATAACCAATCATCTGAATAAGGATTTGGTACAGGTTTAAAGTATCCAATTATCTTCTTAATTTGCGTTTAATTTTTTTAAGACAAAGAGCTCAAATCACCCAGAGCTTTTTCTCTTTACTACTGAGTCGGTTAAGAAAACAACTATTTCTTTTGCATTATCTAAAAAATTATTTAAAAAACTTTTCAACCTTTGTTAAAAAATTATAATGAAAAGTAGAAGAGAAAGAGTTTATTTTTCAGTATTATGCAATGTTATATAAATAAGAAATCATCAGAGTGAATTTTATAAAAAATATAGAGTGTCTTATCAATTTTATTAATACTTTTTTAAATAAAAAATTGTTTTAAATTCAAACAAGATTAAAAAATTGCTTTATTTCACTCATAATACATTTAAAATCTAAAATATAAAGAAAAGTTAAAAAAAGCTACTAGGAAACCTTTAAAATTAATTTAGAAGAAAAACAAATTATCTAAAAAAATCTTTAATTTAAAGTGTTTTATTATATAAAATTAATCAACAATAAATACTATTAGAAAAATTATTTTTATTTTTGAATAATTGGTAATTCAAAAAATATAGAAAAATTGTTGAAATTAAAATTTAATTGAAATAAATTTATTTTCTATCATTTTAAAAATAAATAGATAGATAGATAGATAGATAGATTCAATAAATTTATTTTTAAGGATGTTTTAATAATGAAATTTAATTTATTTTTTAGAAACATATTAAAAGGCAATAAGTATTTTTCATTTAATTTTATTTTTTTAATGAGCTGGTTAAATAATATTTTTTTTATATTCTATTTATCTCACATAAATTAAAAATATTTATTCTCAAATAATCACAAAGTTGCTAATTATAATAGTTTAAAATAATATTTTTATTTTTTATATATTAAAAATGACTTTATAATATGTTCACTAAGTTAAATTAAACTTTTTTTATCTGTTTAACAAAAAACTTTTATACTGATTTTTTCTCTAAAAGTAAAGAAAGGTTATGATAATATTGACTTACATTTCATCAAATAGGTTTAATTACAAAAGATAAGATTTTTTAATAAAATTTGCAATACTGGATAAAAAAATTGTGTATATAATTTGCTTGACTTCTATAACATGAGCAGCCACTTTTCTTTGTAGTAAGAAAAGGTTATAAATGAACCAAATTCTGTCTTGCCTAAAAATAATAATGCTTAAATACAAAAGGATAAAAGGGGATCGGTGCATCTTAGACTTTTCAAGCTTATGTTAGGTCGCTCTTTATTAAATGTTCTTCAAGATGATAAATGTACAAAGCTTTTTAATATGTAGATCCAAAAAGAAAATTATATGAGGAAAATAGTGAATAAAAAAATAGTTTCTTTAAAGGTTGAAGAAGATTAAGATGTAAAAATTTTAAAAATAAATTAAAAAATAATTTTAGTGTTCATTAATTGCTATTTATTCATTTGAAGTCTTTTACAATAATGTTAAATAATCATTTTATAAAAAGATGGTTCTCACAATTATTAAAAAAAGTTATAAGAACAAATTTGAGTAGTAATTTTTAATAAATGCTATTAAAGATCTTGATTTTTTTGAAAAAAACACTTTCTTGTTAGAGTAGTAACACAAATTGAGTAATATTATCAATATTAAGTCTGTTTAAAAAGGAACCATATTGCTAGAAATAGGAGATTCTTGTAGCTGTTATTTTATCATTGTTAAAGGTATTATAATACAATATATTCCAATATTAAATGCTATCCCATAAAAAGAGATTAAAAATATAAATTAATTATTATTAGGATTAGTATATGGTATGCATCCTAAGCTTAGAGCTTTTAAAAGAAAATAAAATAAGAAGAATAGCGTTGTATTTAATTCTTAGTAGAATGGTACCAGCTAAATAGAAAAATAAGGAACTCAAGATGTAGATGCTTAAAATATTCCTTTATTAGCTAAATAAGAGTCGTTTTCTATCAATCAAAATCATATTAATTCAAATACACCCAAAAATTCTCCAAAAGCAAAATTACTTTTTAGACAATAATCTAAATCTCTTTTGTAAAAATTAATTCATTTGAATTATGTTTGTTTGACATGTTTTTAATTAATTAATTATTCTGATAAAGTAACGAGAGTCCTCTTTCTATTCCCTAGATGTTCCCTCACATGGATATATTATAGACATATAAACCAGGCGATTCCTTTGGATAGGTATTTCTATTGTCTAATAGTGTTTCGTAATTATTAAATGATAAATATTTGAAATCAATAATCTTATCTTAAAAGTTATTTAAAGTTGATTTTTCAATTATAGAAATGAAATTTATCATATTTACCATTAATTAAAATTTTAAATTAAGAGAAATGACGTTTGTGTGTGGAGAAGACTGCGAATTTTTAACTATTTCAAAACAAGACTATGAGGAACTAGTAGGAATATAGAGAGAATAAATACTGAGATAGAAACTAGAATTTTTAGAGAAGTTTGATATTTTTTATAATTTTACTAACATAATGCTACTTCATATTTTAGAATTAATGCAAATTTAAAAGCTAGATAAAAATCAAGTCATATTTAAGTAAGGAGAAGAATGTAAGTATATTTACTTTATTAGGTAAGGGGAAGTAAGAATTTCTTTTACTTATACTCCAGAAACATATCAATCAGATATCAAATTAGCTTAAAGTAAACTATCCTCAAAGTAATAAGAAGAAGAATCGCCTTAAAATGTTTAACAGGAAACTTATAAAGAAAAATAAAATAAAAACAAAAAAAGATTTTCCTAATCTTAATCAACAGCAGATGATAAGACTGATTAAATTGATTAAAATTAAGCTATTAGTAAAAAGATTAACCAAAATGAGATCTAAAGCGATTAGGAAATTCTTAAAACGCTTGAGTTACAAAGTAAGCAAGTTAAAAATTCTCTATTGACTTAATACAACTCAAATTTGGGTAGGAAAACAACAAAAGTACTAGATATTATTATACTCTCGTAGAATACATATTTTGGAGAAGAAGATATAATAAGTAATCAATAAATAAGAAACTATACAGCTACTTGCCAGTCTTCTCAGACTGAAATATTTAGAATAGATGCCTAGGTAAGCATTTTTATTAAGGTATTAGGAAATTAAAACTTATTTTAAAAAAGAGATTAATAAAGATTCTGAAGATTTAAAATACATATAAGAAAATGATTTAAACACAAAAGACTAAAACTAGCTGGTATGTTTAAAGAAGAAATGAATTAGTTTAATTTTGTTAAAATTAAAATTCTCAAAAAACACATCAAAACTCTGGCCATCAGGAAAATTAGCTTATTTTTAAAAGTTTAAAGAACAATTTTAGTGAAAAGGACTTAAAGAGCTTTTAAAAAAATATTCAATCGAGAAGAGGAAGTGCCATAAATAATCATCAAACTATTTTTTCTAATCCTTTTCTTTCAAGTATTAATGTGCCTTAAGCAGGATCTACGAATGTTATTTAAAAGAATAGTTTCAGCCTAACTGGAATCGAAGAATAAAGATTAAAAATGAACCATTAATTATTTTAGGAGAAGCTCTTTACAAAAGATTTTTAACTAGAAAGTAACCGAGATTTCATTCCTAGTAAATCTTCAGTGTCTTTCAATTTCATTGATAATTTGTATAAAAATTAAGATAAATCTAGTGCTGTTAGTAGAAATCTAAAAAATTTTCTTTCTCCTTAACAAAAAAATTTTAAACAAAACATGTTTAGCTTTAGTCAAAAAAGCTAATAGAAAATTGAAACAAAAAGATATACAAATCTCTTGTCAATAAAAGAGTAGCCCTCATCTCTTGAGTAATAGAAAATTCTTAATACCTAAATCTTTTCTTTGTAAAGCATTAGCAAGATAGAAGATCCTCAATTAACAGTCAAGGATGAAGAAATTTTTGAATCAAAGGAAAAAAAAAGTAAAAAATCAAAACTTAAATTGCAAATTAAAGAAAAGATAAATGAATAAGCAAATAAAAGTAACTTTAATGAAGCCTTTAACTTAAAAGAAATTTCACCCTTAAAGTAACACCGTAAATCTTTTTATAGCTTAGCTCATTCACCTGATAATAAGTTTCTCATTGATGGTTTTAAATTTGAAAAATAATTAAATGAATTTACTTCTCCACTTGCTAAAGGATTTTTATACAAAGATAATTTTATCATATAAGCAAAAAATTAAAGAAAATCAGTTCAATAAAGCCCTAATTTTATGCCTAATTCTCATAATTCTCAGCAATTTTCATTAAAAAGCTCTATAATAATTTCTGATGATAATAAAAACAAACTGGAAGAAAATTAAAACGTCTTTGATAGTAACTAACAAATACTGTACTATCCCTCTACTCTATAAAATTTAGATTCTATACCTTTATTAGCTAAGAATAAAAACAGAACTTTTTCGTTGAATCCAACGTCTCTTACTTCTTCTTAAGTCAAATCTACTAGTATCTAAAGTGATTTAGATAAAACTGAATAAACACAATAAAATTTGTAAATAAAATCATATTATATTTCTGATAACAGCAAAAGTCAATAAAATATAAGCTAGTCTATAAGTAAGTTAAATTAAAGCTCATCTAGGCCAAAAATATTTCTAAATAACTCAGCTAAGAGTATTGATACAATATAATTTGAAAATAAAAACCCTTTGAACAAAGTAAGTTATATAATTTAAAGCTCATAAAATAGCAGAAAGAATAGTTATTTAAACCTTAATTAAGATGAATAGACATTTAATTAAGATTAACTCTAAATTCCATCAAAATTAGCTGATTTCGATCATATTCAATCTAGGAATGCTTAAATTTTGCAATAATACAATAAAGAAAAGTTTGGCTAAAGAATAACCAATATTTTTAAGTTAAATAAACGTTTAGTAAATTCTAATAAAGAAAAAGTGTTAAATTTTTTAATTAATAAATAGAGTTAGGTCCAGTGAATAGATTGCATAAAATATATTAATTTAGAAAAAAATAAACAATTTTTAATTATCTAAAATTAATTTAACAATTTTATTTATTTTATTTGTTATACTAACTGGATTTTATTTATTTATTATATAATTTAAAACAAATTTAGTTCTTTTTACATTTTTCCAAATTTTCTTAAATGAAAAGTAAAACCTATAAAATTAACTTTTTACTCCAAATTAACTTAAATACATTGTGTCAAATAGTCTTTTGTTTGTATATTTTATTAATTTATTCATATTTTTTATAAACTTTTATTTGACTCCTTAAAACAAATAAATTTCATAATATATTATACCATAAATAGTTTACTTATGTTCTGATTTTCTAGGAAAATGAACAAACTTTTGAAAAAAATTGTTTGTTAAATTCCTAAAAGAAAAATTTTTTTTATTATCTTGATTAAGTGAATAGATTATGGTTTATCGACTCGAAAGTAGGGTGAAAATTTGATTTATTTAAGATTTTTAGTGTACTTCGGGATATATGTTGGTTTTCTTATAAAAGAATTACGAATAAAAAAGATAAATAGTTTATTTAAATAATATATTTTAACTTAAAATAATAATTGATTATTGTATTTTCTTAATTTAAATTAGTAATTTTTTTTAAACTATATTAAGTTTTACTCATGTGTATATAGACATAAATACAATTTTTTAATAATTTATAATCAATTTCAATTCTTTTCATACTTTTTTCCAAATTTTCTTAAATACATTTTGTTAAAACCTTTTTAAAATTCTTCATCAAATAATCCTTTGTTTGAATTTCCTGCTAATTTATTAACATTTTATGTAAGTCTTTACATGACTTCTTACTTTTGTTGTACCTACTTTTCAGCTTTTTCTAAGTAATTTTCGAACAAATTTAATTTAAATTCGTTTTTTAAGCTCTATAGGTTGGTTTCTAAGCTTTCTTTGGTTTATTATATAGGAATGTAAGTACTAGATTTACATTTTTTATGAAATTATAAATTTTATTTTTTTATTTGCTTTGGAGTATTTATCTAGCCTAATTATTGTATTTAGTAAAAATCTTAGCTCCTCTTTTATTCTTTCTAATCAGCATGATTTTATTGCTAATCTAAAATTAACTACAAAGAGTTTTATTTATTTTAATTTAACTATTTTTACTGTATTTCTTCAATAATTTAATTTTTTGAGTCCTTAATCGAAAAATCATAAAAGCTGGATTGTTAATGATTTAGGGTCTTTTGTTTGTCATATAATTATCTTCTTATTTTTTAATTTGGGCTAAAAATTGAACATGCTCCTATCACTCTTTCTGATTTAGTTATATTCAAGGATGAAGGACTTGTGTTATTACTTTTAGAATATTCTTCAATTTTAATTTATGACTAACTTGGAGTTTAAATTAATTTTGAAAAGGAAAAATTCTGCTTTCCTCTATCTATTTAATTTAGAGTTTTAGTTTTACTTCTTAAAGGAAACAAATCACTATTGCTAATATTTGAAGATGGTGATTGATATTATGAATTTTAGTTAGAAAGAGTTTTTGATTAAGAAAGCTAGAGAGATGATTTTCTTTTCATTTAAAAATTATTTAGAGCATTATTATCTTAAATAGCTAATTATTAAGCTTGTCTTGAGATATTTTATTCTCTTTTTTGAGACTGTATTAGTTGGAGTCTTTCTTCCATAAATTTATCTCTCACTTTTTCATGCTGCTTTAAGTTTGCGTATTTACCAAATACCTTTACTAACGGAAGAAGATTCTAATTATTTTATAAAAGATGAATTAATTAATTAACTAAAACACACACTTAATGTTTTTAAGATAATTTATTTAAAAATAAATAATTATAGTAATCAATTAATAAATACTGATATCTTAATTTCTATAATTTCAGATTCTTAAGAAGAACAAATTGCTTATGTAGTCCTCTAAGGAATTTTCTTAAGTATCTCATATTCTCCAAAATAGCTATTTTCACTTATTATAAGTATAGGTACCCTTTCTTATTTCTTTTTTCTCTTATTCATGGCTGTATAAAGATCTGACTCTCCATCATAATCATAAGCGATTTAGTCTCTCTATTCCTCTTGTGATTATGAAGTCTCTAAAATCTAGGTTAAAGTTACTTCTCCTTTACGTATGAAGTATATTGATTCACAATCTTAACCCTCTTAGTAAATGATATTTTTTGAGTTTAAATTTAAAGTGATAGACGTTTCTAAAATTTGATTAAGCTTAGAATTAGGTATACTTTCAAGAAAATCAAATTAGTTTAGGAAATTTATTTTTTAGCTTACTAAATCACTCTTCTCATTTCCCATAAACTGCTAAAAGTCTTCCTTTTAAATTATAATAAGATGAGAATCCTCTTCACAAAAGATTGTGCATCCTCTATTTTTATATTAAAAAGACGATTGAAATTTAAATAAAAATATAAATTAATTTACCTTCTTAATTTAGAGAAGAGCTCAGAATCGCCAAAGCCTTATCCTGGTAAAATATATTAATTAAATTTATGATGTGGAACAAGTTTTTCAAATTCTTTTTCCATCAATATTGACATTGAATTATTTATTAAAGAAAAAGAATTTCTTTTCTCTTTGAGACTAAGATTTTTGGTCATTTTAGGGCTTTTTCCTAATAGACTGTCATTCTACTTTATCATATTCAATAAATTGAGCTCCATTTTTATTGGTGTTTTTTATGCGGATATTTTAACAGGACTAGATACAATCTCATCGCTGATAGGTAATAATTATAGAAGCTTCCCGCTTAACAAAAAATAATAATATTAGCCAAAATCACCAGTTTCATATATAATAGAGTTTTTAGGATAAAACTTGTATCTCATCAAGTTGACAAGGTTGACATTTTTTTTAATGACCTGGCTGTATTGTGAAAATATAGTGTTTTCAGTAAATATCCTCAGCATGAACTACGCTTCATTATATGTTTTAATAGCTTTAACAGCGATACCACATGCCAACTTTTTGATTTAAAAAACATTAAATTATTACTTTATCTATCTATCAATCAATTAAATTCAATAATAATTATATATTTTAATTGATTTAACTCCTTTTTTATTATGCTTATAGAAAAAAGATAAGGATTGTATTTTTAAATAATAGAAGAATAAGCAAACATTCATAAACTTTTGTGTAATAAAGTTATTTTTAAAATGTAAATTAAATAATAATATCATTTTGTTTAATTAAAATTGTTGCTTACATTTTAAATAAATGGTTCTTTCATATCGATTTTTTCAGTTTATTTGACTGCCTTAATAAGTTAAGATTTCCTTTCCTCAAATTACTTTTGACTTTCAAATCCTGATAGTTTAAGGTAGCCTTCATTGGATGCTTCTTAGATTCTCATAATTTCTAAGTTTTAAAGGTGTATCAATGAGCTCCCTCTTTTTAGCTTACTAGGACTTGTATTGCAACTTGTTTTTTGTATAGGATTATAACAGTCATATGAGTCATCATGTTATTAATTATTTTGTTCTACTACATGCTTTAAAAATTATTTAGTCTCTACATTTATAGAAGTATCAGCATCTATATCTTTATTAATTTGATTTTAATTTATGTGATTTAACTAAATGGAGAGTCGAGCGAACCTGCTGCGTTGAATCATTGTTGCTTTCTTGGAGCAGAAAATATTATATTTAAATATTAATTAATATATTTGATTATCTTTAATGTTCTTCTAATTATTTATTTTAAAATATTGATTTACTTTTGTGGAATAAACTGATGTTATATCAAAATTCTTACTAGTTAAAAAATATTTATATTAAATTATAAATATAATAAATAGATTTAAAACAATATTTTAAGGCAAAAAAACTTCTATTTTTTTATATAATTCTAATGTTTAAAATTATTTTAAGCTTGTGTTTATTTGTTTAATTGAATACAGAAAATTAATAAATAAACTAATTATTTTTTCATAAAAACATAAAAAAATCTTTTAATGTTTGGAATTGAATTTATGAAAATTGATTAAAAATATCAAAACCAATCTAAGATGTTTTTGTTTATTAAAGTAAAAAGTGAATGTCGTCCTTAACATAAAGAGAGATTATATTTTTTTAAGAAAACTCCCTTCGTTATTTTAATTGTTTTCATTAAAAATATATTATTTAATGTTATTTAAAGATTTATTTTCAATAATTTTTGCTTTGTTAAGAAAAGGTATATTATTATTAATATTCTATTTTATTTCTTTAATTTGTTAATCTCTTAAATTATATAATCACTTATCAAACAAAAAATAGGAAATTTATACTTTTATTTAATTTAATGGATTTTCTTCAATAACCCAGACAACAAAAATAAAAGCTAAGCATTTGCTTATTTATAAAAATCATTCAGAAAACAAAGTTTAGAAGACTCTTTGTAAATATGCATTTTTTGAACTAAGTCAGATGAAAAATAAAAATTAATATTTTTTTTATAAAGTATTTAGAAAACAGTTAATTTTCTTTAGAAGTTATATAGATAATTGCTTCTTTGTACACTTTTGAATCACATTAATTTAAAATTTATTTTATTCCTTTAATATTTTAATTTCTTTTACAAAAATTCACTTATCAAAAAAAATTAGAAATTTATAAATTTAAGTAAATGGATTTTCTTAAAAAACGCAGTTTATGCAAATGAAGGCTAAGTAGTTGCTAACTTACTAACATAATTAATTTTCTTACAAAGATTGTGAAGAACTCTTTCCAAGCATAAAAATTCTGAACAAGCTAAGATGAAAAAAAAAATGTATTTGAGTAATTAGAAAATAGCTAAAACTTATAAAGAAGATATATTGATAATTGCTTCTTCATATATTTTTGACTCACAATAATTAAAAATTAAATTCCACAATTATCACAGATAGATTCCAGTCTAAATCATGATTCAAATTAATCCATTAAAATTTTGTTTTAATTAATTTTTGATAAATTAACTCTACTTTGAATAATATTTTCTAAAAACAATCAGAAAGTTAGTTAATTATCTTTTAATTACTTATAAAGTATATAAATGGAAGAAACTCAATCATAAACAGCTAATTTAGAGGTAGCTTAGACAAATATCGATACTCCTGTTACCGATACACCCCTTACTGATACTCCTAATTCATTTATAAAAGCTAGGAATGCCTACAATAAGCTGCAAAATACATTTTTGATGCATGATAAACTATAATAAAAAGATTTATAGACCCAATCAAATTACAGCTCAGAAAGTATTATAAAAATGATGTAGGATAAAAAGGCTATCTAATAAAGGAATAAGATCATGTAATTTAAATTGGACGAATTAGAAAAATCAAATTTAATAGACTTTGAAGATAAAGATACTTGCGATGTAATTAATATATATTTCTTACTGTAATATTTTGAAAGAATTAACAATGTTATAAAATAATTATAAAGTTGGTTATCTTCTTACTTTAAAAGTAAATCAAGAGCTAGTAAGAAGTATAGTTTTTAGGAAAATTCATTAGAAACTTGAGTGTTTTTAAAGAAAATCAAGACATGTTAAAGAATAAATCCACATCAAACAAAATCATTTAAAATCTAAGGTGCATTTTCATCAAAAAACACATGCCTTTATTTAAATACGGTAAACAATTTATTTCAGTTTTTTTAATTTTATAAGGAATGTAATAGATAGGCTAACAAACTAACTAACTAACCAAAAAGCAAACAAATTAACTAAATTTTTTTATTTTTATTTGAACAGGTGATAGAGGATATGAGTATTTTATACTTTTAAAAGGTACATTTAAAAATCAAGGTTCATCATTTTTAATCATAATTACTTTCTTATAATATTAGGAAAATCTTACTGCTTAATTCCCTATCCAAACACAGCACCATTAGAACTTATTAAACAGTAAACAAAATAAAAGAGGTAATTTTTTATTCAAATTTTTACTGGCTGATTTAAATTAAATTTAAAAGATTACTTCCTTAAGTTACCGAAGACCATGAAGATGATGAATTTTTATTCGAACACTTCCCAAGATACTAATGCGTCAAAATTTATAAGCCAGGAGAGGCTTTTGGTGAAATTGCTTTGTTAACAACTGAAAATAAAAGGTATAAAAAAATGGTTAGCAGTTGATAATGTCTAATTATTATTATTTTATAGAATGGCAAGTATTGTTTGCAAAGAAGATTCCTGGTTCATTTCTTTAGATAAAGAAGGATTTAACGAAATTTAAGGCTCATACTAGCAGCATCTTCTTAATGAAAAAGTTTACTTCATGAAAAAATTTGAGATATTTAAACCTGTAGCTGTAAACAAAATTCTCTCATTTCTCCATGAGTTTTAAGAAAAAATTTATACAGTGGGCAAAAAGATTTATTGCTAAGGAGATAAAGGAGAAAAAATTTTTTTTCTGATGGAAGGAGAAGTGGAGTTGATAAGAGAAATGGTTTCGGTAGGAACATCTAAGCTAGATTAACAAAAATATTAACAATACTTTAAAAATACGAAGCTTACAAATATATAAAAGTAAATAGTTCTACTTGGATCAAATAACTACTTTGGTGATGAAGATATAATTTCACCAGATAGAATTTATTCATTTACAGCAGTGTGTAAATCTTAGAATTGTAAGATATTAGAAGTAGAAATGAGAATTCTATCTTCATTTCTTAAAGTTTATGATATGGCTTCCCTCTTCAAAAAAACAGCATAAAATAAATATAATTGTTACTAGTAAATACTGTAAGAAGATATTATTATAGACAAGAATAAAATTTTAGATTCTCCGTCATCAAATTCTAAAAATGCTCAAAATAACATCACCAATGAAAACAACAACACATCAAATAATTCAGACAATTTTTGTGATGAGTATTAATTTTTAAACACTCAATTAACAAAAAACCTCTAAAATTAAAAAAAATCACACACAAATAAAGACTCTCCATCTTAAAAAAAGCAACGCTAAGAAGATAAAGATAGCCAAAATGACTCTAAATAAAAAATAATTCCAAAATTTTACAATGTGTACACACATGATGGTAACTAGAATATTAGGTAAAAGAATTACTTGAGTATTAGCAATACCTACTAAAGTACAGCAAAATTTACTCTTGAGGATGTGCCTATGACGACTAAAATGAATTAAGATGAGACTGATTAAAAGAGAATCTAATTTAGATTAAGTAAAAACATATGTAAATCGTAAGATATGAAACATTCTTCTTACCTTCATCGTTAAGACAGTACGAGTAAAATGTAAAAAAGTATTTTGGCATATAAATAAGGGGCTTCAAATTTAAGCTTTGATGGATTTCCAAAGATAAGCAACATGAATTAATCGTATCTTTCATAAACACCTCAATAGTAGCCTGAATCAAAGGCAAGTTAAATACCAATAATAAACCTTAATTCATATGATTCCCTTAAAGTAAAAGAATAATTTGACGAAAAGTAAAGAAACATGTAATTTTCTCTTTAATTAAAATAATCAATCTTTAGAGATAGCATTCATTAATAGTTATTGACCCCTAAAAGTTAAATTCTAAGCTCTTTAACTCCTTAGAATGGTCTCAAACATTCTGATTCTAGTTAAAGCTTAGCATAATAAAATAAAGCAAAAAGTCCAAGATAAAATTCTTTTAGTATAAGCTATTCATAATAATACTAACCTTTAACTTATAAACTTTCAAAGTAAGCAACTGACTATTAAGAAAATTTATTAATAAGATAAAGAATGAGTATATAGTAATAACAAAACTAATGAAATATTTCAAGCATTTTAAACAAATACTTAAATTACACTACACTTAAAAAGAATATTTATTTACACTTACTTACTTTCTTTCCTTAATATATAAGAATAAAGTTATTTAAATCAAAGTTATTTTAAATATATTTTTTTTATTTTATTTTTAATTGTCAATAAAATAATTAAATTAAAAAGAGAATAAAAATTAAATATATATTTTTTTAAGTTTATTTTGTAATTAAAATATTTAAATAAAATTAATTGTTAGCTTAATTAGAAATAGTTTAAATTTAATATTTTATGAAATTATTTTTAAGAAAAAATAAATATTTTAATTTATTTATTTGCTTTTATAAATTTTTGGAATGTAAATACTTATTACTATTTAAATAAATAAATAAATTAATTAATTATTAAGTAAGTTATTTATTTATTTAGTTTTTTTTAGTGATGAAAAATGAATGAATTAAATTGAGCGAATTATAGTAAAAGAGTGGATATAATTAGTCTTTTGATTAACTTTTATTTTTGAGCTTTCCCTTAATATTTTTCAGTTGGAAGACTAATTTCATAGCTATGGAATCAATATCTATTTATCTATCTACTTTTAGAATTTTTTTTCTAAAGTTAGTCTTTTGTTTAATAAATGCATGAGAGAGTATTTATTTGTTTTACATCACCAAAGCTATTATACTTAACAAAATTAATAAAGCTTTTTAATATTGTTATTATTTGTTTGTTTGTTTGTTTATTTGTTTTGATAAGAAAAAAAATTAATAATTTACCGAATACCAAATTTAGTGATAACATTCTATTAAACATTGGATTTAGTGGTTAAACAAAAAATAGGTAGCAAGGTATCAGCTTAGCCAAAAATTTAAGATTAGTGGATCAAATCAAATTATCTTAATTTAAGCAAATAAATTATCCAAAAAAGATGGAGAATAGCATTAGAATTTAAACTGATGTTGATTTTCATGTAGTTCAATCCACTAAAAGCAATTAATCTACATAAAATAAAAACATGCTCACCACATAATTTAGAAGATTTATGGCAGCCCCAAATAATAATGGAAATTAAACACCTTTAGGTAGAAATATTTCTCCCAACGAAACACTGAAATAAGTTATTGCAAAATCTACTTAGCAAGATTTCACTTAAATATTTAGTGTTTATACGCCATCAACAGCTACATCAAAAAAAAGAAAAAAGATAAACATAAACTAACCTATTTCACGTCCACAGCGAATCAATACAGATATTTATGAAGATTTTGCAAACCACTAAATTTTACCAACAGAAATTAATCTAAATGACTCTACAAGAGTAGGATCATCATGTGGGCGATTTTTGATGCCACAGTCAGCAACCAATCAAGTAATTTACAAATTGCATATTAAAATAATTTACATTATAAACCTACTTAAATGGGCAAAGAATGTTTGTTATATTTAAGTCAAGTTTACTATTTAAAAAATTTTTCATAAATTACACTATAAGTTTATTATTTTTAACAATTAGATCAGAAATAAATCAGTAGGAAAAGATAGTGTAAGATCAAGAGTTAAAAATATTGTAACAAAGATATATTGTGGAAATACCAATTAGCTGAACTAAATGAGTCATTACTATGACAGCAATTTAACAAATATGATAAAACCTAAAAGAAATAAATCTTCGTAAGGTCACAATCCAGCTTAAAGAGGTGAATCAAGTGCATCGAAGATATAGAATGATAAATATAGGAACGAATTTACACCAAGCACCTCACCTTAAAATCGCCCAATTAGCGTCTGTAAAATTAATTTATAAAAGATTTGACAAAAATTTAAAGGTGGTTAGTATATTGTATTTTATTAATAAACTTTTTCATAAAACTAGTTCAAGGAAGACAAAGTAAACTGAATTAAATTAATGATAGTGCAAAAAGAAGAAGTGTAATGTCTATAGATCACGAAAACAGCTTATTCTAAGTAAGTAAAAACTCTGATCTCAATTCAAGCAACAATTAGTTTTTCCAAAGTACTAAGAATGGATAAAATAACAATTTTGCTATCCAATTTAGAAACCGATAAGTAATTAATTGATTAATTAATTAAATTTTAATTTTTTAATTTTATTTTTAGTTAAACAAACATGTTATAAATATTTATTTATTTATTTTCTAACAAGTAAATTGATTAATGTTTAAATTTATTTTCAAAAAATTTAAGATTTTAACGAACTAATTAAATTAATTTCAACAAAAATTAATTTCTTAAATACATTAATAAATAAATTTTATAGTAAACAGCTCTTTAAAGTCAGAGTTAATGCACTACTACTACTGAAGAAGATTAAAAATAGAATTAAAATGCATAATTTTAAAAGTAGAATGGAATAATAAACAGATCCTAAGGAGGAAAGACTCCAATAACTTCTAATATTTAAACTAAATAATACATAGATATTCTTATAGCTTAGTAAAATCAGGGAAAAAGAAGATCTCAAACCTAAGAATCAGAGCATAATAAATAAATAACTTATAATTTTTTAGAATACACTAAAAAAAATGAATAAAACAAAGAAAATAATTATGTAAGTGCTTCCATAAACTAAAGTAAAGCCTAAAGCAGAATTGATAAGTACAGAGATTTAAATAAAAATTAATAGCCTAGTGTTCTTTATTAACGTAAGAGAATATTCACAGAATTTGCAGATGACTTTGAACCTTAGAAAGAGTGGGTACCTTAGATGTAATCTGATATTAGAAATAAAAATCAAGTATAGATTAATTTTAATCAGCAGGATACTTCCACTACAACTTCAGCTAATAAAAGTTATAACTAATCTCATAATTAAAGTACAAACATATCAAACCAACATATATAGCATACTGATTAATAGTAATCAGAAAAGAATTAACAATAATAATAATAATAAATTTAAAGTTAATACTAACAGAGGATAGCATAAATTGTCTCTTAGCAATAACTCTAAGAAAAACAACAAGCAAAATAAGTTGTTCACCCAAAAGTACTTTATGACATGACAGATGATGAATGGAATACTTTTGGAGACCGTTTTCCTTCTAATTTTACCAAAATTAGATTATTAGGAAGGTAAAAAAAATATTTTTTGTAGAAAATTCTTTAAAATTTATTTGAAATTAATGAAATTATTAGAGGAGGTTTTGCATTAGTTTGGCTTGGAGAAAATAATAACACAAAAGAGCAATATGCAATTAAATAGGTGTCCACAAAGAATGTTCATCAAACTCATATTAAAGAAATATGGTTTGGGAGTTAATTTTTTGAGAATGGCTAACCAAAATCATAATATAAAGGGTGCAGAGGTAAAATTTAATATTTTTTTTGCTGTTTATTAAATGAAATGATTTAAAAATTTAAGGTATAAATAACATGATAAAATTAGCTGGATATGATTTGAAACCTGTGGATACCTGGCTATTTTATGAGTTAAGCGGTGATTCATTAGGTACAAATTTGTATGATTTAAAAGGAGAAGGAAAAACCCCAGAAGGAGAGAGAATATATAAAGTAAACAATTTTGTAACCAAAATAATTTAAAGCTTATTTTTATTTGAAATTAGATTATTTATAAAGAAATGTACATTTAAATGAGGAGCAATTTAAATATTCTAAAACACTTAATATTTGAACTCTCTCATGCGTTGTTAGTGATTTCTGATTAAAAAATAGTTCACTCAGACCTCAAAACTGAGAACATTTTAATAAAAACTAAACCAGATGCTAAAAATAAAAAATTATTAAAATTGGATTAAGTAAAGCTTATTGATTATGGCTCAGCCTTCACATTTGGAAATTTAAAAAATTTCTCTATGGCCACTCCTGAATATATGGCACCAGAGATATTAAATTACATACTTTATACAAACAATCTTAACTACAATAAATAATTAGTTGATTATCTAAAAGACTATCACATCCCACATGTGATAGATATTTGGAGTTTAGGTTGTGTTGTCTTAGAGCTAATAAATGGTATTCCATTATGGATGTCATTAAAAACAAAAATAAACTTTTAAGGATAAGAATTAATAAAATGCGGATTGTTCGCAGTGAAAAATAGAGTTTTTGAAAGTATAATTTAAAAATAAATAGAAACTATTAATAACCTAGATTTTATATTAAATGAATAAAACTATTCTAACATCGTTGTCGATGATCAATTAAGAAGTTTACTTAAGCGTATGCTCACTATTAACCCTTCTTAAAGAATATCACCACGTGAGATTATTGAAATTTTGCAACCATCTTTAAAAGGAACTATTTGAAATGAAAAATAATAAAAAATAACTAAATAAAATTGAGTAAACTATATTAAAAAATAATTTCTTATTCTCCTAAAAATTAAAAATTAATTGTTTTTCCTAATGTAAATAAATAAATAAACAAACAAACAAAGAAATATAATAAAATAATATAATTCTAATAAACCTAGATTAATAATAAAAAACAGAAAACTATCTATAAATAACATTTATTAATTTGCAAATCGTAAATAAATAAATAAATAATTAATTAAATTTATACTAGTATTATTCATTAACTTTTATATATTTTAATTAACATAGTCTAAAAAAAATTCATTTTTTTAAAATGTATATAAAAATTATTAAAAATATTAGTTAAAATTATCATTTTAACTTTTATTATTATAGACTTGGTGTTATTTTTCAGATCTTTACTCAGAAATCCTATATCCTTCAATTTTATCATGGCATATTTATTTTTACAAATAGATTCTTGGGTTAAAGTTGCATGAAATTTTTCCATTAAAATAGTTACTCTTTAAATAACCTTCACACATATCTGCCATTTTTAAATTTAAATACCCCTTAACCTTCTACTATATTTATCTACATGAAAATTGCAATCAAATATTAATTTATCACTAATATTAAAAGTCTTAAGTTTCTTAGAATTATTATCTTTTTACAAATAATTCAATTTTTTTTAAAACTAAATTTATTTAATTTAATTTATTATAACAAAAAAACAAATAATTTGCTTCTTCAAAAAAATAAAAAAAGTTTATTTATAAAATCAGTTTATAATATTAAAATACTAGATATAGATGTTTAAATTAACGAAATACTTGTTCTTATTGTAGTTTTGACTTGTTTAACTAAACACTTTATATTAAAAATAAAGGAATTTATTTAAATTCAAATAACTCTTCCAAACCTCAAATTTATTACATTTGTTAATCAAATACAATCTTTCTTTAATCAAATTCTAGAAAGCCCACCTTTTAGTTTTAAGAGTTTTCATCACTCAAATTATGTCATGAACATACTTTGATTTAGCATAGAATCAAAGTTGTTAAAATTTTTTTATAATTCTTATATTTAAATTTTATAAATCAACTAAAATGAAGTAAGTTTATTAGAATGATATTTATTTTTTTATTTATATCGCGCAATTAACTAAAAAAAAAAAGTGTAAATTAATATACTTGATAAATTTAGTAAAATTATAAAATTTAATTATAAACTCATTTAATTAAAAAAAAAATTAGTAATACTGAGTATGGACTAATAAGATCTTTTAAAAGCTAGCTAATTCCAAGAGTAGATTTACTCTTTGGTAGAGTACTTAGATTACATTCCTTATTAAAAAATTTAGATTTAGCACTTACTTATTACTGTAGTGGTTATCTCTATTTCTATTATTTCTTTTCGCTTGGGCAAAAAGAAGGAAAGCAATAATTTTTTAAGCGATAGATTTAGGAGAAAGCTTGAGGAATTCGAATAAGATGCATAAATTGTTAATAAGCGTATAGAAAAAAATGAGGATTTTATTAAGAAAATTTATAACTTATAAATTTTATGCTTTGTTGTAACAACCTGCTATCTTATTTACATAGGATTTATTGAATATCAAGAAGATAATAATAATAAGTTAATCATAACCTCAATAGCAATAATTGTCATTGAAGCATGCTTTTAAATGTATAAAAATCACCTGAACACACAAATCAAGCAATTGAACTTTAAAATTTAAGAAGATAAAAACTAACAAAATGTAATAATGATGTAGCTTATCTCGGAAATGTCTGAAAAAATGAAAAACATTCTCAGTATATTAATATTTTTTTTTTCAAGTTATTAACAGCTATTTCTTATTAACACTTAATATAATTCCACGTGAATTCCTTTCTTAAATTTTTAACGCCAAATATTTAATAATCTTTTTAATTTAATTTATAAGGTGACATTTTAGCAAAGAAAATTGTAAATTAATGTGAATCTGAAAAAGAAGGAATTAAGAAATTGTATGATTAAAAAATAAAGACCCTCCAAGCTGAAAGCGAATCTGAGAGAGATTCCTTAAAAAAGAAATATGAAACAAGAATTAGTGGGTTAACTTAGTAATAATCAAGTGATAGAATCTTATGTAAATCAAATATTTGCAAAAAAAAGAGAAAATTACTTAAAGAAAAACTTAAAAGAAGTGATTGGTTTATTAGAAATTTATCAGAGTTTGCATGGTGTTCAATATGTGCTTCTAATATGTACGAAGATCCTACTTAATCATTCATAGAGAATAATATTTCTGACTAATCAATAAATTTGGAAGACTCAATTATGCTAAACAACACTCTCACTGAAGATCAATCTAATGACGATGATGGCAAATAAGGTGTTTTCAATAAGTTAAACGGAAGTAAAGGAGAAGTTATCAAAAAAGAATGTGAAAATAATTGTTTAAGCAAGTATTTCTTTTTGTGCAAGAAAATAGGAGAGAAATATAACAACTGGACTGATATAATAGACAAGTTTGAGTCTAAATATAAAGCAGAAAAGCTCAAATTAAAATAGCTTAATGCAGCATAATGAAATATTATTAGAGAGCTATTTTTGGGATATATTTAAATTTTAACTAAAAAATATAAAATTTTAAGGACAGCAATCTATCTATCAATCAATCAATATCAATAAATATATAAACTTAAGAGATTTCTGATAAATATAATAATATTATTTTTGCCTATTTCAATTTATCTTTTTTCATATAGTAAATATTTATTTATTCTAAATTTATGTAAGTTTCTTCCTAAATTTAGCAGTATTAATAGATGCCTAAAAAAATTAAAAAATAATTATTAATAATCTAACAGTGAATTAGATAGTTTTAAACTTTTCACTTAAATATTTTGCAATCAAACTTATTTAATAATATTAAAATAAATAATTTAAGTTAGAAGCTATAAAAATGCATTTAATCTAATTATCAATTTCATATTTAATGAAATATTTATTTTTGTGAAAAGTAAAAATAAAATGATTTATAAAAATTAATTACATTTTTTATTTCATTTTACAAATAAAAAATATAAATCTTTTGATTACATTTTATTTTCTAATGAGTAATTAATTTTTTAAACAAAAAAATTAGAAAAATCATGATTGATTTTAAATTGAGTTTTTAAAAATAAGTTAAATGATAAAACAATTTTTATCTTACATCAGAAAAATAATATAAACAAACTATTTAATATACAAGTAGTAAAAAGTATTTATTTTTATGAGATCAAAAGGCCTGTTGCTACTTCCATAAATTTACCAACTTTCCTTTTTATATTTTATCAATTACGGTAAGAAACTCTGATTCACTTGAGTTTGGTGCAGGTTAAAAATCTTTTATTTCTTCAAAGGGATCTGACTTATTTGCAACAAACATAGGGTTATTAAAATCTGGTAAGAGTTAATTTAAGTGGATATTATCCTCTTAAGTAAATTTGGGTAGTGAAGGAGGGAATTTTTTTGCTTTGAATAAATTAGCTTTACTTTTATTGTAATCTCGAAGAGTATTTTAAGCTAGCTTTCTAAAACTTTCCTTATCTCCTTTACTTTATTACATAGCAAGATAGAGAGCTTTGCCTATTTTAGAGTGAAATTAATCTCCGGACTCATGCTGCTCCAGCTTATTTGCATCTATAGTAAAATCTCCGCTGTTCGATGTTTTGATTTAACCACCTTAATTCACAAGTCTATTAAATACAGATTTACGAGGTTGAGGAGATGTATTATTATTTGGTAATTGACTTGAGCTTGATTAACTTGTTTTTTGTTTAGCAGGTGATATAGAAGATCTCTTTTCTCCTAAAGTGGCAGTATTATTAAATAAAGCAGGATTTAGCATTTAACTTGAAGATCGTAGTTGTGCAAATAATTACTTTCTATCTGTATTAGGATTATTTTCTAATTATTCTTGTAATTAAGCTATTGCAGCAAATCCACGAGTTGTGACAGCATGTCTTTTCTTTTATCTTTTTTTCTCTTTCAGCATTTCTTATTTTTCACGTAATTCTTTAGCTTTCATTTGCATTTTCTTTTTAAATGAGAAATATTCTATTTCTCCACCTGGGTTCAATTACTCCTCTTCTTCCTCACTGCTCTCTACAGATTTATTTTCTTTCTTATTTGCATTTGTATTTTATGATTAAGTTTATATTTAATTTGTAGTTGTAAGCTGCTATTAAGTAGGTTCATTTATATTCATATCACTGCTTCTTCTGCTCAAAGGATTTTTTGATGAAGAAGAAGGAGGCATATTTTCTTTAGTTAAAATATCTATATAGTCAACCCTTTCTATTTCATGTTTATAAACATTTAACCTTTTGTTATTTAAATTAATAAGATCATAAAGAATCGTTAAAAACTAAAAATAGGCTTAACTAGTTAGTTTTACAATTAATTTATAAATAGAATATTTGAAATACATTTAATTTTTAAAATTAACTCTTTTTTACCTGTGATTTACTGTTTCAAGAGTTGGTATTTTTGTAGAATAGTGCCCATTTCTTACTATATTTTTGCTTAAGGAAGACCATAATTTTGATTTCTATTTTTGTTCCTTATCTTTTAGCTTCTTTAATTCTTCCAATTTTGTTTATTCTGTCACATAATTTGGTTTTGGTATTTATTAGATAGGGTTTGTATGTAGATCCATTTTCTACTTTTTTTTTTCTTCCTCGTCTCTTTGGTCGTTTTCATATTACTCAGGATCAAAAGATTCAAAAGTGAGATTGTCTTAAAGCTCAGGATTTGCAATAAACAATTGGTTCATTTGCTCCTTTAAATGAAAAAAAGTATTTTTATAGTCTATTTGTTTTAAAAACATAACATTTTTTCATCCAATTAGAATTAATTATATTTCAATAAAGCTTTTAATATATTTACCATCTGTGTTATCATTTTCTACTGATGAATTAAATGAATTATCAGTATTAAAAGAGTCTTCTGATGAAAAGACTATGTTTTCTTTAGACATAGCAAGTTTTTTCTTTATAACACCTTAAAGGAGAGACATTTAAATATTTACAGTATTTTAATATTAATTTTATGATCCTTGATGCTAATTATTCTTTCTTTCTTTTTTCCTTCCTTCCTTCCTACACTTTATTTATCAACAATAAGTTTTTTGTAGAAATACCTTTGATTTAGTCTTATAACTTATTTAATCTAATGAACAATCAATCAAATTTGCTTGTTAGTTATTTAGTTAATTATTTATTATTTTGCTAACTTATTTTATAACTATTTTTTTAGTTAATTCAATTTAAAGTAGTTGAATTTATCATAGTATTATTTTTATAATACTTTTAGTTTAATTAATATTCAAGAAAAAAATGAATATTTTACATGAACTAAATAAACTAAAAAAAATTATTATTTGTTAACGTTATTAATTAAAGATAATTTTGAGCAAATGTTCTTTCTTTTTTTTATCTTTAAGATAGCTTTTTTTATTATTTTTTTATAATTTAAAAAAAATTTTTTTTATTAGAAAAATATTTTTTTTGCTTATGAAATTAGAAGAATTAAATTAAAAAATTAAGCATTTTTTTAACAAAATTAAATTAAAATTATTTTTATTAAAAAATTTTGAACCTATTTATAAAAATATTTTTTTTAAATCAAACAGTTTTCAAAACCAAAATATTGAAATACTATATGATGGTAAATTTTCGCCTTGAAAAAAAAAAAAATACAGAGCAGAGCTTTCATTATTTGGGCTTGATGGCTTGCTTGATAAGTGAATTAAAAGGATCTATCTATCTGCATAGAGATGAACATAAACGATTGAAAGTATTTAAAAAATGAAGCACAAAGAGCTTTGGATAAGGAGATTCATTCATTTTAGAATGAAAATAAAGAAAGATATGTCAAAAAGAAGAGTAAATTGATAGAAATGAATGATAAAAGGGCAAATTAAGAGGGAGGTTAAAAAGATTAATTAATAGTTAATGTGGGGAAAGTAAAGGGACTCTTTTAATTAAGAAAATAATAAACCTAAGGACACATTCATTTAAGATTAGCAATTGATAAAGGAAATTAATAAAGTAAAAAAAATAAAATTAAGAGAAGGATAAAAAATAAATTAAATAAATAAATAGAAATAATAAAGGAAAATGTTCGACAAGCTTGTAGTTATTGATGCTAAGGGTCACTTATTGGGTAGACTCGCTTCTTACGTTGCCAAGGAACTTTTGAGTGGTCAAAGAATTGTTGTTGTTAGAACTGAAGCTATTAACATCTCTGGCTCTCTCTTCAGAAACAGAGTTAAATTCTCCGAATTCCTTAACAAATGGATGAACCACAACCCCAGAAGAGGTGTTCAACATTTCAGAGCTCCCTCTAGAATTTTCTGGAGAGCCGTCAGAGGTATGCTCCCTCATAAGACCCCCAAGGGTGCTGCTGCCTTAGGTAATAAAATTTTCTAAAATGATTGTTTGTTTATAAATTGCCAAGCTGACTGACTGATTAAGTAAAGAACGAAATTAACAATATATTGTCTAACTTATTAAAAAAATGTATAAAAACGCAATATGATTTATCATAATATTAAAATGTTTTGTTTTTAATTCCCCTTATTTAATCGCTTTTCACTAGTTTTTAAAGTTTTTCTTGACTAGTATGGATTAGTGAATAATGAGTAGGTCTTTCAAATCAAGCTTTTGAGATATTTTGTTCATTTTATAAGGTGATTTCTTATAAACTAGTAGTTTATACAATTAAAAAACCTTAGCTTCTTTGCCGAAATATCAAACTAGCAAATCATTTTAAAGGGTTATTATAGCTTTCAAATGTTTAATTGAATTTTCATCAAAACAAAAATTGCAAAAACATTAAGATTACTAGGTAGAATAAATGCAAAAATAAATATGACTACTAACTATACAATTTCAAATTAACAACTATTTTCAAGAGTATTAAAGGAAATTGAGAGTGTTATGCAAAACACTTGTATCTATTTATCTCCTTCTCATAATATCAAAAAACAGTTACTATCTATCTATATATCTTCAAAGGAGTATTAAAGTATGAAATTAGTAGAATTCGAAGCTGAAACAAAATTAATTAAGTTTTATATAGCATTTAAATATCCATAGAGCAATTTATCACACAGCATATTAAAAAAGCATAGGTTATTTATTATATCTTATTCTAATCTTAGCAGACTTGCAAAATTATTTTTAGAATATTGATGTAGGATTTTTGATGCTTTGAACAATATAATAAGGTAGAATCAATATTAAATTTGATTGCTAAATCTACTTTGCTACATAAGCAAAAAAAGAATATGCATTTGAATACTTTTTGAAAACTTTCACTATAAACCGATTGTTTGAATGAATTAATAAATAAATGAGTGCATTTATGAATGAATGATTTGAAAATATTTGTTATAAAAAAGTATTTCTGACCTAATTTAGATAAAAATAAATACCCTTTAGGTTGAATTATACATAAACAATCTTAATAAACTAAACAAAACAAAACACATTAAACAAGACAATAATATTTTTAATTAGATTCTTAAAGTTTTAATTAGTTTGGCTATTTATAAAATGAAAAAATTTATTTTAACCATCAACTCATCAATCTTATTTTATAATAAACAGAAAGACTAAAAATTTTCGAAGGTATCCCCACCCCCTACGACAGAGTTAAGAAGTAAGTCGTTGTCGATGCCTTGAAGGTCTAAAGATTAAGAAACTCTAGACCCGTCTGCAAGTTGGGTGACTTGAGTGCTTCCGTTGGTTGGGGCAAACAAACCCTCATCGAAAAGCTCGAAGAAAAGAGAAGAGCTAGAGCTAAAACCTACCACGATAAGAAGGTTAAGTAAGCTGATGCCAGAAAGAAGGAACTCGCTGCTCCTGCTCTTAAGGCTATCAAGGATAAACTCGCCTAATTCGGTTACTGATCACCCTTTCTTACTCTAATATATACAACTATCGATTATTATATTAAATTTTTTTAATCTTTGAAGTAATAATAATATATATTTTTGCTTACCTAGTGCATAATAATATATTCTTTATTTAAACGCATATGTGAATATCTCAAACTACTCATTCATAATAAACATATTTAATTAACCTTAATCTTCTCTCTTTATGTTTGTCATCATAATTTTAATCAAATGACCAAATATAATTAATCGATCAGTGAATCAATCTTCTAAATAAATAAATGAGCATAAAATTATAAACATAATATTACAATTAACTAATATTTATCAAGTCTTACTTAATTTTTTTAATATTTTTACTTATTTATTTATCAATTTTACTAAATTTATTCTAAGATGAGTAAAAATATTGTTAAGCAAAGCCGCTGAAGCATTTTAAAAATTAAAAATATAATTTCAAGAGTTAAAATTTTGAAGTCATTTTACTTTTTAATTTATTTCTGGCAAAAGTTTCTTTTTTTGTTTATTTAATTAAGAAAAGGTATGTTTTTTGAATAGCAAATTATTTTTCTAAAAAAATTTTAATCATTAAAATAAATATATTCAAATAAATAAAAAATTAATTTTTTTATTTCAAATGATTTTTAAAAATCCAATCAAAATAAATTTTATTTTGTTTAAAGTATTGAAATTTTATCTTCCAAAAATAATAAAAAATAAAGATAAATAAAAACATATTTTTATAAACATTTTATCTTTTTAATTTACAATTTTATCATTTTTAAAGCAAATAATAAAAACTTATTTTCAAATTTTATATTTATTGAATAGATTTTTTTTTCAATTTAAATGGATACAAAAAGTTTTGATTGTTTTAATCTATAAAATAAATATTAAATTACTAAAAAAAGTTTTATTTTTATTAAACTTTATTTTTTTTCAGATTAATTTTTTTGGTTTTAAATATTTTTCACATAGTTTGTTTGAATTTAAATTTATTTAAAATCTTTTCTCTAATAAACACAATTTTATAAAAAATTATTTATTTATTTATTTTGAGCTATTTTTATGAATAAAAAAAATTTAGATTTTATTAATTCTATTAGGAAAATCAATAATTTAAATTTAATTTTTTTAAATATTTTTATTTTAAAAATCTTTTTAAATTTTCTTATTTTTTAATTCTAAGTTAATCAATAAACAAATTTTGATCAATAAATTCTGCTTCTTTTGAGCATATTTGCCACCTAAATTTTAAATTTAAAATTAAATTTATAAATCTATTTGTACTTTGTTTGTATTTGATTGATTTGCTTTGGCTATTTATTAATTTTATGTAATTTTTATAAAAAGTACGCTCTTTAAAATTAATAATATAAAAAATAATAATAAAAAAGCAAATAATTAGCCTTATTATTTATATTGAAGTTTTCAGAAAAAGCAAAACATTTTAATTAAATGGACGATTTCAATAATTTACCTCATCCAAGTCATACTGACGATGAGCTTGAATATGCAGATTTAGATTATAGTAAACACAAAGGAGTTAATTTAGATGAAGATTATGAAGAGGATGAATATGCGAATTTCAAACATAATAACAATAATTATGATGATTATGACGAAGATGAAGATGAAGAAGGAGAAATACAAGACACATAGATTGAAGCTAACAAAAACACAAATTTTAAAATACAAAGTAGCTCTAGATAGAATAAGCTAATGGAAGAATAAAGCATGATAAAGCCAGCTACAGATAAATAGTTTCAGCTTAAAAGATATATGAGAATCAACAATGTTGATGAAGATGATTTTGAAGAGGGTGAAACTGATGATAAAATATTAATCAACAAAGATAGATTCAAAAAATAGCTTACTCCTGAAGAATTATTAAAAAAAGAATCTAAGCTTTTTAAAAAAGAATAGCTTTAGAAGAAAGTTAAGATGGAGCAACAGTAAGGATATAGCAACAGATTCCCATAAAATTTTAATTTGAATAAAATGTAATAAAATTACCGTAAAGAATATGCTGAAGAGAAAAAAGATCCAAGCAAGTTAGTCAGCAAATCAAAAACAGTTTTGACTGAAGATCTAACCTTTGAAGAAGCAGAACAGCTCTTAGAAGCTTGGAGAAAATAAAACTTTGTATAATTCAACAACTGGGTAAAAATTTTAACCTAAAATTTTTTTAGATATTAAATATTTGTGTATAAAAATTTAGATATAAGTTTCCAAAAGTATTTTAAGATAAGACTATACTCCTCATTAAAGCGGTTATGAAGAGGAAAATGAAAAGGGATAAATTACAGGATTTAGCTGCAATCTTACATTAAAATTTAATTATTTTAGACATGGAAACATTAGTGATTTTGTTGCAGTTGGCTTTGGAAAAAGAAAATAAGATGCCAAAAGAATGGCCTTGGAAAGATTAGTAGTTGATCTAATCTAAACTGGTACAATCAGACTCGGACTTAGAGATAAAAAATTTTTACACGAGCAACCCTAAGTTATGCTATAAAAAGAAAACAACTACTTATAGTAGATGGCTAAACCTAAACCAAGAAGTGATTTTGAAGAAAAAATACAAGAATCTAATCATAAAAGAGCAAGAAAATTATCAAAGAAATTGCAAGATTATTTAAGAAAATAAAATATAGCAGAAGCCATCAACTGTCTTAGAGAAATAGGAAAATTCAAAACTCTAGAATGGAATGAAGTAATTAATTATTTTTTATTCAGTTTAACTTTTTATTAAAAATAAATTTATTTTTGTTATAATCAAGATTTCATTTATTTGGTCACATGGTGTAATTCATTAAAATGCTATTCTCTTGTAGCAAATATTAGATATAATCAATAAGAAACCTGTGGGAGAAACTTCTATAGAATCTAATATGTAAGGTTAGTTTATGAGGCAACAAGAAGAAGTTTAAACAAGCAAAGATTTTGTTTAAAAATATGATGAAGACAGAGTTAAATAAAAATTATTTTTAAATTATGGTATTACAAGATAGAAGGCATGTAATCCTCATGATATATACGACTTGAATTCTATTGAGTTTTCAGAAAAAGAAATACGTAATTAATCAACTTATTAAATTTATTTTTTTGATATTTATTAATTAATTACAAAAGTAACAAGCGGTCTTCCTCCATATAATGATGATGAATTCAACAAAGAATTAGTGAGAGATCCTTTTGTTAGAGATTTGCAAGACATCTTAGTCCCATTAAGTAATAATGAAACCATAGCTGACAATACTCCACTTAGAACAGTCTATGAAATGGCATAAAAATGGCCTATGAGACACTCTGATGTTCTCTTTGATGACTCAGATGAGAAGTATATAGATGATGAAGAAGACGATCTATTTGTCAATAAAGTTCAACCTAAGCTTAAATTCTTAAAAGATTATGATATGAATAGCCAAAATTATCAGAAAATTGCAGAATCAAGTAAAAACATTGAAATTTATTTAGTCTTTTTTATCTAAATTTTTTTTCATTTTTAAAAAAATCTAAATTTTTTTTGCAGTTTTTGGTAAAAAGGGTTTTGCAAAGAGGGAGAACTCAATACCAGCAGTATTACTTGATGAATTATATGAAACTCTTCTTTATTCAGGTGATAAATAATTCTCTTTAGAAATTGCAGAAAAAATATACACCTAGCTGCAACTTGAAACATCAGGGTTTGTCCATGAAAGCTCTGCAGATTATTATGCTTAAAAAAAGAATATGATTATATCAGAAGCTATTGATTGCATGTATGAATCAATACAAAGTAGAAATCCTATTGAATATCTGTGCAATATAAATGGTAAAATCGAGAAAATAGGAACTGCACACTGCTATGATGTTGTAGCAGTTACTCCTCTAGAAACCTAAGAGTGCATAGATTAAAAGCTTCTTAAAAAGTAATTTGATTTTATTAAAAATTAAATTTATTTATTTATTTATTTTTAACATGAAGATGCAAGTATGATGTTAGAGAAACCCACCATATGATAGTCGAGGGAGATATTGTTATTCTTACTACTTTCTTCCGTCCAAGTTATGACAAGCCTGTCCTTGATGACAATATTTCTAAATTAGCTCTTTACATTAACTAAAGAGCTAAATCTGCCAAGGATAATAGAGACTTTATCCACAATATCACTGAATTCGGTAATGTTGTTGAGTTTGCACTTATTGGTTAAGTAAGAGAAATGACTAAGGATTCTAAAATGAAGGTTTTTATTTGTCCAACTTATGATTAATCTAAGAGCATTTCTTTCGATTCTTAACGTTAATGGAAAATAACTAAGATTTTCTCTAGAACTCAACATGAACGTATGCAAGATGCCCTAAGAGTATTTTGTTTCGAAAGCAGATCTGCTCATCCTGCTATTATGCACACTATTTGCACTCCTCCTGGATAAACCTCTCACATAATAAAAAGGCTGTCAAATCAAGAATAATACAAAGGTAAACATTTATTTGAAAAGAATTTACTTTATAAGTTACTTTAAATATTTATTTATACAGCAACAAATACTAAGACATAGCTAAATGCAGAATAATAGCTAGCTGTTGAAAAGGCTGCCCTAAATAGAATAACTATTGTTTAAGGACCTCCTGGAAGTGGTAAAACTACTGCAGCAGTTGAAATAGTATTAGAATGGCTAAGAGCATCAAACTAACCGATTTTAGTAACAGCTGAATCATAAGGAACAGTCAACATTATTTATGGAGAGCTTATTAAGGCTAATGTTAAGGCAGTAACTATTGGACCTGGTTTTGAAGATCGTTTAGATCATATTAATGAGATTATCTCGAAGCCTGATGGTCATGAACCTATTTAAAAGTTAACTTCAAAAGATGGAAAGCACTTAGCTCCAAAACCCTAAGAATATATCCCTAATTCAATGAAATTCTTGATTTTAAAGAAAATGCTGAGAGAAGCTTAAGTTGTTTGCTGTACTTGCCAAACTGTAATGGCAGATTATTTAAAAGGTTTGCATTTTACAAGAGTAATTATTGATGAAGCTAATACTGTATCAGAGCCTCTTTCTCTGATTCCAATTCATAGACTATGCAACTAACTTGTGTTAATAGGAGATCATATGTAAAGCTCTCCTAAATCATAATCAATGTTTGCTTAGTCAAAAGGTATGTGTATGAGTCTCTTTGAAAAATTAATTTCATAAGGATTCAAGCCTCACTTGTTGAAGACTCAATATAGGGTAGCTGCCAACTAAATGATCTTTTAATCTAGATATTTCTACAACAATATGCTTGAAAATGGTATTGTTGAAGAATTTAAACCAGAACTAAGAGGATTCCCTTGGCCTAACCCTGCAATTAAGTCCTGTGTTATATTTGTAAAGGGTTAAGAATAAGCTACTCAACTTATTGAATAACTATAAAATCCTAAAGAGGCGGAGGTTGTAGTTGAAATTCTTTTAAATATTTTGAAGGCTGGCTACATTAAGTAGAGCGATATTGGTATCGTGACAACCTTTGATGAGCAAAAGAAAAGAATAAGATCAGAAATCAACACCTAAGCAAAGGTAAAAAAAAAAATAAATAAATTATAAAAAAACAATCTATTGAAATACTAATGTTAAATAATAGAAACACCCTTCAATGTTCAGTCTTACTATTGAAGAAACTCTCAGAATTACAAAGCATTCAACACTGATTGACATTGAAACTGTCGAAAAAGCTAATTTGATGGACAAAGAATTGATTATATTCTCTCCTGTTAGAAGCAATAAACATGTAAATACTTTAACAAATTTCATTTTTTAATTAAATTTATTTGAAAATGATATATTAATTGGAGCATTTGCTTAATTAAGATAATTAAGTGCTTTAACCTTTAATTTTTTCAATAAAAATCAATCTGATTTTTAAAAATATTTCCTTCGGTTTCGATTAAAAAATTCCCAAATCTTGCATCCTTTGATTAAGTCCTAGCATATTTTTTTATAAACTATTATAGAAGGCTATGGGCATTTTAAGGGATCCAAGACTTTTAAATACAGTCTTGTGGAGTGGAAAGCGTGGTATCATAATAATTGGTAATATTAAAATTAGTTTTTAGAAAGAAAATTAAAAAAGAATCTAAATAAAATAGCCGACATAGACACACTAGGACAAGATCCACACTGGAAAGAATACTATAAATGGGCAAAAACAAACAATCTAATTTTATAATATTTCAAATGAAAATCATATGCTTAAATATGAAAAAAATAATTAAAATTTTATTTATTAAAAGCAATTATATTATATAAAATTCAAAAGAGTAAATTTAGAGTGTATTATAAATATTAATCTCAATATTTTAAATAATATTCTTTACTAAAATATTTATCTAAAAGAACTATTTATCAAATAACAAATTTATATGTTTAAACTGAAAAATTCAAATAAAAAATTTTGAAAAATGTACAGTTTAATTTAATAATATTTCAAATATGCTTAAATATGAAAACAAAATAATTAAAATTGTATTTATTCAAAAAGAATATATTATATAAAGTTAAAAAGAGTAAATTTAGAGTGAGTGCATTATAAATTTTAATCTCAATATTTTAAATAGTATTTTAGAAAAAAATATTAATTTAAAAGAACTATTTATAAAATTAACAAATTTTTATGTTAAAATTTGAATAATCAAAATAAAAAATATTGAAAGATTTACAATTAAATTTTATAATATTTCAAATAAAAATCATATGTTTAAATATGAAAACAAAATAATTAAAATTTTATTTATTCAAGGAAATTATATTATATAAAACTAAAAAGAGTAAATTTAGAGTGTGTTATAAATTTTAATCTCAATACTTTAAATAATATTTTTTCTAAAATATTAATTTTAAAGAACTATTTATAAAATTAACAAATTTATATGTTAAAATTTTAAAAATTAAAATAAAAAATTTTGTTAAATAGAAGAAAAGAAATTAAAATAATTTTTTAATAACAAAAAACATTATTAATTTGTATTAAATGGCATGATATTTTTGTAAACTTTGATTACAGTAAGCAATCTATCAATTTAAGATATTTATACCTAACAGAAAAAATATAAGAAAATAACAAATTTGTAAATAAATTCAGGACTTTTTGAAAATAAAGCCTATTCTTATAGTATTGTTTTGTTTTGAATTGTAAAATTAATAAATAACCATATCCACCAAAAAAATTAATATATTATTATTATATTGAAATCAAAAAAATAAGAAACCAATTTTATTATGACATGTAAAAAATGATCAGTGATTTGACATTTTTAGATGGACCTGTTGATGTTACTCATGATCACTATAAAAAATAGGATGTCAATGTCCTCAAACTTAAAGAGATGTATGGATACTAAAATAAAATAAGAGAGAGTAGCCAACTTTATAAAAAAAAGAGACTTGCTAATACAAACTAAATGAATTAAAACTACTTGAAAGAGGAATTATAAAAAATTGAGCATGATAAAAAACTCAAAGAAGTTATTGAAAAGCAATTGCAAGAAGAAATTGATATTGAATTGGATGTACTTCTAGAAAGAGACATTAAAGACAGAAATGTTGAGTTAATGCAAAAAAAGATTGACTTCATTAATTCTTTAGAGGAATATAACAAAATTATTTAATATTAAATGGTTAAGCAATTAATTGAAGTGAAGCAAATTCAAGAGAAATTTTGTATTGACTTCTATTAAAAAATAACTGAAATCAAAGATTATGTATCAACTATTGAGGATTATAACAAAATGCATAATAAAATCGATGAACTTAACAAAAAGGCTAGCAAGTCGCTTACTAATTATAGAAAAAAACAATTACAAAATGAAAAAAATAAAATTGATGAAATATAGAGAGAATATCTTTTAAAAATTACATCTAACATAGATTTAATTTTAAATAGCGAAAATGCTTTAAGTTCGCCAGTGAAACAGCTCCTCTTATTTAAGCTGAATGAAATTCTATTTTTTCTTGATGAGCTAATGAAAAGCAAAAGAAACTATTAAATATTCTTAATTGAATCCTTTTAAACTTAAAGCATAAATCTAACTAATATAGAACTATTTTCATTGAATGATAGTAATGATAATGATGACGAAGAGGACTTGGAATTAGAAGATTTTTTATTCATTAAACAGAATAATTAATTTCTTGCAAATGAATTATTATAGAGCTCAACAAATAAAATAATTATTGATGGGATAGCAATAGACTACTCTTAAATTAAAAAAAATAAAAATGAAAGTGAGTAAAACCTAGGTGAAAAAAATTAAATAAATATAACTACAGCCATTGAAGAGAGGATCTAAAAAATTTAGCTAAGATACTAAAAAAACCAATTAAAGAAACAGAAAAAAAAATCTCTGAGCTAGCCTCCATCTTTTTCGAATGAAATAATAGATCTAGAACTATAAAATTTAATGAGATTTTATAACAAACTAAAATAAGTTGAAAAAATAATTGCAAACAAATAAATGATGAAATATGATGAAATCCAAAATATTCTATAAATTTTGTGGTAGTTTTAAGATATACTAGCTATTTAGATATCATGTGCTAAGAATAAATTAGAAAAATATTTAATCAGTTTAAATAATAAAGTCTTTGTTCCTTAAGAAATTATTAGGCTGATTAACAGATAGGTAAAGCTATTGAAAGCTATCCCAGACTAAGAATAAGCAAAATCTTACATAGAAAACTAAAAAAGAAATAATACATTTAAAAGGTATGCCAACGATTAAGGAAAAATAACTAATTTCCATTTTGTTTTAAATGCAAATAACCTCAAGCCTCTCTTACAAAAGATAGATCCTTAGTCTTTCTTAGACGATGAGAAAAAATAACAAAAATAAATGCAAAGTAAGTTAAAAAAATTAAAAGAAGATGCTGTAAAGAAGTATGTTAAATCTAAATTAAATTAGACCACCACTTAATTTATTACAAATTCGTAATTTATTTATTTATTTAATTCATTTTTTTTTCATTTTCTTATGAAATTTACAAAATATAAAAATAGAGAGCTGCAGTCTGGAAGAGTGAGCCCATCTAATTCATGTAAAAACTCATAAGATTCTGGATTTAATAGAGATAGAAGTATTTCTTAAGGTAGTATTTATGGTTAGCTTTAGTAAAATAAAATATAATAAGAAATTAAAGATAAGCAGAAAAATGAACTAAAAATTTTTTACTTGAATGAGCACTTTGATAATATATAACCGTAAAGAAGTAAAGTGACAAACTTATAAAATAAAACTAAAAGTGTTTCGCATTCTTAAACTCCATTAAAATAGCAAAGCTAAAAAATGAACATTTCAAAATATGTCAACGACAGCTTTGATAACTCAGGACTCAATAACTTAATTTGTGAAAAATAAAAAGAAATAGATATAAGTGCTGACGTTCATTATGTGATGCTCAGCAATATATTTTCTCATAACAATGAGCTGATTGAAATAGAAGATTTCATAGAGAAGGAAAGAAGCAAGGTTGATGAAAATTAAGAAGAATAGTAGCTAGATCCTAAATAGCTTTATAATGATAGATATAGTCGTTTCAAATTAAAGAGTTCTTCTTCAACAAGACCAACTACAGGAAAAACCATAGTAGCAAAGAATGAAGTAGTAAACTCATAAGTTTCTAATTAGAGTCCTAATTATTAGTCAGAGTCTGAAGATATCTCTTCCAAATTTTAAAGAGTTAAATCTAATAACTTATCTGTTTCATTCTACGTTAATGATAAAAATTAAACTATAAATACTTCTAGGCCAAGCTCTTCTTATTAGAGGTTTGGTGGAGGTAAAAATAAAAGGAGTAGTTCTGGTATTTCTAGTATTAGTAATAATTAAAGTAGCTTTATTTAAAACTATTCTTAGTTGCAGTAACCAAGGCCAAGGACTTCAAATTAAAATATTTACTTATAATCAAAGAATATAACTCCTATAAGAGAGTAATTTTCAAAAGATATTGCTAGCGATTCTAAATATTAATCTATTCAGTAGTCGTAAGGATAAAGCTTAGAGAATACTTAAATCATTAGTTAGGATTCTAAATTACAATAAAACTAAATAGAATAAGATGAATATCAGCAAGAAAACTAAATTTATTTAGATGAAGCAGAGAAAAAAGAAGCTGAAAAATTAAAAAGACGTAAAAACTTGATGATAGAAATATTGGAAAGAAAAAGACCTAGATATATATTTTTGGGTAGCTCCAGAAATCCAATTAAAGGTACTCCAGAATAAATCCAAGAAATAGAAAGAAATGCACATTTGGTTTAGCAAAGATAGAAGCTATAAGTTCAATAAAAAGAAAGAATCAAGTTATAAAAGCGTATACAAGATATAGAAAAACAGTGGGAAGTATCAAATATAGAAACTTTAGCAGGACCACCTAAAAAATATTATGTAGAAACTTCTACAATTTAGCACGATTTTAAAGACAGAGTTATATCCAAAATTATTAATCACTGATATATTAAGACTAAAATAAAATAAAATAAAATAAATAAACAATTAATTAATTAGTCCTACTTTAATTTTTCCAAAGTATTTTATATACAAAATTAATATTATAGTAAGTAAGTATTGGAGTGTTAAATTTACCCAAATTTTAAAATTAAGAAAGTTAATGCTAAAATAAAAAAGAAAGTTTAAATTTAAGTATTAAAAATATCAAATACTTTAAAATGTTCGTTTAAGCTTGTTTGAGTGCAAATGCTAAAATTAGAAAATGTTAGCTTTATGCTGATAGAAAAGAACAATATATTCTATTGTACAATATTTATGTATATATATAAATATAAATGTTAAATATACTGAAATCTTAAACCCAAATTTAAAAATTATGAAAGTTAATATTAAAATAAAAAAGAAAGTTTAAATTTAAGTATTAAAAATATCAAAGATTTTAAATGTTCAAGTTTGTTTGAGTGCATTTGTTAAATTTATAAAATGTTAGATTGAATTTAAATAGAAAGAGTGTGTTAATTAGTTAGTGAGTGAGTGAATGAATTATGCTGATAGAAAAGAACAATATATTCTATTGTACAATATTTATATATATATAAAAATATAAAGTATAAATTAATATTAATTTCTTAGGGTATTTATTTGTGTGGTTTGTTAGTTATTTTTTGTCTTCTTTTGGCCTATTGCAACAAAAAACTCTATAAAGAATTATTTGTTTGAAGACATTAATTAATTAACTTGCTAAAGAAAATTTTAAATATTTATTTTTTTCAGTAAAATTATATGTTTAGAAATATAAAGGGCCCAAAATATAATACACTTCATTCATTTTTAAATTAAGTCAGTTTGCTTTGAAAATAAACTAATAGATAGATAGATGTTCAATACAATTTGACTCCTTATTACTAACTCTTTCACTCGAGGTTCATAACGAAGTCTTTTCTCATTTCATTATCCATATTTTCATCTTTCATTTCATTTAATTTAAATATATTTTCAACAACACTGATTTCAGTAGAAGTAGTATCTAAACCTATTTTTATTAATAATAATTTTGTTTAAATTTTGTTTTATCAAAAACTGCTTAATGTTTCAAATTAAAAAATAATCTAATCAAATTAAAGTTTCTCGAATTATATTTGTCTTTTAAATTTTATAATTAATTTTTGGATTGGTAGATATCTCTCTATCTATCTATCTTTCTTTTTTTTATCTAAATTGCTTGGATTATTTGCTTTTCTTAAATTTTGTTAGCTACTTTACAAAAAGTTACTTTTGATTATTTCTTTTACAAAAAACCATTGCAAACAAATAGCTAAATATTTAAGATGACAAAACTCAGAATTAAAACTGAGCAAGCATTCATTCATTTTGTCTCTTTTGACAAAAATTTTAGTCCTATTTTTTGGGTTTTGATTTTAAAAAAAATAAAGTTTATTACCACAAAAAGCAGCCCAATCATTTACAACGAGGCCAGCACCAATAACATCAGAACCTCTGTTAATTGTACCAGCACAAAGGGGGATTTAAAGGAGGTTAGCAAGTTCGTCTAACTCTTCAACTGAAGCTAAAGGATGAACAAGACCACCTCTATTATTGATAACACAGTAAGTACCAACGAGAACGTTATTAGCAATAGTAGTTCTAAAGACTTCAACTCCGAGTGTGTCAGCAATAATTTCTTCACTTTCTCTGTCCAAATCAGGGTGGATCAAGGCAACATAATCGTTAGCAACAACACAATTACCTAAAGCTGAAAGCTTTTCTTCGATTCTTCTTACTCTGACGTTGTCAGGAAGGGAATTTCTAATATTTCTCAATTCATTGTCATTACAAGTGTTAGGGACCAACAAACCGTTCTTGTTACCTTAATTTGTTAAAAATAATAAAATTAAGCAATGAAAAATAAAAATAATTTTTAAAACATCAAGAATAATCAAATCTCAATTCTTCTTGAACGAAAAATTATGTTTTCCTCAAAAAAATAAAATGAATTTCCTATTGAATTTGAACTTATTAAAAATAAAATTAATAAAATTATTACCACAAGTTACTCTGCCTACGATACGAGTACCGCCTATTGATGTATGAATAACTGGAATATGGGGGACCAATTCAGATTCAAAAACAGAATAGAAGTTTTCAGATGCACCAACGGAAACTAAACAGTATGCTGATGTGAGTTTGCAGAAGACTCCGATGTCGTTGGAGTTTTCAAATTAACATCTTCTTGCCATTTCTTTCTAATTACTTTGATTATATGACTGTCTCTTTTTATCTTTTTTCTTTACTTTTTATTTTTTTGACTCTTTAATATAAAATTAAAATTTTTTTTATATGCTTCAAGATTGCTATCAACTCCTCAAAATTAATAGCATCTCAAGTAGGCAATAATAATTTCTTCTACGCTTATTTTCTGATAAAATAGCTTAATTAATATATTATTATTCTCTTCTTCCTTCTTTGCTTGCTACTAATAAATCAAATATAATGTAAAGAGCAGTCAATCTATTTTTTAAATAACTTAAATTTATGATATTTTCTGAGATAAGTGCAGAAAAAATAAAATCTTTCAATCTATATCAAATACATTTTCGCATCTCGCAAGAATTAATATTGTTGCTACTCAAAATAAAGTAGACTAAAAATGGATCTTGAAAGATACATTTAATTAAAATAATAAAGTGTTTCATAGGGCGTATCTAAATTTATTTTTCTAAGTCTGATAAGAAATTAAAAATTAACAAACTAAATAAAATGAATAAATCTAATTTTTTGATAAAATTAAATAATTTCAATTAACATTAACAAAAATATATTGCTATTATCCAAAATAAATTAGCACAATTCATTAAAGTTATATCAATCTTTATCAAGATGAGTGATTGGTTAAAAGCCATTTTGTATTTATTGAGGTTAAAAAACTTTCTTTCAGCTGAATAAGAAGTTTATTGTTATTAATTTGTTTTAAAAAGAAGAAAAACAAACTCACATAATGATTTAAATTTGAAAATTTATTTATTTATTTTATTATTAAAACTACTTTAATATTTTAATGAAATTTAATAAAATATGAGATAAAAAATTGATGAGAAGATAAAAGTAATTTAGATTATGACTATTTTTTGTTGGTGAGGATTAAATTTTTGGTATTAAACTATTCTAGCTATTTATTTTAGAAAATATATTATCAGATTTTATGACATTTAGTAACAATTTATAGATGATAGATTATATTCATAAAGTTAATATTTATTTATTTAGCTTTTTAATTGATTTCTTTTACCAAATGATTTGTTTGTTTATTTGTACACTTATTTGGAAATAAATCAATCAAGCTTAAAAAAGAATTTGTACACTTTTTATTAGGAAATAAGTTAATAAAGTTAATTGATAATTAATTAGATTTTGCTAAAATTTTTCATCTTTTATCAACATTTAAAATAGGAAATTTACTACAAACAGGTAGGTTTATAAATTCAAAGTCTTTGATAGTAAAAAAATAGCTTCTACACAACTAAAAATTAGCTTAATATGAATTTTATAGGAGGTATTTACTCATAATTTGATTTAATTTTGTTAAATTTTCATAATTTTATAATTCCTTAAAATAATTTATTTTTAATAGGATTATTTGGCAAAAAATAAACTGATTAAAAGCCACAATAAAAATAAGGATAGCAACAGACTTAGGAAGGTAGTAGAAATACACCTTAAAAATTAAATAGCAGTTAGTAACCAAGCAACCCATGGAAGATGGAATCAACAACTCCAAAAAACAATAATAGCTAAAATTAAAGCTTTAATAATTTATCAAATAGCATGAATTAATAGTAAGAAAATGGTTCATCTAGCTCTATGAATACGTCAGTTACTTAGGAAAAGTCTAAATCAATGTTCAAAAGTAAAATCTCATTATTTTTTGAAGCATTTTTGATAAATACAAATTATTTTATTATATTTTTTTAAAAATTTTAAAATATAAATAGATCTAAAGACTAAAAAATAAACAGTACCTCCTGCTGAATCTTTCAATAACAATTCAGAGTAATCTTAAATTGATTCTTTTTAGAACCCTTAATTAAAGCAAGCTTAAAGCTCTTATACTCCTGTCTCAATTAATAATGATATTAAAAGTAATTTTGAAAACGTTGACTACTAATAGCCTATATAAAGTGATATCACTAATGAAGATACCTCTACAAATGCATCTTTAGCACCCGCTCCTACTAAGAGTGCTAAAGGTTTTGCTAAATTTAAAAAAAATACTTAGCAAGCAGCAACTCAATAATAATAAGAGGCAGAAAACATTGAGCAGCCTTAAAAGAATTAGGTAATTCAATATAACAATGTAATAATAATTATTATTTTTTAAGTTTATTTGAATCCAATTAAAAAATAAGTCAAAGAAATGATAGGCGTTTAAAAAGTAATTTTTATAAATTAAAGGAAGAAAAAGTAGAATAAGAATAACAAGAGGCTCCTTAACAAAAAGAGAAGGAGAGTATGCTTAGTAGATTCAAAAAGAAATAGCCTCAAGCAGAAAAATAGTAAAATGAAAACTAGTATGAAGAGTAAATTCAAATAAAACAAAGTTATTAAGAAGAATAAATTCATCCTAATGATGATGAATAGACTAATTAAGTTTAAGTCAACACCTTAAAAGTAGATGATTAAGAAAAAATTTACAAATGGGGTGCACCTGATAGTGAAACTGAAGAATAGAAAGATAAAGAAGATTTAAGTAATAGAATAAAAGAGTAGACTGAAAAGAAATCAGCTATTAACTCTAGCAGTTCATTAGGATCTGAAAAACAATAAACCCCTTCATCTTCTTCTAAGCGTTTCTTAGATAAAATGAAGCAGAAGCAGGCTCAAAAAGCTGAAGAACCAACTAAACCATAGCAAGTAAAAATTTAATTTAAAATCAATTAAATAAACAATTTATTTTTAAAAATAGCTAAGTTAAAAGGATGAAAAGTTTATTATGAATAAAATTAATGAAGAGAGAATAAAGCTTAAATAAAAGCTAACAGAAATAGTCTTAAAATAAAATTAATTAATGTCTAAAACAAGTAAAATTTTTATTTATTTATTTATTTATTAATAAGTAATTATTATTTTTATTTATGAAATAAATTTATTTAAAAATAGATTATCTTCAATCAGATGTCTAAAAGTTGAAGAAGAAACTTACCAATTTATAAAGAGAATAAGAAGAATATGCTGAGAATGACTAATTTGAAGAAGCAGAAAAATTAGAAGAAGTTATTTAACATCAGCAAGAAGATGTAAACAGATTTTATTAAACAACTTTACTTTAATTCAAAACATTATACATTATATAGATATTGTAAACTGAAAAGCAAATTCTTTAATGCTAATCTGACTACAATTAATATGAAAGGTAAATTTAACTTGTAGATAGCTGAAATATTAAAATTATTTTTTTATAGTGAAAAGGAATAGCTTTTTAAACAAGAAATTTCCTATCAAGAAAGTTGGTTACTTTAATTAAGTGATTGCAAGAAAGAAAAGCTAAGGGAAAAGGAAAGTTACGAATCTGAATAGAATCAAAAATTAAAAAACGAAAAATATCAAATTGAAGAAGAATCAGAAAGACTTAAAATAACTGAAGACCATATAAATTTGGATAAAAAGCATTTAGACGAAGAAAGAGATTAAATTTAATAAAATTTAACTAGTTAAACTGGAGAATTCTCATCTGAAAAAGAGAAGTTTGTATTATAGAAGAAAAGTAAAATTATTCATTTAAGATTTTAATTTTGTTATATGAAGCCATTTTTATTTAATAGCTTTAGAAGCTGAGGTTGAAGAAATAAGAAAGAAACTGAAGCAAAAGGAAAAGGAATTAAGCCAAGTGAATGATAGTATTGAATAGCTAACTTTGAAGATTAACAACATATAGGCTAAATTTGAGAATTAATTACGCCGTATCGAATAAAAAGAATAAAAAATAAGTGAAGATTTAGCAAATTACAAAATTGAAAAGGAAGAACTTGAAAAAAATATTGCTTTAAATGAAGGAAACAAAGAGTCATTTAAAAAGAAATTGTAAGAATATGATCAAATATTAGAAAATTTACAAGTGACCAGAAATAAATTATCTGAGCAGATATTACAAATTAAAGAATTAAAAGAAAATAGAGAATCTGCATTAACAAAATATACTGATAGTTACAACACTTATGCAAATTATAAGAGCACACTTTAATCAGATGAAGAAAAGTTAGAAAATTTGAATGAAAGTAAACAAAGAATAGATGATTAAATTTCTGAAATATTAAATAAGATAGCTTAGACTTCTGAAAAAATTCCTTCATTAGAAAATGAAAAGAAAGCTCTCGTTTCTCAGAAAAAATATAAAGTAATTAATTGATTTCATACTTTAAAAATAAATTAAAATTATTTAATGAATTCTTATTTATTCAATTAAATTAAATTATTTTTATAATTAAAGTAAGCTGGTACTGTAGCTAACGATATTAAAGAGCTTTCAACATAAATTGAAGAAATGCAAAAGTAAGTTGAATCTTATAAGCAGACTGAATAAGAGATTTTGAATAAAATAGAAGAAGTAATCATTTATTTATTTTACTTCATATATTTATTTATATTTTTTTTAAAAAAGATATAAGAAAGAAAGTCTGAAAGTGACAAAACTTTAAGCGAATTAAAGAAAGCAGCAGATATTGATAAGTACTAGCTTCTTTTGATTAAGATTAAAGATCTTGAGTCTCTCCACGAATTTTCCGTAGAATAAAGACACTATGAACACAGTGTTACTCTCGAAAGTGAAGTAAATAATAAATTATTGAATTAATTTGAATAATTTATTAAATTTTTAATTTTCCAAAAATAGATTAAATAAACTAAAGCTGAAATTGAATAAATCCGTAAAGAATACCCTGAAGTAGACAGATAGAATAGCTGTAATAACTCTAATGTCTAAAGTTCTAATAATTTAGAATAGAAAATAGTTTCTACACACAAGGATCTATTAGAGCTTTCAGACCATGAAGATGAAAATAGAAATAACGAAGACAGCTAACAAGAAGAATAAAAAATAAATAATGATAATGATTAAGCCAATGAAAACTTGAATAATAATTCACTTGGTTCTAATACAAATACAATGAGTTCTTAACAATTAACCCAAGCTGATTTAGATTTCTAATTAAAAGACTTAATATCAAAAATAAAAGCTAATTTAAAAAAAGTTGCTGATTTTGAAAATGAAATCACCCATTTGGTTTAAGTAATAAAGATTTTAATTAATAAAATTTATATTAAGAAAATAATTTTAAATAGGCAGAAAACTATGAAGAAGCTGACAAATTATAATAGTAAGTAAATGAAATCAATCTTAAGATAGACTAACAAAAAGAAAAGTTAGCTCTTAACTATAGTTGTTTGAATTTAGAAGAGGCTGAAAATTATTTAAATTAATTTAAGAGTGAGCAACATATTCAAAGTGAAGTAGGTTCTCGTGACAAATCAGGTAATTCACCCTATTCTGAGAATATTAGTTCTCAAGTAAACACTGATAATGATAACAAATCATAAGATTCTGAAAATGAAAGAGAAGACTTTTCACCTGATAACAAAGAAGAAGTAAACGGAGGGGAAACAAATCAATAAGAAGAGGAGGATGAAGAAGAAGAAGAAGAAGAAGAAAATTCATAGAAATAAGAAATAGACCAAGATTAAGAAGTAGAAGAACAATAAAATCATGAATAATTGTGAGTAGAAAATTATATTTGTTAGGTTTGAGTTTATTTCATAATAGATTAAATTATAAAATTTAATTATCAGAAGCTAGAATGTAATATTTTGGGAAAATCATATTTCCCAAGCCTATTTGTTTATTGATACATATTTTTTAATATAATATTAGTAAAAAACAAACTAATTTTATGAATAAAATATCATGCTTTTTATTTATTGCTAAGTAAAAATAAAGTATTTACATTCAAGTTTTGCTTGAAAATTAAATCAACTGATTTTAATTTTTTTTATTTTACCTGTTTTAAATTTACAAATTTTTTTTGCTAGATAATTTCAATGTAAAATTAAGTAAGATCCTAAATAAATTTACCCAGTTCTTCTAATTTATTATACAAATTTCATAATTATTTTGTTTTTTTATGATTCAAAATTTATCTATTCGATGATATAAATAAGTAAATAAGTTGAAATTTTATTTATTTTTTATTTAATGAAAATGCAAAATTTATTTAAAACTCTTCTTCATACAAGTTAAGTACAAAATCAATTTTTGATTGCGTAATAGATCAAAATTGGTGATGATATTTATTATACAATGATGTATGAGGTTATTTTAGGAAACGTTACGAATTAAGAATATTTTTAAAGCCAGAGCGAGCGATTAATTCTTATGAAAATAACCAATTTAGGATATTGAGTTAGAACTAAGCTTTAAATTTTTAAAATATATTTTTTAATTGAAAGATATCAACCAACATAAAAACATAACTACTTAAATTGTAAAAGTAGTGAGCGTTGATAGTAAATTATTTTATTTAGCTGTATAGTTAACTACCATGAATATGAATCCACATAAATATATTTTATAAAAATATATTCTGTTTCTTCTACTTTCTCCAATTTCAGCTAGTTATGCATTCATTCAATGATGTAGCAGTCTGTTTACGTCACTTACTTATTTTTGAATGAAATTTTATGATTTTTCAATAAAATCATTGAAACATATATAAAGAAACAATATCAAAATAATTAATTGCTTGTATATCCAGTGTTTTTAAATGAATTAAGAAAAAGAATTTTGTGTGCTTGCTTGCTTTTATAAAGATTTTTTAATTTAAAAACAAATTAATTTATACGTTTAATATTTTCATCAAAAAAACAATCAAAATAAATTTTGTAGTAACAAAAAATAGGCTAATAAAGACTACTAAAGAAACATATATAATTTTTTAGTATCATATACAAGTTAATTGTAAAAATAGTAAATCTCAAAGCAAAAATACTTACTTACTAAGCTAGATAAGCTATTAAAATACACTTAATTTTTCATTTGCAAGAAAATATAAAGGCTATCAGATATTATAAATAATATATTGCAATGGATAGTGTTGTAGATAAAAAAATTAATTCCTAAGATTCACTGGATTCATAAATGAGTTTCTAGTAGAATAACAGCAGCACAAGTAGTACTCTATATCCACCATAATTCATTAGTAAAAATGAACAATAGACGTAAGCTGCTAAAAAAGTATTTTTAGAAGACAAAAATTTATTGTTTGTTTCTAATGAGTGTTATTTTTTGGGAGAATTTTAATGCGATAACATCACGATCATCCGTGAGTATATTTAAAATAAAGAGTTTTGCAATCAAAAAATATACCATACACACCTTAAATAGAAATATTCTGCAAATTTATCGAGCTAAATAATCATAGCACATGGATTATATGAAACTTCTGCACACTATATGGAGGTATAGTTTTTGTAATTTTCAAAGTTAACTCTGTTTTACTTTAATTAGACTGCTTTTATCCTTGTAGGATTAGGCTATGAAGTCCATCTTTTTGACTTTTCAGGCTTTGGGTATTTGTTTATTTATTTATTAATTATTTTATACTTAACTTTGTTTAATGATCTGAATTAATTAATTTTAATATCAAATAGAAAAATATAAAATTAAAAAACATTTATAAAAAAATAAAGTTGTTAAATTTACGATTTTATTCCAATTTTCTTTCATTTGTGAATGATCAAATAATATTTTTAATTAAAACACAATTAAGGCATTCAGGAGGTAAAAGGATGAACTCTAGTTGTAAAGAACTTCAAAGCGATTTTATATCGGTGTATGATAGATTATCTCATTCGAGACCTATTTATATAATAGCTTGCTCAATAGCTGTACCGATAATTCTAAGTTGTATGATATTAAATCCTCAAACTATAAAAATAAATGGATTTATCAGCTATAGTGCTATGATTAGTATTCCTCTTATTTACAATAAATATAATTTTGCTTCAAATGCAGTTCTATTTTTTCTTTCCAAGCTTAATCCAGTAAAATAAATGTTTAATTACTGATTTTTAAATTATTAAAAATTTTTTATTAAAATAAACAAACAGTCCCTGTACTTTAACTTAAAAACTAATTTTTCTGTACTTCACCGTAGTAATTATCAAATAAAAAAAGATATACTACTGAATGATGGTTAAACTAATTGTATTACGTAATTTATTAAAATTGAAGTCTCAATCAATAATACATTTTATTATATTTTGAATAGAATTGGAATGGCTTATGACTTGATAAATATTTAGAATTTCGTTTTGGACAATTTATTAAATGTTAATGTACCTCTTTTAATTTTATATGGATAGGAGGATTAAATTGTAAATTAATAAGATTCTATTACTCTTTATTGTAAAGTAGGTATTCTAGATAAGACTATAAAAATTTTAAAAGACTAATAGCACTTATTTTTATTAGACTCAAACAAATCAGAAGTTTTAAATATAATTAGTCAATGGTTAGATATACAAAGTAAACACAATGCTAATACTATTAATTCAAAATAAGATTAAATTCCTTTCTCTCATCCTATTGATCATAAATAAGACTTTACTAGTTAAATTAGAGCTGTAAGTAAAAAGTAAACACCTCAAGAATGCAATTCAGGAATTCTATCTTTTTATTCTAAAAAGAGCTTATCTAGCATTTCCCAAGATTTAAGTAAAGAAGATTTTAGCTAAGATGATTATGATGATGATGATGAAGAAGAAGAATAATAAAGTGAAAGCGAATCAATAAAATAAATGTACAAATAATAAAATAAGCGAAATACAAATAAATAAAGCAAATCCTTAATAAGTAATAACTCTTTGAGAAGTACAGACTCTTAAAATTTAAGTAAACAAAATGAAAATTAGGCAGTTTCTTAAAAATACCATCATAAACATCAATCTCCTTAAAAAAAGAAAATCAAAAGAGTTGAAGAAGATTGCAATATTTGTGAAAGCAGTAAAATATTGGATTATTTAAATAGCTCACCTATGCCTTCATACTCGAATCCATTTGACCCTCAAGTTAAGAAAGCTAACTAAGAAAAAATTACAAATGAAAAGTAAATTTGCAAGAAAATTAGCAAAAAGCCTAAATATATTTATGGAACTCATCTTCCCAGGAAAAATAAATTTAAGCTGTTAGTTAAATGCTTCCTTTATATATTATTCTTTGCCATTTTAAAGCTTATAATGCAGAATAGGTAATTAATTAAATATTCAATCAATCATTTTTTAAGATTTTATCAAATAAATTAATTTGATTTTTTTATTTTTAAATTAGTAATTTATTTAATCTCAAAGCGATGAAGTAAATATTACAAAAGTATCTATAACAAATAGTTATAAAGTCAATAAAAATTCTAAATTAGATATAATGAAACCCAAACTACCTTTTTATAATAACAATATGCTAGTCAAATTAAATTGGAATTTCAATCAATTTACAGTTATTAAAAAATATGACTGAAAATAAAAAATATTTTAAAAACTAATTAACTACTATTATAAATTAAACAAATTAATTACCTATAAATTAAATTAAATCAAGAAATATGATTATTATGTATGTATGTATTTATTTTACTCTATTTACTCTTTGCATCTAACAAAATTTTCAATTTAATTATGTATTTCATTAGATTTAAAGAGATAAAACTTCAAAGTATATTTATTTTTTTTGAGTTGTAAGAAAATAATTTGGATAACAAATTAATTTAAAAAATATTTATCAATAATTTGATCTTTTTAAGCTTAAAAGTTTTAATTAAAAGTAATTCATTCTCAAAAATAAAAGACTAATTTACTTTTTCATTATAATTTTAGCAAGTTAATATACATATTTAATAAAATTAGTTATTCAATCTCATACGTTATAGTGTTTCCTAATCTGATTAACTCCTTTATAGTAAATCAAAAGCAAACCAAATCTATTTCATATTAGCATATCAAATCTATTTTTGCTTCTTTGAAATATTTGAATAATTTGTTGCCAAAATCCTTTTACTAGAACTTTACTGTAGCTTGTTTATAAAATTCTAAAAATTATAATCTTTCTTTGGCATTTGAAGGTGCATTAACATTATAAAAATTGTAAGGAATATTTACATTGAAATTATTTAAAATTAAAACAGAACAGGGAAAGAATATTTTGCTTGAGCTCGCACTTTGTATCAATAAACAATTTTTATATTTAAAACAAAAACCTGCTTTAATTATTTATTATTTTAAAACTGTAAGTTAAAATAGTAGATAAATAATTTAATAATGACTTGAATAAGTTGCTATTACACCTACAAAAATACTATTTTTTTATTTTCTATGATAATATGCATCACAAATATTAGACAAAAAATAATATAGATAAATTTTTAGGAAGCTTTTTAAAGATATTGATTTTTTTTTTTTGATAAAATTTAATTTAATATAATTTAAAAGATTTTCATCATTCAATAAATCAAAAGATTTATTTTAACCTTCAAATATCCACACAAAATAGCAATTTAAACATTGTTTTACAATTATTTAAAAAATTATAATTTAATCAAAAAAAAAAATTAGTTAATAAAAAAAGATAAAAAACAAAATCTTAGAAATAAATGCTTACTTAAAGAAGATTAGAATCTTAATTTGATTTGGAGAATTTATGCTTAACTCCTTCTAACATCAACGCTAAACATAGAAAGTCTCACATCATTTTAAATAACATGAAAGAAAATATTCCTCCGTTGAATACTATTAAGAATAATAAAAATGGATTGATATCTTATTCTTATTCTTAAAAAATTATGCTGTAAACAAAGCCCAAACTGAATAGTAAATTAGTAAAATCTCCTAACATCAACAATAATTATAGAATTCTTTCCCTCCCTTTAAATGAAGGCAAAGAAAGTGAAATTATGAATCGTCCACTTCCTTCATATAAGGATAGATATTTATCTGAATTATAAGGTAAATCAAACTAAAGAGACGATGCACCAACTCTTTAAATAACAAATAATTCTCCTTCTAACTAATAACAAAATCTAGCTCCTGTATCACCTATTTTCTACAAATCCTAAATGAAGGAAACAAACTTTGTTTCTCCTGTTTCAAGATAATAGTTAAATGATAGGTCTCCCTTCATTTTGAAAACTCCTTAAAATAGCCTAAAGCCAACTCAAAACAATTATTTTGAATTAATTAATTAAAAGACCACAAACGGATTTTAATAATAAAAGTTTACTATTAAAAATAAAAGTAAGTATAACAATTTTTTAATGCCTTCCAATAATAATGAAGTGACTATAAAGGTACCCTCATGTCCTGTCCTTATTGATGAAGCAGAAATTGACTACTCTCCTTAGATGAAGACCTATACACCAAATAATAAGAGAATTACCTGCTAAAGATCAAGACTAATATTTAAGAAATATATGGATAATAGTGGAGAAATTTCCTAAAATTCTCCTGATTTATTAACGGCTAATTTAAAGAAATAAAATTTATAAATAGCAACATTAAACACTTCAGCTGAAAAGCAATTATAACAAATAAACAATAGTGTTGAAAAATCATAAGACTTCTCTCATTTAAAAAAGTACTACGGATAAAAATATGAACCAAAATTACAAGTAAAATAATAATTATAACAGTAGTAATCTAATAGATAACCTAGTCTTAAATCTAAAAAATTGTAAATGATACTAAGCTAAAGAAATAACATCTAAGCTATTAATAATTAAACAACAAATGCATATTTTGGTGATTATGAAATGAAGCCTTGGGATTAAAAGAGCGAAACATTTTTAACAGAAGAAGCAGATACTTCTTTAATTGATATTTTGAATCAATTATCTAAGTGAGTATTTTTTACAGTGGAATGAAAAAATAAAGAATAAAAAAAGTGTGTTTAATTTAACTAAGTAATCAAATAAATATTCCACCAATGAAAAATATTTTAAATATCTTAAGTGATTTTAAATTACATAAACAATTATAATTAATTATTTTACATTAATTCTACCTATATTAAATTTAAATTATCAAAATGTTACAAAATACTTATATTATTTCTATTTATATTTTGTATTTACTTATTTATTATGATTAAAATCCTACCTATCTACTTACCTTCCTTCTTTTCTTTTCTTTTCTTTTCTTTCCTTTATTTTGCTTAGTATTTTAAATTTTCAATACTGAACATCATTTAATTTTTTTTTCTTTTTTTAAAGAAAAATTTTTGAATTTTTCAAATAATCTTAAGTAGATTATTTTTATTATTGCATAAAAATTTATTTGTAAATTTTAATTAACTAATTAATTTTTTCTTTCAAAAAGAATAACACAATCTAAATTCAATAATGCTAATTCTAAGCACTTTCTCTTTTAGAAACATTTATGTTATTCATAAACTCTTTCAATTTTTTTCATAATTTTTTTATTAATAATTTATAAAATTAAATTTAAAATTCATCAAACTTTTTCAGCATTCAAAACTATTTAAATAAATCATGAATAATTTTAAGAATCTATCTACTAGAAAGGCATTTTCTAATCTTAATCTAGAAAATTTCAAATTTGATTAAATTAATCTACTTAAAACACATTAAAAATTTAATATTAATTTTATGTTTGAAATTATGTAAATTTTTTAGAGAGATTATTTAAAATTTCTTGAAATAGTAAAAATAAAAAAACCAAACAAAATATTTTTTTAATATAAGAAAAAGTGTAAAAAATATTTATCAAATATCTTAGAATTTATTTAAAAATGATAGAATAAATTTATGAATTTATTTATTTAATTCAAACTAATATTAATTGAAGATAATATTAATCAATTGCTTAGACAAACTAGAATATAAAAAATTAAAAATATTTTTTTATAATAATAATTATTTTATTTAAATCTTGATTTATTTGCTAATAAATTAATGTTTTTATTTTACTCAAGTTTTGTTTTAGTATGAACTCTAAACAAAACTTTATTTTGTTTATTTAAAAAAAAATAAAATACATTTTTATAGCATATTTGAAGTTGTTTGTTTAATTCATCTTATCTTTATCTTTTTATAAGTGGAAAATAATTTTAATTTGATAAAATAAATAAATAAAAATTATAAATGATAAATTAAGATACTTAAATATCCATATATTATTTTGATTAACAACCCAGTCTTATTAAAATTAAGATTTTAAAAAATACAAAAAGTACAAAATATTAATAGTATTCATTTACTTAAAATTAATTTAAGAATTTAGTTTAAAATGTCAAAGTAAACAGAAACCGCTAATAAAAATTTAGATAAAGTAACAGATTACGTTGAAGAATAAGAACTTAAAGTTGAAAATGTAATTTATTCAAAATTTAAAAATATATTCTATATTTTAATGATTGACTTTTAAAAAATATTATAGGCATTAAGCAATCTTAAAGAAGAAAAGTATGAATAATATCAATTACAAATATTTATTTATATAAAAATATAATTAAACTATACTATGAGTAATACTTATTTAATAAAATTATTTAATAGGAAAGTTTTGATTAAGTTAAATGATGCAGATGTTAAATTTTTAGAATAAAACTTCGATTTAGATAAGATTAAAGCTATTGAATAATTAAGATTAACAGAAGGCGATTTGCAAAAAGCAATTTAAAACCTTTTACACAACTGAAGATCATTTATTGAAAAGAATAGAAACTTTTGAATAAAATAAAAATTTTAATTTATAAACTAGATTATTTTATATTTAAATTTAGATTCTTATTATGTAAAAATGATAAAAGATTTGTATTCTATCAAATAATTGAAATTTAGCTTTATTTTTACTCACTAAGTATTAAAATATCAATTAAATAAATCAAATCATTCCAAAAGAAGATTTTTGTTTCTGCAAAAGATATTTTAATTAACACAAAATATTTCTCTTCTAGATAAATAACCTTCAATTATTAATAAGAAATAATTCTTATTAACATATTCAACTCATTTTTCGCGCAAAAAGTAATAGCTAAATTAACTCTTTAAATGCAAATTAAATATTTTAGAATTTCCTAAAAATAAATTGAATTTTTTTCGAATATTTTAATTTTTATAATACTAGCTCTTGTTAAATTTAAAAGTAAAAATGGCAAGCAATCTTAAAGTAAAAGAAATAAATATTTTCTAAATCCAAGCATATTTAATATTTGCTCTTAAATAATAATTTAATATAAACTTAGGTTAAAATATATATATTTTTTGCATAGGTTAGTCAAACTAAAAAAGAATAATAAAAATTATTTTTGTTTATAATATTCTTTAAGTTTTTAGAATAAAATAAATTAAATTTAAATAATTTATTAGGTAGATATTTAACTCTATTAAAATATTATAACCTATTAATTTATACATATTAAAATATGCACTTTTCTTTGTTGTGTTTATTTTATTTGAAGAAGAAGAAGAAAATCTATTATTAAAGACTTGAGTTTATATAATTAAGATATTAATAGCTATTTTTAAAAAACCAGAGATGAATAATAGCTCTCTTTTAAAAAATATTTTTATAAAGTATTACAGGGTTATAAAAAAATTATAATTGATAATAATACAGAAATAATACTTTAATACTACATATTTTATTATTTAATAAGCTATTTATAAATCAAATATTAGAAATTTAGAAATATAAAGTGTTGTTAAAAAGATATTTATTTATTTGTCTTTTCTATTCATCAAAAGCTTATTTTAAAACAAATTTATATTCAAAAATTAGAAGATTTATTAGCCTTTAATTTTTGGCGCAAATGAGCTAGCTTGATTAAATTCTTGAAGAAGCTGTTAAAAAAAATGAAAATAATAAAAGAGAAGTCAAAAATCCTTTGACTAAAGTAAAAAAAGTTCTAAGGTAAAAAGAAATGTCTATTCATTTTTGTTTTTAATAAAGGAAATGATTCAATATCAAAAAGTTCTAGAAAGCCAGTAGCTTAAGAGCTAAATTAACTAGTAACATGCAAAAAAAGAAGTAAAGAAAGAATATATCGTTATAGATGAGGATTCTACAGATATTTATCAATAAAATAAAATATAAAACACATAAAATGGATCTTAAAAAGTAAAATATGTTGATATTTTAAAATAAAGATAAGAGGAAATAAATAAAATACCTAAAGTAAGTTCATTTATTGATCTTTTAAAGAGACTATATATAGTTTGTTTACTTTATAAATAAAGGACCTTTTTAAGTCAAAAATTGTTATCTTTTTTATGAGGAATTTCGATTTAAGTGAAAAAAGAGTTAAAATTTTTGCGGAATAAATCAAAAATAATTAAGGGGAGGTTTATTTTTCTATTTAAGAATATTTTGAAAAATTTCTTACATTTTACGATCTTATACAAGAAAAAAATAAACACATTTTATTCATCTGTCCAGATAACATAAAAATTGATGTAAAATACTTTAAATTAATTATTATATAATTAATTTAAATTTTTTAATAAAGGAGCTGAGAAAATAGCTATCATAATACAGTTTAGATTTAGACGTTGTAATAAATAAAGTGGTTATTTCAGAATATCTTGTTGAAGTTCTCAAATAAAAAAAATATATTAATCCTGAACCCTATTGTAAATTAATTTTAATCAAATTTTATTTAATAAATTTTATTAAAATAAGACTTCTCTTATATAAATTAGCTTGCAGCCTAAAATAATTTATTCCATGTGTAAATTAATATTAGCTTTGCTGATAAATTAATTTTTTTTATACTGGCTTAAAATAGAGGATAGTAAGAGGAAATCAATAAAGAAAAATAATAAATTAAAAATATGAATATTTCACAATCTTAGTAGATTATAGATGAAAACAGTAAATAACTCTCTAATTCAAAAGTGAGCAGCGATGAAGATTCAATTTAGGAAAATAGTTTAGATTTAGAATGCCTTACTAACATTTCTCGTGATATTTTAAGACAGAGAAAAATGAAGTAAGATACAAGTAGATAAAAAGCTGCTAAAAAAACTCGATACCTTTGGGATTATAATTATGATAGTGAATAAGAGTAACAAATAAGTGAAGATGATTTAGAGAAATCATAAAATTCTGACAAATTTGTTTCTTTTGATTCTTCATTTGAACAAAAAAAGGCAGAATATGCTGATTAATCTATCACACCTATAAAGTTAGATAATTAACTATTTTTAAGTAAAGTAACAGAAAATGAAGAAATTAGTGGTTAAAAAATTAATTATTTAACTTCGTTTAAAAAACTGAAAAGAAGTCCTCAACTAGATAATAAAAACTCATAAGTATTTTTTATAAATTATTTATTTTTCAAATTAATAAAATGCTTTTAATATGAAAAGGATTAGTTTTTATTTAAAATCAGTAAAAGTACTATAAAAAAAGAATAAGATTTGATCTAATAAAATTAAACTTCGCCTTCTAAAACTGGATTTAAAAATAAGTAAATGTTGTTTTTTAATTTATTAGACTTCAACTTAATTTCTTTTGAAAAAAAATAGAAACTAACTTGATTATTTTGAAGTGGACTCTGATTAGGAGATTCAAATAAAAGATGAATAAAAATACTTGGATTATTTGGATGAAGATGATGAAGATTTTTCTAAAATAGATTAAAGATTTATCACGGAACTTCCTAATTTAAAAGTTGAAGCAAAATTTAAAAATGATCAATAGCTTAAAAGTTTGAAGAAAAAAGATAAAATCATAGAAATTATTTCACTTGATAGTGATGAAGATGAAAAAGAAACTAATTTGGGTTAGTAAATTAATGATTAAGAATAGCCAAAATTTGTTTCTTAGCCAAATATAGGTAATCCATTCAAACCATTTAGCGGATAAATAAGAAGAGAAAGGTATTGGGATGAAAGAAAAGATCATTTTATTTGTGCCACTGGAGCACCGAAAGAAAATTTTAACAAATTAATTACGGAAGTATTCAAATTTTGATTTAAAAAATGCTAAATTAAAATAATTAAATATTTTTATTATCTTAAATTTAGGAATTAGAAAAGCTTCTAAAAATCTACTAATAAGAGAAAGATATCGGGAGGTCAATTGCATATAGAAAAGCAGTGGGTATTATCAAATCATTAGATTTTCAAATAAAATCAGTTAAAGATGTGTAAAAAATAAATGGACTTGGTGAAAAAACAAAAGAAAAAATAAAAGAAATCTTAGAAACAGGTCAATGTCAAAGAGCTTAAATTTTAACTTAAAGTGAAAGAAATTAAGCTATTGAGTTACTTTCGTAAGTATGGGGTATAGGACCTTCAACAGCTTCTCAACTATATGAAAGGAATATAAAAACTATAGCTGAACTAAGATAAAATTAGCATCTCTTAAATAAAAATTAAAAAATTGGTTTGTAATATTTTGAAGATTTGGTAGAAAGAATGCCAAGAGAAGAAGCTACTTTAATAGTAAATGAAGTCATAAAAGGTTTTTTATTATTTGCATATTTATTTTTTCATTTGAAGACAATTTCAAATCATCAAATTTTTTTCAATCTTAAATAAAGTTTTTACAATATTTTTATTTATAACTTAAAGTTATTTACTTGATCTCTTAAAATTTACAATATATTTTAATTAGGATTTAAAGAGTTATATCCTGAAGAACACGATAGGTATGATATTATAGCCTGTGGTTCTTATAGAAGAGGTACTTACTTTGAAAATTTACAAATCAATATCTATTCACTTTAATAAATTGAAAAAATATTTTAGGTAAAGAAACGTGTGGTGATGTAGATATTTTAATTTGTAGAAAAGATGGGGAGGAAAATAAACCTAAAAAATTAATGATAAATTTGATTTGTAAATTAGAATAAGATGGGTTGTTGATTGAGCATTTGTAATTCCCAAGACCAAATTAGTATGGGAGTGAAACTTATATGGGAATTGGAAAATTAAAAGACGGAAAACATAGACGTATTGATCTAAAATATTATCCTAAGGACCTTTACGGTTATGCCCTTTTATATTTTACAGGGAGTGATTATTTTAACAGAAGTATGAGATTGTTTGCAAGGAAAAAAGGCTATTCTCTTTCTGATCATGGCCTTTATGCAGTTAATAGAATAGACAACAAAACAAAAATAACTTCCTCATTAGCTATTCCTTGTTATACTGAGGAGGAAGTCTTTGCAGCACTAAATTTAGAGTACAAACCACCTTATATGAGAAGTGTATGAGACTGTTTAATACATAAGCTGATGCATTTTCATAAAATAATAGGAAAAAATTTGTAAAAATATTGTATAAAATGATAAATAATTTTTAAAAAAATAAGGTTGATTATAAAAAAAGGAGTATATATATATTTTATTTGTTATCTATTCAGGAAATGTTTTTTTTAAATAAATATTAAATTAATTAGTAATTAGTTAGCTTTGAAGATAGCAACATAAAAAATGAATTATTTACAAATTTTAAGTTATAAGTTTATGTTTATAAAAATGTTAATAATATAAATCGGAATGATGTATATTTATTTATTTAGTTAAATTTATAAATAAATAATTTTTTTAAGTAAATAAAAGTAAAAGCTAACAAACAAACTAGCTAACTATTTTAACTTTCTTTCTATTTAATTAAGATATTTATTATGATTTGTTTGTTTGATTGTTTGTTTGCTTATTTTACATGCTTAAGAATATTTGGTGAATACTTTTTAGTATTTTTATTTTCATACTCTTTATTATTAAAAGTATTGCCTATTAATTTGAGTAATGCCATTCATTTATATTTATGAGAATAAAATTTTTTATTATTGAAAGTTGTTGATGAAAAGATTTTATTTATTTAGTTATTTAGTTATTTATTCCAATTTTATATTTTATTTAATTGAAAATTTAAAAGGCTTTATGGAATATATATTTCAATTATTTTGATTTACTATATCTTCAAATCTCATATTGCTGTTTTTATTATTGAGATTTGAATAAGAAAAATTGCTTTTTGATGATTAGTGGTTTGGTGTTGTTTAGTTGTTCGGAGATACTGAATCTAAATTAGAATTGCTGTAATAATTTTTTGATTAAAATTGAGAAAATATCTAAGTTCCACTATGGTTTTATGTATCAGTATTACTCTTTATAGATGAAAGTGGAGTATTTTATTAACTTATCATAGACTAATTTTATGATTGCTAAAACTAAATATTAGTCTAAGAGGATTACTTTTACTATTATTGGTTTAGATCTTATAAACTACTCTATACTTAATTCCTTGTAGATTATTCATCTTTGTATTTTATATTCTCTTCAGAAGGGAATTAGAAGAAATTATGGAATTGACTTTTACTGTTCCCTTTAGCCCTAATTGAATCATTTTAATAATTGTAATCAAAAGTAAACGTTTTTCCTCTCACTTGTTAGGGATCAGAAGGTTTATCATGATGAGAGTAATTTTATTAATTTTGAGATCCATATACATGAGTACCATTAGCATTAACAGTGAAATATGGAGATTATTGGTCATGATACTCATTTGCTAAATTTTATTGAATAGTGTGAATTCTAATATTACTTTCGAAAGTAATCATTTTAGGTCTATTTTATGCTAGGGTGCTTTATCTTCTGCGTTAAAATTTTCCTTCTCCTTCAGAGTCTACATTATCTGAATCTGCATTATTTTCTTCTATCATAGCCATTTTCGACTGTAAATTACTTGTAGACCAATTATTTCCGAAATCTGGAACTATTCCATTTTTAATACTTTCTCTTCTCTATCTCTACTCATCTGTTTCTTTAATATTTGTAAGAGATTAAGTCACTTTACTGCTTTCTAGTGCTGCCTATTCTAAAATCTGCAACTAATTCTGGAAGTTAGGAAGATCAGATAAAAGCGAGTCTCTTCTTTTTTCTTTTATTTTTGGCGTCATAGCTCGGTTGTCTTCAGATTTTATCATCAGACTTTCAGATTTTCCTCTCATAGGTGGAAGTGGTGATGGGTCGCTCTCTTCTATCTTTAACTTTAGGTCAAATTATTTTTTACTTCCTTAAGATTCTTGCATACTTTTCTCAGGTGATTAGAACCTAGCAGAGGGTTACTCTGTTCCAACACTTCTAAATGAGCTGTATTGATGATAAAGTTTATCACTTAAGCTCTCTTCATGTTAAAGTTTCCTTAAAGAATCTCTCTTTTTCTACTCTTTCTTTTCTATTTTTTCTAATTCCTTTAAGGATTGTTTTCTTTCATTTTAGCTAATAGTGCTGTTTGAAGCAGTATTCGTGTTAAAACTTCGAATTTCTGATTTTGGGATATATTAATTATTTGTTTCGTCATCTTTTTATTTAAGATTCTCTAAAGAATTCACATTTTTTATTTACTATTTTTCCTCAATTTCTTAAGATGTATCTTCCTCATCTGTTTAAAATTCTTTATGTTTGTGTTCTTCCTCCTCATCCTCCTCATCACTTGAATCGCTGCTTGATTAATCTTCTTGATTGATATCTTCTTAAGTTGAAACCTTGAAAATGAAAATTTGAGGAACTGATTGTTTTTTCTTTTGAGCCCGAGGAACTGAGCTGAGGGGCTCTGCTTAATTTACAGTATTTACTTTCTGTTAGACTTAGACAACTTACTTTGGAGATTCATCTTTAACTTAATTATTAATGTCACTAGTTTGAGAGTTTTGTCCATCTGACTTTAAATTAATGTCACTAATAGGTTAGTTATTATCGTTCATTTAGATGTTAGGATCATTTGATTAGACGCTAGTTTAAGAACTAATATTATTTTTCTTTGTAAAATTGATTTAACTGGTTGATTATATTCCACTTTTCTATAGATCTGTATCTTCATAATTATTATCTGGATTAGAATAGTCCAAGTCTGGAAAGTTATATCCTTCCTCATTCATGTTTTTATTTATTTGTGAGATGTTTTGGTTTCCAGAAAAATAAGAATAAATATTTGATTCGTTGCTTTGGTTTCTAAATATTTGTTTTCCACTTTTGAATTCATTCCAGTCATCGCTTTTGATACTTTCAAAATCATTTCCTAATATTTATAAAATTCAATTTTAACAAATAAATAATAAAATCTTCTTAAAAATTTACTTTTATGTTTTATCTAGCTAATGTCTTGAATATTATGGATTATGTTTTTCTTTTGAGTTTGTGAATAATCATCTTAAATAAAATTATTATCATTTTCTGAATCTATTCTAGTAAGGACATCTTCTTTATCAAACTATTACTTTATTTTATCATTTTCTTCGTCATCATCGCAATCATCATTTTAAGTGTAATAATCCTAATCTTATTTTAATATTTTGTTATTATTACTCACGTTATTTTATTTGTTAACTGTATTAATATAGCTATTATTATTATTAGATGTCCTATTGTTAGGTGATTGATTGCTAAGTTCCGTTTTATTATTGGCCCTTAGTTTGTTAAATTATGAATCTTTTAATATGACTGAAACATTTTAGTCTTCTTATTCATTATTTTCATCTTCGATTTTACTTTCTGTTTATTTTACTTCCATGTTTTAGTCATTTTATTAGAATTATTCTTTTTTTGGATCATTTATTTAGGACTAATCTTATGAATTCGAGGAATCTGATTCTTTAGAGGAATTTGATGATTCTGACTCTTAACTCTCCAACTCCTATTGCTATAATTTTTAAAGAGTTTACATATAAAATTAAGAATATCTCCTTTAACCATTATTATCTTATTTTGGAGCTAATGTAGAAGGAAGACATGCTATACTAGCTCTTGATTAATATTTGTTCCTGAAATGATTCTTGTTTGTTGATTTCCTTTTATCTTAATCTAACTTAATATTTAAGTCTGTTAAACTTCTTGCCGAGTTTTTATCATATCCTACTAAGCTATTATTAGTTGAAATCATAGGATTTTAAATATTAAGTTTTTCAAAACCATGCGAATCTAATTAAAATGTCTATCTGCTGAAATTGACAGGCGTGTATCCCAATTAACTCTCTACCTTTTAAATAGTAACGTTGTTGCTTTATTAAGTATCCAAATTTATCTAATCTAATTTATTCTAAAGAGATTAATCTTAAGATTTTAGTGGAGAGTTTATAGTTTGTAAATATGAATTCTAAGAGTAGTCGACTTATGAGTTTTGTTATTTAGAATTCTAAGATTAAACTAAATTTTTTTATGATGGAGAATTAATACTATTTTAAGCCTCTTAAGGCAGTGATTGCTAAGACTATAACTAAGACTATTATGACTATATCTGTGATTATTTTGATTGTTCTTTTTAAACAGATAATTTAATTTCATTAGAAGTAGTTGTTTAGAGCTATTCTAAATTTGTTTTTGGAATTTCTGAAACCTCTGCTTATTGTTGTTATTAACTTATTTAATTCTAAAAAATCATTTATTATAGCTAATACTAGTTAAGCAATATTTGCTGCTATTACTACTACTAAAACAATAAATTATTTTAATAAAATTATTCTTCTGGGGTATATTAATTATATTATGGTGTGTTCTATTAAGTTTGGTAATATTACTACTATTGAGAAAGCTGTGGAAGAACCATTTATTAAAAGTAATTATCATTCATTTAATTATTGAAAATATATTATTGTTAGATTTAATTTAAATTATTTTCTTCAATTCCAAAGTTAAAATTTGTTAAAACTGGATTGTTAAAATTATTTTATTATAAGTTTTAGCTCAACTACTAATTAGAATATGGGTTTAAATTTCTATCATCAAAGGGTTACTGCAACTAAAAATTATCTTAGCTTATGAATTACCCATTTTCGTTAAAGTATTATGGATACTAGAGCTAGTTAAGTTGGTTAATATAATCTAAGTTATCAACCAAGTTTTGATTAGAGTATAAATATTATAGTTGCTAAATATTAGGGTTCTAAAAATTAGATTACTAAAATATATTTTATTATTGTTGTAGATTTTATTAAATTAGGTCTTAGTCCTAGTTTTACTTATTTAGGGTTATTATAGCTTAAATTTGCTGAAGTTGCTATTCTGGAGTTTAAACTGTGTTTGTTTCTTGTTGATATTCTTTATTTTAAGCTCTATTATTTGATTGCTTTGGTTATGTGATTGGCTACAATGTAGTTGCAGAAATTGTATTGTTTTTCTAATTCTATATTTTAATAAAAAATATTTAAAAAATTACTTTTGAAAAGAAATAAAATACTTCTTATAATATTGGAGTAATGTCTTTGAGGTAGTTAGTAAATGTTGGATCAGCATCATAGGCAGAAACAAAAGGAGAACCTAAATTATTAATAGGAGAGCAATCTTAAAAATGCTTTATGATAGGATTTATTGTCATAGCTGAACTCACTTTAGGCTGTATTTCCTTCTTTTCAGAATGTAATTTGGATAAACTTGATTAGCTTTTTACTTTTGGTCTTGTCTTGTTGTATTTAGTTGATACGATTGGCGTTATACTAGAATTCGAAATATCAGTCAATTGCTACTCCTATATATTTTATTTGGATTTTGACTAGACAATTTTATTACCATTTTTTTTATGATTTAGTATTGGTTTTAATTCTTCTAATTCATCAATCTATTCTAGTGCCAGCTGATTATGAGATTAAGACGGCAGCTAAAAGTTACTATGACTACCTATTCCTAAGTTACTAGAAGAGCTCTTTGGGCTATTTGAAGTAAGGCTATTTGAAGAAAGAGGAATATTGGGAGCTTATTGGCTAATCTAAATTTTTTGTTATTAAGCCAAAGGCAAAGGCTACACTGTCGAATCATTTTATTTTTCTTACTTGCTTTCTACAAATTAAATTTTTTAATTTGCTTGTTTTTCTATTTCTTCTGAGCTTTTTTAATTTCCTTACTAAGCAGAAACAAAATTTACAAGAGACTAATCATCAGCAAAATTTACGATTGAAAATATTCCTACATTTTAAAGACTAATTTTTAGGCGATTTGGAGTTGATGGATTTGAATCTACTAGTAGAAAATTCATGAGAGGTGAGATGATTAAAAAGTTACTAATTTAATTTGATAATTGAGTGAGAATATCTAAATAGTGTTTCATAGATTATTGCTTTTCATTTTTTCCCTCGACTTTATTTTAATTTTATTAATCATTTACTTTATTTAATTAAAATTAGTTATTTTTTTCAGCTCTTTTCTGGTCTTACATTTAATTATTTTGTTAAAATTAACTTGATTAATTCCATTAAATTTATTAATAAACTTCAGAAACATCGAATGAGTGAAGTAAGATGATTTAGTCTTTCGTTTTTTGTTAAACCCAGCTAAAGCTAGATATCAAATGAGTCTGGTTTAACAGAGTGAAAGTTAAATTTCCTATTTAAGATTGCCTTTAAGTAGGCTTATTTGAATCTTCAACACTAAAGAAATGTAGGCTTTTATTTTATACTTAATAAATAATTTGTTTTAAATTATTGATATTTATTTCTTAATTTTAATTTTATGTGAACTACTAACTACTTGTGGATTCTTGTTGTATTTTTTCTTTCCCATTTTTCAAATTATCAAAGTTTACATGTTAGTTGTTATCTTAAATATCATTTTTTTATTTATTTTATTTATGTTAACTATTTTTACTCATTAAGATAATCTATATGAATTTTTTATCTTTTTCTTAAAGTTTATTTTATTTTTTAAGAGTTTTAATTAATTTTTTTAAGTTTTCTTCATTCAAACTCTTATTACTCAATTAACTTTTTTCTAAATCAAAAACATCATCATTGCTTTCAGTATCTCTTTTTGATTCCTTATTTAGCTACTTCTGTTAGTTTGCTTATTCATCATGTTCTTTTTTGTTATTTTCATAGAAATTTTTAAGTATTTCCGTCGAATCTTTTTTCTTATCTAAAATATGGTTGTACCTATTTATAAAATGTTCTTTGGATGAATAATTGTTACCATCTTATTTTTATTTTAGCCTATCATCTTTTAATTAGAATATATTATTTATGTTTCCATTATCAACTAATTAATGCCCATTTTTGACAGTGTTATTTTAATTGTATTCTAAAATCATTTATTCTCTTAAAGTGTTAGCTGATTCTTTTAATTTTTCCTACAAGGTAATCTACTTATACATACATTTTTAGCTTTAAGTTTTATTGATATTAGAACCTTCTGTTTTGTTTGAACCAAAATTTTATTTAGGTTTATAATTTTCATGTTCAATTAATTTATTTTATTGATTTTCTTATTATTAATTTTTTTCTGGTTATTATATGTTATTCCTAAGCTATTTTTCTTTGGACGAGATATCGTTATTATCATTTTATTAATTCAAAGCTTTTTTATTTGACTAAATTTGCTATTAAAGATTATCTTAATTTCTAGATGATACATTGTTTTAAGTAAAAAATAATTGCTCATTAAGTTCAGATTAACTATTAGATTTGCCTTAATCGCTGTCTTAATTCATTTGATTAGCAAAAATCTCTAAATTCGAAGTTTCAGATTTATTCTTATGGTGAAATTTTTTATTATATTAATTTTTTTCTTTAGGAGTAGTTTCAAATTGCATTTTTAGATTATCTATCTGATTAAATTAAAATCTTTATTTATTAGAGCTTAGCTATTTTATTTTTTCAATTAATTTATTTTATTAGTTATTAACATTTTAATTCATAATTAAATTAGCCTTTTAAGCTTGCAGATTAGTTATTGGTTATGTTTTAGAGCTAAAATTTTTAGCTTGTTGTGTTAACATCATATTTTTTGGAGAATTCAGTAATGAATTACCAAAAGATTAAAATCCATAATTTCCTGAAGAAGTTGAATTTGCTTACTACGTAAACCCATTTCCTCCAAAGGTATTATTTGTGCTATATGAAGGTTAGAAGAGATAAGGCCCTTGTATTATTTAATTGTGATTTGATTGAGAGTTTATACGAGAGTGAGATGTTTTAGGTGTAATTGGATTAAAGAAATTACTGCTTTAATTATTATTCTAGATACCTAAGTTAACTCTACTTTTACTTGCAGAAACTATATTTCTTTTTGATTTATTGGTAAAATTTATCACATTTCTGTTAGTAGGCGTTTAATTTTCTATTTTATAAAATTACCATAAATATATTAAATATTTTTAGTGATCAATTTAATAAAATATTTATTAAAACATAAAAAAATTAATGTCAAAAATAATTTAAAAATAATTTTTTATTTACAAATGAAGTTTTGTTCAAGTGGATAATTTTGTGTTTGTTAAAAGCTATTTTGGTTCTAAATGTGAGAAAGTTAGTTTGAGTTATAAGCTACTGTGTTTTAGTTTATATGAAGAGATCTGTGCCTTGTTGGAAACTAGCGATTTTTTCTTGAAGGTGTCTGTTACTATTTTAATGTATTAAATTTACTATTTTAGTTAGCGATATTATAAGAGATTGAATATTAATTTAAATTTGATACTGAGCCTCTTTCTGATTCTTTAGTAATAGTTTGAGGTGCGTTTCCTAGCGTTTATATATGCTACGCTGCTTCTAACTTTAGCTTCCTTTTTTAACTTTGTGGTCTTTCCTTAAATGTAAAACTCTTTACAGAATTTGCAAATTTTTAAGGACTATGTTTTAGCTCATTAATGTTATCCTCTACTAGTCTCTTAGCATGCCTAGATTAAAAAAGCTTATATTCCTCATAGAATTGAAGAGTTATACAATTATCTTCACCAAAATACTTTTTTGTTGATGTGTAGCTATATTCATAGTGGCGATGAGCTTCATCCCATCTCTGAAAATATTCTAACTCTGCAGCAATATTATAGTAACTTATACCTAAAGTATTTACTTACTGCAAAAATTCATCTTCTCTCTCTTCATCATAAAAATATAAATCTGAATAGCTTATTTCTTATGTAGAATCAAAATTCTTTTCCATAGTCCTTGAAAAGTCCTCTTTAGAGTTCAGCTTTTGGGCTGATATTTAATTTAAAATTTATTTGTTTCTATTTTTAGGAGTACTTCCATCTGAAGATTCTTATTTTTGATTTTCTTTTACTTAATTTGCTAAATTGGTGAGCGAACTTTTAGGAGAAAGTGCTAAACTTTGTAGATTTTCCCCATTATAAAATCCTAAACTATTTTATTTTTATAGGTATGTAGTATAATTTTTTTCATAGAAAAGCCTTTGTTGCTCGATTAGAGCATTGTTTGCATTTTCTAAAGACATATTATGATTTCCTAAGGAGCTATACAAAATTGATAAATTTAAGTACGTTAAACCTAAATATTCTTTGCGCTTTGCGTTTGATAATATATTAAGTGCTTCATTGAAAATTTCTAAAGCAGCTTAAAATTAACCTTTCCTTCTAAATACAGTTCCTTAATTATTCATAGTTAAACTTTTCAAACATATCAGTGTTTCACTTAATACACTTGAAAAGTTTAGCCCAAAATTTTAATTTGACAATTTCTGTTTGCTCATTTCAAAATTCGATGAAAATCCATTTGATTTTGGTGTTTAAGTTGATGGAATCGACAACTAAGAATTTCTAAGATTTGATTAAATCCATAAGTTTCCAAAATTATCTAAGAGATCGCTACAAAAATTCAAAATTTTACTTGCTTAGTTAATATTTCCAGCTTTTTCAATCTATTGCATAGCATTTATATTTAATTTTTTTATTGTGTAGGTAATGCTACTGAGTTAATTTGATTGGTTTGCTTCTGTCATAGCTTCTTAAATTAATTTTTCGAAATGATCCCATTGCTTTTATTACATTTAAATTCCTTTGTTGAAATAATAGTTAATACTTTCAATAGCCTTCAAAATGCGCTAGTCTATTTTTTCATAATTCCTGTTATTGTTTGTAAGCTTTTTTTAAGATGGATTTTAGCTAATCTATTTTAAACTCTTTTTTTGAAGCTGTGTTTGATGGTAAGAAGAAGAAAATGTTTCATGCTAATTTCTGCTTTATTTTTGCTATTATTCAAATTGTTAAATTTAAAATTGTTCAGCAGAATTCTTATTTTAAACGTTTTAAATCACCATACTAGTATTACTTTCAATATCATCCTTAAGTTAATTATCGCTGATGCTTTTTTATGCTGAAGTTTGAATTAAAGAAATCGGTGATAAAGGTCTTATTTTCATTTAGCCTCTATCAACAATTCTTTCCTATAAATAGTTTTGTATAAAATAAAAATTGTTTTGAAGTTAAGTTATTGCCAAAAATGTTTTAGGATTGATTGAATGTTTGACTATATTTTATATCGTAAAGTAATTCTTTTAATAACTTACTAGCAATCAAAATCCTAATATATTAAGTATCAAATAATCTAATTAAAAAAAATCATAAAAACAAATAGTTTAAAATCATCTATTTTATCATTAATGATTAAAATTTCATTTTTCAAAATGATGATGCTTTAATTCTTATCAATTATAAATTGAGAATTAATTCATCAGCATTATGGTTAATTAAAATTTGTTTATAATTTATGTAATTGCTTTGCTAAATAATTTAATACTTTTTTTAATAGGTTATTTGACTATCAAATTAATAGTAGTTGCTTGGTATTTTGTAAAAATTTTATGTATTTCATACTAATAGTCGATGCAAAATCAATTAAAATTAATAAATTATCATATTATTTTTCGTTTAGAGTCGATCCTTAAAATATCATTTAAGTTATACCAAGCATTTTTTAGAAAGTAGAAATAAATTATTTTAATTGATATTTTTAACTTTCCATAATATTATCATGCATGCTTCTTATTTAAAAAAAAAAATTTTTTTAATCAATGAAAAACCATAAAAAAACAATAGATTAATAGAATAAAATAGTGTTAAAAATGCTATTTTATCTAATTAAAACAATAGCAACATTTTTATACAGTAAGTAAATATATTTATTAATATTAACACAGTATCTTAACTTTTATGATTAAATTATGGTAAAAAAATTATGATATTATGGTGAATGATATTTTAAAAGTAGTTAATATCAATAATCTTTTGATATTTATCATCACTTTAAAGCTTTATTAAAAATATTTAGGGGTAAAGGCAACTAATTGCAGAGGGTTGGTTATATTTATTAGTCTAGTTAATTAAATAAATAAATATAACTTATATAGATCAAATAATTATTCAATTTATTAATTTATAATAATTTTTCTCTATATTTCAATAAAACTCCAACCAAACATACATATTTCGTCTTATTTAATCTTAACCGAAAAGCAAATATCATATCAATTAAATCTATTTCATTTCTAAAGTAGAGTATTAATTTTATCCTGAAAATCAGCTAAGAATTGAATCAAATAATAAATTTTAAATATGTAAAACTACTTAAAAAGGAAAGATAAAAAATAATAATGTAAAATGCTTATTTAAATTTGCAAAAAAATACTTCAGATTTAATTTAAGTTACTTTTGCAGAATATGTTTCTCATCATACATAATAAGTGAAAAATGTAAAAATTATTTAAGCAACATAATACTAAACATAAGATATCTTTATCAATAAAAACTATCAAAACACTCGAACCTAGATAAAATAATCTTTTAATACACAAATTTTTTAATTGAAAAATATAGATTATATTTATTGCCTTAAAATTTTAGAATTATTATTAAATTCCTTCAGATTAACTTACAAAAAATAACTAACTTTTATATTTTTATAATATGTTTTAATAAAATTTAGTGAGCTTTACTAATTATTAGCGCGCCAGATTAAAGGATATTTAAAAAATGAATTATACATAGAGATAGAGAGATAAAATATGATAAATATTACTATCTAAAAATTTTGCACCATTATATGAGTTAATAAAAATTATTAGTTGTTTTTTGTAACAAAATATTAAAAATTTTATGGCTATAAACTTAAGGAATACATAACTATAATAAAATGCTTAAATAAGCATTTAGTAGGTATACATTTATAGAATAACTAATATTAATTTATATAAGATAAAAGATTAACATAATATTTTTTCCAGTACATTTTTAAACGCTTTTTTTTGCTAGACTTAATTTAATCTTGCAAGGTTACTAATAGAAAAAGCTTCTTGGTTGTTCGAGCATCTGTCTATCTATCTTTAAATTAAATCTAAGGAATGCGAATTAAGAGTTACTGAATTTAATAATGTGTAAAAATTCACACACTAAATAATTAAGTAATTATATTAAATTTAGTCACTCGTTTAGGCATATCTAAGAATTAATTTTAAATAAGACTAGAAATTAGAGTGTTAGGTAGAGTTAATATTTACAATTTCTGATTAGCTAATTTTTTATTCATTTTGAGGAGGATAAAATATTTGAGCAAAATTAATCAAAGGATTAACATTTATCAAAATATTTAATATTTTATTTTGAGAGTAAAAAAATATGGCAATGTATTCTCCCAATCATTCAATCAATTATAAATGAATTGGTGTTTGTTTGCTTTGTAAGATTTATTTTGGAGTAATCTGAATTTATTATTATTTATTATTGATATTTTAATAATGATTATATGAGATAATTATATAGAAAGGTAATTAAATTTATGAATGAATGTATGTATGTAGGTTTAATTGGTAATCAATTAAAGCTTATTCAACTGAATGTTTTTTTAGGGATGTAATTGATTGCATCTAGACGATTAAAAGAAGGAGTCAAATTTGAGCGTCTTCTGATCTGCTAATTTATAGAAGTAGTTTTGCTTTTACTAAATTAACTTATCTTTACTGACTGTACTTTGTCATTAACAATAATGTCTTTGTTTTATCTGTCAGTATAGAAAGACTCTTCTTCACCATTTAAATTATGAAGAATATCAAGGATACTGTGCTGGCTTAATTAATTTTAGTGAAGGTTTTACTTAGCTTAACTGTCTACGATAAGCGAGTTTTATTTTTCGTAAGAAAATTCAGCTGAAAATTCACTTGGTATTGCCTTTGAGGCATGATTTACAAATCCTCCTCGAGTATTTGAAGAATTGATAGGGGTGAAAACTTTTTTATTTGGAGAAGTGCGCATCCAAGAAGCACGTTAAGATAGAGCCTAAGACTATCTCATCATATTTAACTATTCATACTCTTTAAGTCTTTATTAGGCTTTTCTTAATTCTTCTTGCATTGTCAAGTTCTCAGTAATTATCATTTTAGTTTTTGACTTTTCTTTTAGGAGCTACTCTTTAAGCTCGTTGTTTTCTTATACTTGTTATTATAATTTGAGTTAAAGTAATTGTATATTAGAAGATGATTCGTCATTACTTACTTCAGTAGAATTCTAGGATATTTTTCTCTCTTGCTATTAGCAGTTACGTTGGTTTTGATTATTAACATTTGAAAGGCTTCCCAAATTATGAGGTAAATTCACTTAAGCTGCAGAGTTATTATTAGTGCTAACTTGCTATATAGTACTGCTTTAGGGGGTTATCTAAAGTTAGGAATTACTGTTCTTTTGGGTTGGAGAAGACCCTATAGAGAATGGAGAATTAATAAAATTAGCAATTGAATTAGCTTAATTGCGGCAATTAAGCTAGGTGCAGGATCCTATATTAGGCTAATTAGCAGCAGTTAAAACAATGCTAGAAGAAGGAGATATATGACCTTGAGTATTTGAAGAAGATGCAGAATTTGTAGAATTAGTGGAACAATAATTGCTGCTGAGGTGATCAGATTTGCGCTCAGCTTGCTTCTCTGGTGTTAAATCAATCTTAACAAGAGGAGCAGGAACCTACTTTTAGCAGGGATTTTAGTTTTATGCAATACTATTTTATTATCTAAGATCTAGCTTTACTATACTCATTGCTGAAACCTGTCAAGTATGGAATGAATTATTAAATATTAGGTTTTTTAAAATTTATGTGAGCCTATTTGCTTAATTTTTTTACAATAAATTAATAATGATTTTTTATAGTTTCTTTAAAAAATTTTTGATTTGCTATTACTTTTATTTTTTTTTAATTATTATATTAGATCACACCTTAACTCAAGCACTCTTATGCATTTACTTATTAATTTTTGTTAAATCTGGTGATGATTAGCAAGCATTACACATACATTTTAAAGACTTATACAATTAATATTAATTAATACATAATAAATTCCTTCTTTTCTTTATTTGTTCCTCTCATTCTTTGATTCTATTTTTTTGTTTATATTATAGTTTAACGCAAATAATTATATCCCTTCCACAAACAAGATTTCCTTTTTTCACACCTTCAAGTTAAAAAAAATATATTCACGAGAGTAACAATTTTTCATTTCGAAATAGAATATACTTTTTAAATATCAAGGCAAAAGAGTAATTATCAAATTTTTACCTATTCTATTTTTTATCTATTTACATTTATATAAATTAATGAATGCTGCACACTTAAAAATAATAATTATCATTTTTTAATTTAAAATGTTGAAGATCTATTCCTAGGAAGATAGCCATTTTCCCAGTCAGGAGTACCCAACTATATTATTTTTCATAAAATTTACAAAAAAATCTGATTATACTAAAGTACTTTTTGTGTACTTATTAAATATTAATAATTATTAGACTATCAATTACAGGTAAAAATAAACTTAATTTAATTTTTATTGTGTTAGATATAAAATCAAAAGCCAAATTCATATATCCTTCACAAAGTGAATTTTCTATGATATTAAAATGTAAACTCTCTACTTTTTAAAATCATAATATATTTTAGAATCTCTTGAAACCAAGCTTCAAATTATTTATATTCTTTGTTATTGGTTATCTGATTATTTCTTTTGTTTTTACATGAAGACTATTAAACCTTTTCAAGAATTGTAATCAAATAAAGCTTGAAAATAATGACCACTCATAAATTATTTATAAAAACCACAAATTTTTTCTATGTTTGCTGAATACTTATAAATTAACACTGACCAAGTTATGTGGTTGGTTAAAATTTATATTTATATACGTGATTGATTAAAATTAGTTCAAATTAATGAATTAAGGCAGATAAAAAGTAATAAATTTCTAACCAATAATTATTTAAATGTAATATGCATACAGCATATTGCTTAAAATTTCTAAATTTAAAATTTTTTATTAAACATGAATTAAAATAGATACATTTTAAACAATCTAGGAGCACACTTTATAATTTTTGCATAATTTAAATCAAAATAATTATAAATTTAGCATATTAATAATAGAATGAAATAGCAAGCTATAAAGATGTAGCTAAATTATTTGTAATATAAATCTAAAAAATATTAATAGTAGTACTATTTTTTTTTAAATACAAATTTTGTACTTTTTTTTATTAGTTTAATACAGAAACACTAACTAGTAGTTAATGCAAACAATATTTTTTTAATGAAATATTTTTTTTCTTAGTATTTTTGAGTATATCGATGTATCTTCCTCTTTTTTTTTCAACTTATTCTTTTGTTATGCAAAAAAAATTTTTATTTAAAACTCCTTTATTAAAATAAATTCAAAAATAGCCTTAAATTTTGACGTATTAAGCAAATTTTTCAATTTCATATTTGAGTATTTTTATAATTAATAAATGGAAGAAACTTAAGACTAACCTGTTGATGTAAGAGCATTAGCAAAAAAGAAATACGAGTTATATTTATAATAAAAAAAAGCTCATGAAGAATTGGAAAGGTTAGGCTTAACAAATGAGTAAATAGAAGCTAGGATTAATTCTTCCTCACAACAGCAAACACAATCAAAGAAATAAGAAGGAGAATTTTAGAAATTTTAATAATAGTAGAGTTTGGCATCAAATAAATAGAGTAATGATTATGATAGATAGTAATAGAGAAACTAAATACTCACAGAGCTAACGATGAAAATAACTGAAAAATTTCAAAAGGAGCTAGCTCAAGACTCAAAAAATAAATCTAAATAGAAAGAAGGAATGTAATTAGAGTAAAAAATTTCAAAAGAAATAGAAAACTGTACTTGCCCAATATGCTATGAATTGATGGTTCCACCAAACAACTCTCCTATTCTTATATTTCCTTGTGGACATACTTTTTGTAAAACTTGCATTATTCCAAAAGATAAAACCAAACTTAATAAATGCCCTTTTTGTAGAAAACCTCTCTAATCTTATGCTGTAAATATACATCTTTAGAATATTATATGTGCATATACAGATAATAAGCATTTGTTAGAAAAATACAAAGACGAAATAGAAGATATTAATAACTCCTGCTTAGATAATTCCTAATAAAAAAAGGGTAAGTAAATGGCTGCTAATATGGACAACATAAATGTAGAAGGATAAACGTTTGAATAGAATTACAAATTATTTTCTCTAAGATGTTCAATATTAGAATAAGAAAAGGATGAAATACTTGAATAGATAAATAAATAATAATCAACTATATAAACTCATTCAGCAGTAATTGAATCTCTATAAAAACAAAAATCTACAGTGCAATAAAAATTATAAAAGCTCCAATAAGAATTATTGTTAGTTGAAAATTTTATCGACTAAAACTCTAAGGCTCTTGATGAGGCTGAACAAAATTTATCAAAAGAAACAGAAAAACTAGAACTTCTAAACTAAACATTAATTCCTTTGCAATCAGAAAGATAAAAGTACATGATACTTTCCTAAAACTAAAAAAAATGAATAGGTATACTTAGACTTAATTAATTAATTAATTATCTATCTATTACTTGCCTAAAAAGATATGAAAATTTTATGATTTTTCTTAAAATGTATAGATTGGATTACCAATCACTTTAATTTGAATTTTCTAGTAGTAATATAAAAAAGGAAAGTGATAAGAATATTTCTTAAATAATTGCATTATTATAGTAATAAAAATTGCGTATATCTACAAGTGTAAATTAAAGAGACCAAAAAATTTAATAACACTTCATTCTTTATTTAATATTTAAATAAAATACTTGAAAATATTTAAAGAACAAAGTATTTGTTTATCTTACATTACCTTACAATAAGTTTATATTCATAAAACATTTTATGCTTAAATTTATATGATTTTTATAATTTTATAATAGTCTCACATCTATTTTCAAAGTATTATTACTTATAAAAGTATTTTTCTTTTACAAAGATACCTTATCTAAACGATTAAAAATACTCATACTTTTTATAATCATATAATATTATCCACAAGAAAATATAAATAAACTAATTAGAGCCTAAAAAGAAATGTGATATTAATTATCTATTAGTTAGTTTTATATCAAACAAATTTTAAAACCATTGTTACTTCTCTTTGCAGTGTTAATAAAACAATCCATTATTTAGCAAAAAAAATTACTTAAAACTTAAAAATATTCAATTTTTTCTATGTTATTATATAGAATAAAATAAAATTTATCTTAAGTTGTGCTTCGAAAGCAAACATAGAAATTAGTTTTGATTAATAATTTTTATTAATGCTAAGTACTACTGGAAACATGAATTGTTTATTAATTAATTTATACAAAATCAAAACTAATTTATATCCATAACTCATTCATATTACAAAACAATTTATTTATGGTCATATACGAATTTATTAGGTTGTTCTTTTGCAAGCAGTTTATAATACTTCAAAATTTAGAATCAGGGACTTCACCTAAAAATAAGTTTTTGTCACCTGCTCTTAAAGTTCTATGAGCAAGCTTGAATGGAAGTTTGTATTCGGAGTCTCCTCTGAGTAAATTATAAAGAATCGATGAAGGATCTGCATATGAACCTTTTTCGAGTAATTGTGGTCTGTTTTGATCTACGAAATTGTGATCCATATCTGCTAACTTGAAGTACTTAACCCAAGGCTTATCTTACTGTGTTTTACCCATAAACTCATCTATCTTCTTTTATTCTTCTTCTTACTTACGCTTCTTTTCTTTTTACTCCCGTTCAAGTGCTTCCTTTGGTCTGCTATCGTGCTAAGACATTCCATAAGGATTTGGCAGTGAGTCACACTTAAATCTGGTCTATTTTATTGAAAAAATTATAATTTTATTAATTCTAGAAATTAAAACAATCTACTATATAAGGCTCTTTCTTTTCTGGAGTATGAGACTCACGAAATTAAACCTAGCTAACAGGATTATAAACATCTTTTATTGGCTCTTTTTAAGAAAGTTTCTATTTCAGTGACTAACAATTCTCAACTTTAAAAGTAGTGATAAATATTTGTTTTTCATCAAGATTTTTTTCTAGTGGAGTTACCACCTTATTGATTTGATATTTTCTACTATAAAATTGCGAATCAAAAACATTGTATGGATAACTTCCTTTCTTTTGATTTGAAGAGGCTCCTAAATGAGGCAGACTGGTTTTATCTAAAGATTAATGATAAAATTAAGTTTTATACTGGAAATCTCAAAAATTATTTTACGATATTAGTTAGAAGTTTGATGAGGATTTCTCGAAGGAGCTCTAAGTGTAGATAACCTTATAGATTAAGTTTTCATTAAGCTCTCAGCATCATACTCTTCCATATCATCTATCTCTTTCAATTAAGAGATGCTATCTTAGTCATAATTAGGAATAAATCCACCCATATTTGAACTTAAAGCCTTACTAAATCTTATGCTCTGCTTACCCTTTTTATCATTCTAAAAGAATTCTTATCCTTAAGTCTAAACTTAAGATTAAGTAATAGCATTTTAGCCAGCTTAGTTTTGGTTATCTTTTTATAAAAAAATAAGTTTTTTTCTTTAAAAAGTAACATTTTATTTTAAATTATATTTCTTACTAATCTAAAAATTAAAGTTTTCAGGTACAAAAGAGTAAATAGGATTTTTAGCCTAGGTTTTGTATTAATGAGGGTTTTTTGAAAGTCTTTCTGCTTCGTTGAAGTAATTTTTAGTCTCAAAAGTGACTGTTTGCAACTCTCCATTCTCTGGGTGCTTGAATTTTAAGTTTACTACTTTCTCAAATGGTTCAGGTTCTTTTAGATGACTCATTTACTCTCTATAATCTTAAACTACTTCCTATATGTTCTCAGTATTATTTACTACAATGCCAGCTTCAGCTCTAAAAGGTTTAAGATATTATTTTTTAGGGATATTCTTAATGTCAATCTGTTTTTTTTATTCAAAGCATGCAGATAAGTATAAAAATTAAAATGAATAAATTGATTTATTTTTACACAAGATTTTGTCTTTGACAATTATGATTTATTTTTAAGGATTGTAATTTAATGCTAATCTTTAATTGGCTAAATAGTCAAACTGGGTAGGTCATGTTACTTAGGTAGCCTCTCACCTGCTGCTTGCAACAATTGGACCCAGTACTTCCTATAAGGCCTTGGGTTTTCGATCCACTCATGGTTTGGCCCAAGCTTATAATGCATTTAAACTATAATTAAAAAAAATTCATTTTATTAAAAAATTTTAATTCCAAACAAAAATAGTTCAATTTTTCTTGAAAATAATTTTTTATTTAATCTTTTTTAGTTAAAATAATTGAACTGGAGGTTTTAAATTGCAAAATTCTCAAAAATATGAATTAAATTTTATAGTTTCTACCTGCAGCCCATATTTCATCGACTGTTAGAGGTTAGCTTTTTTATTCTTAAAATGTTGTCCTTCTTAATTTTACTACATCTTCAAACATTTCTTAGTATATCTTTTTATAAATAAATATTTAAATAAAAACCAAATGTAAAGTAGTTAGTAAGATTAATTACATTATCTTTATAGTAAATAAACTTTTTGTGAGAAAATTATTTTATGTCTTCAAGAGTAACCCTTCGATCTGCGTTAGAATCCATTAAATCAACTAGAGTCAAGATACTTGTTTTTGGTATTTAAGTTGATCTCTTAATTAATTATTTATATTTCTATGGGTAGAGAGATTGATTAAAGCGATCAGTACGTTAAGTATTAGTTAAAGGTTAGTTTTGAGAATTCATTTACATTGCTGTTTATGATAGCATCCCATTTTTAAAATTCGTGTTTTTCATTAGCGGAGTATTTAAGTCTTGATTTGTATTTATATTGTCATCATATATCAATAAAATAAAAACATCATATAAAGAATTAGGATCTGAAGCAAATGCAGCAGCGTTACTTTTTTCTTTATATTCATTATTAACTTCTGAGATACCACCAGAAGACTACTCTTTTTTGTCACTTATAATAACAAATAATTTATTATACAAGTTATCTATTAATCCTAAGTGCTATGGAGAATGACTAAAATCTAAGGTTAAGGAATCGCTTTATCTAGATTAGGAATTAAGAATTATAAATTCTTCAATCAAGAGTAGAATAATTAACTCATCATAATTTTTTAAAGATACATCTTTTAGATAATAACTATAATATGCTTAAGCTTGGAGCTTTTAACGGATCCTTTCACTATTTTAATCAAATAAAATCTTGTTTTGCAATACTTGCTGCTTGTACATATTAACAAACTCTTGATTTTAAGTTGGGTTAAATGTGAAATCAGACAAGATTTAATTGACAATATCAATTTCATGAATATAATTTCTTAATTTTTTAACTATTTCTTCATTTTAAAATTTTATTTCTCTGTTTAATTCAGGTAGGTAGATGCTTGTTTGATATGAAACTGCTCCCCCTTCTTCGCCTCCAATTAAAGTCAGCAATTTTTAAATAATTTTTTGATTTTTAAATCTAAACCTATTTAATTAATGAGCAAGCTCCTTTTCTCTACTATACTAAGAATGATTCTCTTCTAATATATATTATCCCTCTTCATTCTTATCCATTATCCCCTCAGTTAAACTTTAATCTAAACTTGATTATATTGGCCCATTTCTTGTGCCTGGTGCAATGCCTTATTGACTTTGCATAACCTTAATTCAATTTAGTCAGTAATTCAGTTTTTTAATATAAATTTATTATATCTTATACCTTTGTTATTAATACTAATTGCTACAACACTATACTTTTTATTAATGTATAATTCAAACATATACATAAAAAATTTTTTAATAGATTCCTTTAGTTAATATGAAACTTTTTTAATTGCTTATAAGCATTCTTATAATATAAATTTAAAATAAATACTACATAAAGCAAAGTTGTCTTAAAATATTAAAATTTAATAAAAATAAAATTATTTTTTAGTTCTAAAAAATTCTATTGTTTAATGTTAAATATTTAGCTGATTTTTATCTAATATTCATTTTTATTCTTATTTTTAAAATTTTTGCTTTTTTACTTTTAAAATTAGCAATAATTTATAAATAAAAATGAATTAATCTTTTGTTAATTTTTTTTATAATCACTCAATAAAATCATAGCATTAAATTTTATATGTATAATTAATAAAATAAATACTTTTAACCATTAAATAATTTAATCTTAAATATTTTTCTAAACTATTGTATTTTTTTATTTATTATAATTTAAAAATAGAATTTTATATTAAGTTTATTTTGTTGATTTTTTTAATAACTTTTTTAAATTAAAAGCTTGAATTTAAAAGTAAAAAATAAGAATTTTTAAAAATTAACATTTATTGTACTTAAAAATCTAAGCTTAAACAATAAATAGATTTTATTAATAGGTTAGTAAACCATAAATAAATTATTTTTATTAAATTTAAAATGTTTATTTTCACAATCAAAGTATAAAATGTATCAATCACCATTAAAAATGCTTTTATATATTTTTGTAAATAAATTTTTTAATAAAATATTAAAATTTTTCACTTAAAATAAATAAATAGATAGTGAAAATAATTATTTTTTTTTTCAATAATAAACAAATTTCTAGAATAAATGACTTTATTAAATATAAAAAATACAATATTAAACTAAATAAAAATTATAATAAAATATTGCTCGATTTTATTAATTACTATTATTGGAATTTGTTTTAGATTAAAAAATAAGTAATACTAACAACATTAAATATATTTTAGTTCTTACATTTATTTAGTAAGAAGTTAATATCTACCTTTTTAAGAAATCAAGATTTATTCAAATAGAAAAAGAATTTTAATAAGATGAAAAAGAGCAATTAAAGAACTAAGATTGTATAAATTCTAATAATATTTTATTATATTATTATTGCAAGAGGGATGTAAGTAGTTAGATAGCATTCAATATCTTATTTTTTATTTAGTTAATTAGTAGAATATAAAAAGAATTGTGTATAAGGCTTAGATTGCTCCAAATTCAGTTGTTCATCAAATTGCGTTAAATGTTTAAATCAAAAGTACTGTACTTAATGTGAATATGGGTATTTTATTTATCAGCCAACTTATGATACATCCGTATAGTTTTGTGTCAAATGGTAATATACTTTAATTTTAAAAGATATGTATAATTTCAATATTTTAACAATTACTTATAGCCCTCTTGCAAATGAGACAAATATAGTGAGTAATTAGTATTGTGCAGAATGTATTTTAAGTCCTTAATTATGGTAAAATTTTATTGAAGAATGAAATATGCAATCAACAAATATTCAAATAGGTAATATAATTTAAAATGTGAAAAAGTTATAACTTAAAATGGTAGTAGAGATATTGTTTCATCTAACCTGAATAATTATCTTTTTTATTTGGCTGAAAAAGTGAATAATTAAGTAGAAGTAATTACTTTAAATAACTGCTTAGAAATAAATATGAATAATACTTCAGTTTGTGGTAAATGCATAGAAGGATATGTATTCAATATAGAGAAGCAGTCCTGCATTAAATGTTCTGATCAAATTTAGAATTGCTTTTCATGTGAATATGTGTCCAATATATTAGTATGCTTATCGTGTTTTTAAGAATATTATTTGTAACTAATCAATGGCACAACAAAAAACTAATAGTGCTTATAATGCAGTTAAGCATTTGCAGGATGCAAAATATGTAATATTAATGGATGCCTTTATTGCTAAGATGGTTATTTAGAGTAAATTAGTTAATAAAATAATCAAATAACTTGTAAACAGCAGCTTTAATGTACAGCATCAAACAGTTAAATAATAAATATAGATCAAACGTAATGCTTAAAGTGTTATTAGTTTGTTGAATAAAATTGTAGTATATGTCAAATAGACTTTTCAAATAATACTTATTCATGTTTAAGTTACTGTGATTAATACAAGCAATATTACAATAAATCAAGTAATACCTGCTAACCGTGCAGTGAAAATTGTTTGGTATGTAATGAAACAGGATGTACTTAATGTGAGAAAAATTATGAATTAAATAGCTAAAATCAGTGCATATTGAAGTGTGGTAATATAATGAAATTCCTATTTTAAATTTTTAACTAAATGCCAAATATATTTTTTATATAAGATCTAGAAAATTGTTCTCAATGCTAAGAAGTATAGAATTAACTTAGCTTACAATAATAGGTTGAATGTGAATCTTGTTTAAACAATAGTTATATTTTTTCATTTGACATGCAAAAATGTCTATCTTGCGGAACAGGGTGCTCTTTATGCTCATAAAACGGTATTTATATAATAATATATGCCTAACTTTAAATTTATGGAAATTTAGTTAAAATATTTTGACTCAACTTTCTGATTACGTTAAAACCATTTTTATAAAGTTAAATTCAATTCAAAAAATGAATTCATGCTCCAAAATACTAAAAAATATTTTTAAAAACTGATATCATCTAAACAATAAAATAAAAAAAATTAAATTTAACATTGCTTTTTACAATTAATTTATTTGATTATTTTTCTAATTCAATAAATTATTAAGTATTAACGCATTGTTTTTGGTCATTTCAAAAAAAATGTTAATGCCAAATTTCAAATGAAATAATAAAAATAATATTAACAAATTAAAAAAATTAAGTTTAATTTTTTAATAAATAAATAAATAATATTAGAGAAACAGATTTTCACTCAAAATAAATTCACACTATAAAAATTTTGAAAGCATATTTTTAGATAAACTTATGATTGCCATTTTTTACATGGCAGTCGTTTTTAATATATTCTCATTAATTAAGATGATTTTTTAGAAAAAAATATATTTTTGCCCCCTTAATTAATTGGAATTTACAGACATATAATATTTCTCTAAAAAATAAATTAATAATTTTCTTTTTAATTCTTAAATTTAAGATTTAAATTTTGTTTGAATGTTTTTAATTAATTATCAAGCATATAATTTTCAATTCACAATTAAATAGATAGTTATTTTATTAAATTTGAAAGTATTTAATAAGTAAATTTTTAAAATTATTTAAAATTTAAATAGGTAAGTGCTTAGCATGCTAATAAAATTATTTTTATGATAACTCAATATAATAATGTGTATAATGTAATTAATTTTAATATTGTGAAAAAAAATTATTAATAACGAAGTATCTAAGCTGTGGAGGATAGATGAATTTAATAAGTTTATCTAAATAAAGCTAAGAAATTTATGGATCTAATATAATAGATATAAATTAATTAAATACTATCAGCTTCGATAATGAGATATAAACTTTATATCAAGATTAAATTTATAATGTTGAAATAAATATAATAATTCTATCTCAAACATGTATCCTATTAAAAGATTTGATAATTGAATCTAGCTATGAAAATGTGCATATTAATATTGACGGAAGAAACTCTATAATTGATATTAATAGGTCATAATTGTATTTAATAAATTTACAAGGTTTTTCTTTACAAAATATTGAGTTTGCAACTTTAATCTAAAGAGAAATCACAAGTTAAAAAGTTTAGCCAATTTTTATTCAGAGATCAAATTAGTATAAAAATTCGTTGGTTAATTTAACTAACATAACATTTAAAAACAACACTTAAGTATAATTCATTTTAGACTAGTTTGAAACAGTATTCATAGCTAACTTTTAAATTTTATTTAATAATAAATGGGGATATAGTTTATTTAACACAGTGTAGAAAGAAGAGCCGTTTGATTGCTCACAATATATTTTTATCTAAGATTTTTATGCTCAAAATTTAATATTAATTAATTAAACCTTTTTCAAAATTAACTAAAACTCAAACAACTATAAAATATTAATTAGCAACATCACTTTTAGTAACTCATATTTGGAGCAATTCTCTTTAATACAGGATTAAAATTATCTAAATGGATAATTTAACATGCTATTAAATAATTTTAATTTTATAAATTGCCAAATATTAAATTCATCCTTAATATCAAATTAGTTTAATAGTACGTCAATCTCCATTAAAAACTTTAAAATTAAAAATAGTTCAATCTTAAATTTTGATGATAAAGTAATAAGCTTATTTTAAATACAATAAGTTGATTAAATAGATGGAGTAGATATTGAAAATTCAACTTTTTACAACTCCAAAGTGATTAAAATTTAAAATAATGAAAAAAGCATATCAATTCAAAATGTCTTTTTGTAAAACTTACGGGTTCTCTTTAATTTAAATACTTATACTTAAATAGAGTATAGTCTTATTAGTGTTCTAATTCAAAGTTAGCTTAAAATATTCAACTAAACTTTTAATAATATCCAATTATAAAATTATCAGGTTATTAATAATATTCCTAACATTTCGTCTTTCTGTAATTCGATGAACATAAATTCTCTAATAAGTCCTGCTTCATATTAAGTAGTACTCCAAAACAAAACGGAAATTTTTTTTGAATAAATATAATAAAAGTAAATAATAATAAATAATACAGGTATTTATAACATCTAATAAAAAATATCGATTCTCTAAATAATTTAATTACGATCAGAAAATTAAATTAGCAATCAGATACAAATAAATAAAATAAATGCTTCAAACATCATAGAAGTTGGAGTTGCAAGCATTTAAAGTTAAAATTTTGTTACTTTTTCTAATTTAACTCTAAGTAATGTATAAAACAGTTAAATATTTATTGAAAACATTAATAATAGCGTTGATACTCTTTTAAGCATCAAAGATAGTTTTGTTAACAATGTTAAGCTCATAGGCTAAAGTATTTTTAATTTCTTAAATTACTTTACAGTATAAATAGCAAATATTAATATTAATAATATTTTGATAGAGAATCAAACTAGTCTTAGCTAAGTTAGTTTGTTTAAAATTGATAACAGTTTATAAGATATTACAAATAATCAATAAATTCCTAGTTTTTTAGTGTAATTAATAAATTTAACGTTTAACGAGTGCATAATAATTCCAAAATAATATGGTAGTGCTCTACTCTATCTATAAAATTATTAAAAATTTGAATTAGAAAATGTAACATTCAGTAACTTTTTGATTAACTAGAATGCTTAAATAATGGAACTATAAGATATTTAAAATATACTTATAACAAATATCACAGCTAAAAATGGAAATTCTATGTAAAATACAATTGACTATAATAATTTTTTGTATGGAAGTATTGTACTTGCAAATAATTTTAATTCAATCTAGTTACAAAACTCAACATTTTATAATATTTAACTTAACAATTAAGGAATCTTAAATCTTATTCCTGGATAATAATCTGATGTATATCTAAATTATTTGAAAATGGAAAGTCTTTATATAATTTTACCTATTGAATTACAAAAGAGCAATTTAGTTTAATCTGAGAAAATAACACTAAATGGTGGAATATTCTAAATGAATGTTTCTTTTGCTTAATAAATTTAAATTTATATTGATAATTTATCCTTACAAAATTTTATATCATCTGAATACTTTGTGGTATAGTGGATATACCTTGTGAATGATGCAAATAAGAATTTATTCTTTAAAATGAGTAATAGTATTGCTGATAAAATTGAAGGAAATTTATTTTATTATCAAAGTTACTATCAAGTAGGACAAATCGAAATGACAAATTCTGAGATACAGTTTAATAATATTACTGTCCAAAATTGTAATTACATTAGCTTAGGTAATTAGACTACAAATACCACTAATGCATTAGGACTGATTGTCATAAAATAACCAGCTTAACTACTAATTTCAAATAGTTTATTTTTTAATAACCAATATTCATTTTTGATATTTTCAATTTTCTCATATAATTCAATTGTAAATACGCAATTTAAAAATAATTCAGTTACTTCAAATTACTTTAGTTATCAAAATTAAATATTATCAGCTTCGCCAATAGTATTTATAAATTCATTTATTGCTATAGATGGTTCTATTTTCAAAAATAATAAAGGATTTGATGGAGGAATTATAAATATAAACTCATAAATATAAATTAAAGAAGTATCAAATAGAAATTTGGGTGATATGTCTTAAAATTTAGGTGAATTTTCAGCTTAAGATCAACAATTTTTCAGAAAATTAAAACTAATTTAATCAAACTATATTTTTAATTCCATATTCGATAATAACTTTTCACAAAAGAACGGGGGAGCATTAAATATTTTAAATTCAGATATTTAATTATCAAATAATACTTTTAGTTTAAATTATGCCTCCGAAAATGGGGGCTCGATATTTTATTATAGCAATAGCAGCCTTGGTAAAAATTACACATTGATAGTATCAAAATAAACTTAATTTGTAAGCAATTATGCATAAAAAGGGAGTGCTATAAGATCTATTGGCTTAATTTAATATAGTAATGACACCGTATTTAAAAATAATACTTCTTAATATCAAGATTATAACCCTGTATTAACTTATTGTATTGAAGGAGAATATATTGGTAATTATAATTATTGTGAAAATTGTCCTTCAGGAACTTACTCTTTGATAAATAATGCAAAAAGTTGTCTTAGTTGTCCTTCTTTTTGTAAATGTCCTGGAGGCTCCACAATTGAAGTAATTATTAAAAATTTTTAATTTTATAATTAGGCATTTTAATTAAAAATTTTTTAGGTGTAAGAAGGCTATTGGAGGCCAAATATTTACAGTGATTAAATAACTGAATGTTAGTTAGATTAATCTGTTTGTCTTGGTGGATCAACGAATTTTACGTGTTAACAAGGATATACTGGAGCATTGTGTAAAAGCTGCGATATACATGGTATACATACAAATGGTACACCATATTCTAGTTAAATAGGTTAATTTGATAAGTGCACTCCTTGTGTTTCTTTAGTTTCTATAGTCTTATAAATAATCTTTCTCTTTATTGTATCTTTCGTAAATTGTATTTCCTCAAATTAATTTGTATTAATTATTCTTTGGTTTTTATCAAATTAAGATTACTATGATAGTAAGTGTAACAGGTACAGTAAAGCTCTCAAATACACTACTCTTGCAAAAGAATTTAGGAAGGTTTTTTCTAGATTTTTCATAAGGCTAAACAATATATCCAACATATATTCTAAAAATATTTACCCATTACATATAAATAGTGGGAATCTTTTTTTCTAATTAGTTTAATCTTATATCTTAGATGATAAATATTCAGAGCTTGATAGGTAACTCTACTAAAATGTTTTCTTATTAAATTGACTGCTTGTTGGTGCTTTTTGAAGTTTCTTATCCTTTAATTTACTTAAGGATAATTGCTCTGTTTACTTATACAGCATTACTATCAATTGTTTTTACCCTTATATTCTCAATTTTATTAAAATTAAAAGTTTATACTTCAAGAATATCAGTTATTTATTTAAATAGCTTAATATTTATTTACATTTATTTTCAGCCTGTAGCTACTTAGCAGTTATCTTCTATTATAAGTTGCTAATAAATTTCTGGTGAGTCATATATAAGTGCTGATTTACAATATGAGTGCAATGATGAAAACTATAATTAAATAGTCTATCCTTATATTTACCCAATCTTTATTTTATTGAACGTGATAATTCCAGCCTTTTTTATAATCAAACTATATTTTTCCTACAAAAATAAACTTTTAGATACTCATTATTATCGCTCAGTTTTAGGTTACTTATATAATGAGTATAGATAAAATATGTTTTACTGGGAACTCATTAAGGTTTTTGAAAAGATCGCCTTAATTACTATTAACCAAATATATTTAAATAATATTTAGACAAAAGGCTTTCTATCATTTATGATTATATCGTTTTATAGTAATTAATTTAATTATTTTTGAAAATATTTTTAATTTATTTTATTTCACTTAGGTTTTTTATCCAGCAGAATGTAACCTTACAATCATCTTAGCTTAAATAAATTAAACTCTATATCTACTAGCATTTCAGGAATTACAATAATATTCATATTGTTTTTAACTACCAACTAAAGCAGCTTCTTTAACTTTATTGGAATTGCAATTCTGTGTAATCCAGCTTAATTTAAATTTTAGCATTAAAAAAAATAAATATCATCTAAAATATTTTAACTAACGACTTAATTATTAAAAAGGCATCATTAATATGTATTTCATCTTATAAGTATTAAGACTGCTTGTATATTAATATACAAGACTATTTATGAGACATTTGGATGCATTAAAAGCTTACTTAATTAAAAAATTTCCATCATTAAAAAAATACTTTAAAATGAGAATTGATAGGCACCGAAAAACATTAGCATACTGGAAAATATTCAGAAAACATGTTTAGAATTATATCAAAATAGTAAAAGGTGCAAAGTAAATTAATGTGGATAAAAATTACATAGACAGAGAAATCAGAGACCGCTTGAAAAATTATTTGTTAAAGTAATTAATTAATTTTTTAATAATTTATATTTATTTTTAAATTTAATTTACATTAATTAGTACAATTTTTTTATTTTAAAATAATACTTTTTGATATGTAAATGTTTTTAATAAAATAGCCCATATTAGAGGTAAAATACTCTAAATAGATGTATAAGATCTTAGGTTTTTGAAGAGGAAGAAATTTTACCTGCAATTTAAGTAGCTGGCCTATAAAAATTAGCTGATAATAATCTAAATATTTAAATACCAAATTTACCTAAAAAAAGTTTAAATAGGACTTCAATTGTTTTCTAAATAAAGGATGGTAAAATAAATATAAATTGATTTGACTATTTATTATAAAGAGGAATTAATACACTTTCTATAAAAAATCAAGGTGCTAGTAAATTAAATAATTTAGAATAATCTCATATTAGTGCTGTTGAAGAAGAAAATTCAAAATAAACAGTAGATTCTCATATTTCTAGTGAATAATCCTAAAAAATTCCATAAAAGAAAGAATGTGAAAAATATTCAATATCCCCTGATATGTCTTAATTAAATAAGTAAATTTCTTTTTATAAAATTTAAAGATTAAAAATAATTTAATATTTTAAGTAGCGATTTAATTGCCGAATCATGCAACTACGTGAAAAAGAATGCAAATAGGGCTTCTACAAAGTAATTTCAATTTAAAAAACTATTAAAAATATTAAAAGTTACCTTATATCAATACTTTAGAAATTATGATTTAGAAGAATAAATGGAAGAATAAAACGATTCTCACAATATAAACTTAAGTTGCTGTCTAAACTAAATTAATATTTCTAAATTTAATAGTTATTTTTATTAAGAATGATAAAGTAGTTAGTATAAATCAATTATTGATTTAGTTGAAACTTTAAAAATAAATATCTATAAATGTTTATTTAATAAACTTTTTAAGAACAAATATTTATAAAAATTATATAAATTTTTTAATTAACTCCATAATAAGTTTAAATATATAATAAATTCCTAAATATAAAATTAGGACAAATTAATTTGACAAATATTTCCTATTTATTTACTTATTTAACCAAATCATACTATTTATTACTTACTTATTTTTAAGTTTATAAATTTTAAAGTAGGTAATATCTAAATAATAAATTTCAGATATGACAAAATATTTAAATTTTAAAAAAAATTAGACTTTTTTTATAAATTCAGATACCTTAATTTATTAATAAGGTTGGAATGTGTTGACTACTCATTTTTTTTCTACAATTTAAAAAATTTAGTAAATGTTTTTTTTATTATAAAAAATTACATAATTATATATTTAGATTTTGTGAGCCTATTTGATTATTGTTTAATCAATAAAATTTTACTTTATAAAAATCAATTAATTATTGGTGGATAGTTATAGTTAGATAACCTATAGATTAAATAAAATGTTTTAATACAAATAGATTAAGAATTCTATTTTTTTGCTAACTAATGCCTTGGTTATTTTTGAGGATAGAACTTAACTGTATTAATTTTATCTGTAAAAAAATAAAATAATTGATTCATTAATTTCATATTATATTTAGTCATAAATATTATTGTTAAATACATAATTAAAAATTTTAATTGATAGCAAGTAGAATCTTATGTAAAGTATGTATTTTAGCTGATTGACATTAATAGATAGATAGATTTCTTCATTATAAAAAGATTATTGATATTTTTTCTAAAAAATAAATTGAATTAATATTATATAAACACAAATTTAATCACAATATTTAAATAATATCCGTATATATTCTTATGTTTTTTAATGTTTTATTAAAAATTTTTGATGATTTTTCAAATATTCAGAATGGCTGATTAATATCAAACGACAAGTGGTCAAATATTTTTTTACATTTTTGCCTAAATTTTAAGTTTCCCTATACGAAATAAATTGAAGATTGTCTTTTAATTCATTTTTTGCTGTTTATTAGAAAATCTTCAATAGCAAAATATCTGATCGTAAATATTGTTATTAGTAAAGGCTATTTTTAATTTTTATATTTTTAGATAAGCTACTTCAATGTTTTTTCTTTAATGGCTTTTCTTCCTCCATTGCTGTTTTATCTTCAGTTTAGTTAGAAAGAATTTTTGATGTTACTTTTATGAATTATTCAATTTTTGTGAAATCTTTAATATTCACTATTTTAGTTTTAATCCACTTCTTATCATCTGTTACTTTCATGATGCAAACATCCTTTTTATGGTTGTATTTAACAACTAAACGAGATGTGAAAGGATTGCTACCAATTAGCTCAATAGCTGTATCTCTAAATATTTCCCATTCTACAAATTTACCCATTTTTATAATCCCTAATTATGTTGTTTATTTTTTTTTAATAAATAACTTTCTGTGAATTGCTTAGTTAAAATTTTCTAATAACTTTAGAATTATATATTTATTGATATCTTTCAATTTTTTTAATCTCTTCTGCTCACATAATTAAAAAAATCATAAGATAAATAGATGCACTTGTCTTTATATTTAAGAAAGTAAATTTTGTTTCTTGATCATCAAATGTTTTTTGTTTGCAAGCAGACGTGGATGGATAATTTTTGAATGGATAAAGCTATTATAAATTTGAGTTAAAAATTATGAAAATCAATTATTCTGATAATAATTTCTTAACAATTAAAATTAAATTGACAAGATATGATTTTTATTAATAGTAAATTATATTTTTTTTTTGAATATTATTTTATTAACAAATAATATATATCTAGATTCATTTAAAAAAAACAATTGATAATAATAAAAATTAAAATAACAAGAAATCCATAAAATTTGAAAGTAGAAATAAAAATTTTAATGATTACCAACCGAAACATAAAAGATTAAACTTGAATTATTTATATAAATTTTACATTAAAAAACGAATTTATTAGGGAGATAAATATGAGTTATACAGCATAAAATAATATTTTGTATATGAATTTATTTTATTAATATAAATTTAGAGTCTAAGAAGATTTTATGTATTTATCTTTAATTTTTTTAACATTTAAAAGATTAATTTTCTAAATAATATGTATGTATTCATTCATTCATTGATCAATTTCATTTTTTGAGAGTTAAATGTTAAAGAATTAGCAGAAGCTGAAATAGTTAGTGTGAAATCTTAAAATTTATTATTGTTGTTGTTGTTATTATTATTATTTATCTAAAGGATAGTTGTAGATTAATCAAAATAAAGCTCTAATTTGAAAGTATACTTTATTATTAAATATCGATGATGAAACAAATATACAATTCTTCAGTTCATTATCCTACTTAAATTGATAAGAAAAGAATTAAATTACATAAATGCATATAAGAAGAGTATTATATAATGCACTTTGTAGAGTCAAGGAAGAAAAAACAAGTTTATTTATATATAAATCTCTACAATAGAAAAACGTGTTTACATAGTTTTTAAGCAAATAGTCTATTTATATTGATTAGAAAATATCATTTAGCAAGCTTTTTTGAAGCAAGCATAAATGTATGAAGAAACAAACGTTTGTAATCATCTTTTTTTTGTTTTACATTCTGTTTCTTCGATGAATTTATTTAATCAGTCAGCTTGCTTAAGATGCACAACTAATATTTGTTTGTATATAGGCAATACACTAAAAATCGAAAGCGATTTATAAGTAGGCAGGTAGATAGGCAGGTAAGTATATTGGTAGGTAGAGCTTATTGTATGTATGAATTGAATTGTTTCTCTAATCAATATTTTTCTACTATTTCATTAATTTTTGAAACAATAATGATAAAGGCCATAAATTTCTTTTGACATTTGTATATTAATCTTTTAAACTTTTGGTTGGTAATTATTATATTCGATTAAAATTTATTTATTTTGAATGCGTTTATAGTTTGTTGATTGATTGATTGATAAAGCAAGTATTGTTTTTATGCATGTTATTGTTAATAATCTTTTTAAACAATCTGATAAGTGAAATGTATTTAGATTTTTTTTAAATATAATATAAGTTTTTATTTGTTTATGATAAAAAGTCAGAGTTAATTCACTGTCTTCAGTTTTACATAGGTTCAAAATTGTAAGACTCAAGTAATCTCTCGCGATATCTAAAGAACAAGATTGGTGCAATGTATAAACGGAAGTTAATCAGCTACAAGAAATCTCTTTCAAGTAAATTTATTTCCTAATTTCCAATACCGCCAACTTTAGCATAGTACTCATTGTTATAGTATCTGTCATCAAAAAATTTAGTAGCGAGCATAATTGAAGTGATAAGTAATCTAATTTTATTTAAAAATAATAAAAATTTTATTTATTTTTCTTACTATTCTAAATTAATTTAAAAAATTAATTCATCAAATTCATCAAATTTATCAAATTTATGCAAATAAATTAATAAATAAATAAATCATTTTTCATTTTGAAAATCATTTAACTTACAAACTCTAGAATGACAATAATTCTATTGTTTATTCAAGCTTATTTAATTTTTTATTGAATCTCTCGAGAACAGATGTAGAGAATCAAAAGATTAAGAAAAGAAGCACATAGGAAGAGGTGCTAAAAATTTAAAGAAAGAGTTGCATAAATAAAAATATTTTTGTTAATTTGCGTGTTTATTTTTACTTCATTTAGTTCATCTAATATGATACTAAAAATCTACAAAAAATTAATTATGTTTTCTCCAATCTTTCATTCTAATAAATTGCTGTTTATTTAGCATTTAGCTAAATTGTTTAAAAGTCAAGTGAGACTTAGTTTATTTACCTGTGGATGTTATAGCTATTGATAATGAAATTCTAATGACGTTCAGTAATTCTATCCACATAAATCAAAGCAAAAATAAAGCACTCCTATGAGCAGTGTGAACATCTAGCTATTCTTGCCAAATACTCTTTTATGCTAATTGAAGGTACATTTTTACCATGAAAATTTGTAACATATTGTATCGTCTACTTATCAGTTTACTCTATAATTTCTGTTAATACATTTGCTATGATTTCAATTATATCTTCAGTCGAAACTACTCTTGTTCCATTAAGAACGTAAGCTTCTTCGTAAGTGATGCTTTCGTTTTAATAGATGATTCTTCTATCGTAAAACTAATCCATGGACATTTCTGTTAGCGGCTTTTTATAATTACTTCTTTCTACTTCTTAAATTTAAAAGGAGGACTTCTTTTTATTTATTTATTTATTTGTATATTTTTTGTTTGTTTTCTTCTTTGATAATGTAGATTAAGAGATATATTAGATTTATTTTATTTCTTTTCTTTTTATTTACTTGTTTTTTGTTTCTTTTTTCTTTTCTTTGATTTTGTTTATTTCTAATAATTGAATTATTTATTTATTGATTGATTAATTGAATGAGAAACCGAGCAGTGAGTTAGTTAGTTAGTTGTTTTTCTTCTTAATTTATGTTGCCTTTATATTTTATTTGTTTATTTGCTTGTTATTTATTTTTTTACAACCTTACCAATTCAAATAGCTCTTCTTCTTCCACTACTCTATTTATCTATCTAATCTTTCTATTTACTTGCTTAGTGTTTTTAATTAAATAAGGTCAAACAAATACAATAAAAAAACACTAATAATTTCTATCATTTTGACACTTTATATCTCAAACGTTTCCCCTTTCTTCTTATTTAGCAAAACCATGTTATACATACCATAATTATTATTGTTATTTTTTAATTGATTTTAATCTTCAAATAATTCCGATTTCTTTTATTTAACTCTCAATAATATTTTTAATTTTTCAAAACCTTTTATCAAAAGAATAAAAAATAAACAAATACATAAATCATTAGATAGATAGATAGATATCAGTCGACTTTCAATCTCTTTTAGGTTTTTAAAAAAATTTAATGCTACTAAAATTTAGAAAATTCAGAATAATCTACAAACAAAAAATAAAATTTTCTAAAAATTATGAATGAAGTTGGAAAAAACTAATTTTTTAACTCTTTCAAAAAATCATATTAATGAAATGTTTTTAATAGATTTTATTTTTGAATTGCCAACAAAAAAAAAATCTGATCTAAATATTGATAATTATGTAAATAATTAAAATAATAACAATTTAAAATAAGACAGTCAATTAAATTCAAAGTTAACTATAAATTAGAGAAAATGTTATGTGCAAAGTATTTTAAATAAATTTTATTACATTTTGTTTTATGAAAATTAGATACACTGTTTACAGTTCATTTCTTATTATTGATTGGAATAGTTTTATGAATTGTTCTATATTTACGTTCTAGTTTAAATAGGCATTTTTTACTGAGATCAAAATATTTTCGTTAAATTCAGCAAAATTCGTTATATTTCAAGCTGTGATATCTAATAAAATCTTTCGAAATGCATTTAATGAGCATAATAAAACTATGACAGAATTATTACATATAAAGTCAATAAAATATATTTATTAAAAGTTTATGAATAAAAACCTAAAATGTATTTAAAAACATATTCAAACATTAAGAACGAGAAGTAAAAATTGAATAAATTTACTAAAGATGATATAAAAGAGTTAAAAATGAAAATAAAGTTTAAAAACAAACAAATTAAAAAATGAAAAATTTTACTATAGCTAACTAACTAACTAAACAATGATATATTTATTTAGATATGAAAAAATTAAATTAAATAGAAAAAAATAATTTGTTTCCTAAAAAATATTAGAAAGGTGAGGTTTTCTAAAATATCTATAATTCAATAGTAATATTTTAAGGAATATTTTGATCATTAAGTTAAGTATATCTTGGAGGTAATTTGGTTACTTGTAAAAAATTTTTTACAATATATTATGCAAAATTAACTAAGATTCATAGATAAATATGAAAATGAGATAAAAAAAAGAAAACAAAAATTATCATTTTTTTAATTTCTATTTAGTTTAAAACATATTCAAAAATAAATATGAAGAAAAGTTATCATAAAATTTAAACTTGTTTTGTAAATTTTGGGTTTTAAATGGGATTATAATCTATAATTTATTATATTATGATAATTAGTCACTAAATTATGAAAAAATTTTGACAAATTTAAAATAAATATAAGTAAAAAAACATCATTACTTTATACCATTAAGAGATTTAAAGAAATAAAATATTTTTTGAATTTTTAAACAAAATAAATTATATCTCTGGCAAATAGATTATTTATATAATCTATATCTCTATTTTTAATACTGATTTATCTAATAAAAAATATTATTATAATAACAAAGACTCTAAGCCTTTTCTAATTAGAGAGCGGATCAGAAATTTAAATTTTCTCTGATTGTATTGAAAAATACATTCAAAAAGAAAAAACAAGATTTTTAGAATGTGATCGAAAATAGAATATCATCAATGACTAATGTTCATATACATGCACATAAGTGAACTAGGTGTATTCTATTTATAATATATTGATTATATAGAAGAAAATAATAAAAATATACAAGAAAGTATTAATTAAAGTTGAATATTATATTTATTAATATTTTTAAACAATTATCAAATTATTATATTTAAAAAAGGAAAGTTTATTGACTTTAATATAGCTTTAAAGTTTTTTAAATAAAGCTTCAATCAGTGATACACTATGGATAAACAATCAACTGCCAGTGAAAAACATCCTTCAGATGGTTTTCTTCCCGAAACAGATTAGGATTTTACCCCTTCTGATCTTGAAAGAATTGAAAAACAAGCAGAATCAAAATTTTAAGTTTACTAATATAGGTTCTTTAACATAGCTATATACATTTTAGGAATGATGCAAATATCAATTATGCAAAATAGTTTTGCTCCTTAAGCAAATGAACTGAGTGTTGTTTATGGTTTAAGCAGTACTGTGTATAATTTAACTTCTTTAGTTCATATGATTATGCATGTCCCTGTTTCATTCCCAGCAAATTTTATAGTCGATAAATATGGTACTAAAGTAGGTAATACTATTGCCTGTGTGTTTAGTCTAGCAGCATGCTGGATCAGATGTCTTGTAAATAAGAGTTTTGCTTTCGCCATCATAGGGTAGCTACTTGTAGGTTGCGCTAATCCTTTTCTTATCAATGCTATTAACAAAAGTAAATATATTTTTTAAATACTACCTACTTACTACTTTAACTGAAAAACCAAAAAAAAGAATATTTCAATAAATAGAAATTTTGTAAGTATTTAGAGAGGCAGAATTAGTTTATCTACTGCTAAAATAATCTATACATTATTTTCAAACAATTTTTGAATAATAGGATTTTTATTAAGTATTTTAAGTACTATAATTATTAAATAAATTTATTAATATAATAGTATCCTCAAATTGGTTCTATCCTTCTTCAAGAGCAGCTGTAACTGGCTTTTTAAGCTTCTTTTCTACTGTAACTGGAGTCGTAGGATTAGTAATTCCTGGTATTTATTTTTCAGGTTATAAAGCTTCTGATGATACAAGTGATAATTATCAACACGGTAAAGATTTAACTTTTAATCTCCTCCTTATTTCTGCAGTAATCGTATCTTCTACTAGTGTTTTGAATCTATTGTTTTACAAGGATAAACCTGCTACTCCTCCTAGTTTTTCAGCTAATGTTGATAGAGAAGATTTTAAGACAGCTTTGTAAATTTTGATCAAAAAAAGAACATATGTCTTAATTACGGTATGCTTTTCTTTTTGTTATGGATGCTTTATTGATTTTGCAGTTGTCCTAGGGCAATTAGTTGGACCTTATGGTTTTGAATCTTAACACACAAGTACTTTGAGTGTCGTATGTGTATTTTCTGGTGTATTTGGAAGTGTTATTTTTATCAGAATGTTAAAAAAGACTAGTGCTTATAAAAAATTATCAGGATTAGGTATACTAGGAACTATTGTAGCATCTATTTTGATGATATTCATTCTCTAAACAGAAATATTTGGTTTATTAATATGTTGTGCAGTCATTTTAGGTTTCTTTGTAATTCCTATCATCCCTATATTACTTGAGTTGGCTAATGAAGTTTGTTTCCCAATTGGTGAAGCAACAGTAACAGGTTTTATCTATACAATTTCTCATGTAGTTTCATTCTTATTAGGTTCCTTATTCAGTTTAATTATAGATTCAGCTAAAGACTCAAACGAGAAAATGGGTAGCGTATATGTGCTTATTGCATTTGTAGCTATATTTGCTGTTTCACTCTCTACTGTATTCTTTATGAAATAAGACTTAAAAAGAACAAAAGCCGAAAAGGATTAGGTTGTGGATCACAGTGATTCAAAGATTGTTAACCATATTGACATAGATGAAAAAGAAAATGCAGATATGCATATTCCCTTAAATAAATAATAGAATAATTCTTTAGTGAGTAGCTCTAAGTCAGATTGATATATTTAATTTAATAACTGCTTATTATTATTTAATATTTTAATATAGAATTTATATTATTTCAAAGGAAAAAATTATTAATCGTATTTTAAACAATTTTATTTACTTTATTGTATTTCTCTTAAACTAATCATTTTAGTGCAAAATTTGTTTTGTAAAATGTATTTTTGTAAATAAATTAAATTTTTTCTTATGTTTTTGTTAATTTTTTTTAAACATCAAACAAAATTCTTTTATAAAAAAGTAATTTAATAGCAAATTCTGAAGTAATCTTCTTTCATTTCTAATAAAAAAATCATATTAAATGATTGTAAAATTTTTAAATATATTTTGTAATTAACTGCTTTAAGTCTCCATGACCATGATCACAAAATACTGTAATAATTTATTTATTAACAGAAGTATGGAATACATCAAAAAACTTTAGACAATTTATATTATTAAGTTTTTTCAAAATATTTATTTCATTCTTCAAAAGAAAATTTTGAACTTCATTCTTAATCCCTTTCATACTTCAGTTTAAATAAATTTTCATTTAATTTATTTAAATTTTAAAGTTATAATATTAAATAAAAGCAAAATATTCTTTAATTAAAATTAATATTTCTTTTGTTGTTTAAATTTAGAAATATATTTTTAAGTAAAATTCAAAATTAGCCTATTTTTAATAATATAATATTTGATTAATTATTTATTTATTTAAACTTATAAGCTCAAAATAAATTTTAAATAAAGACTTTTGATGACTATCTTGATTTGTCTATTAGAATAATAAAACAGTTTTAATTTACTGTCTATTACAAAAATTTTGAATAGCTAATAAATAGAAATAGATAAGTGTTATCAGTGATTCATATTTAGGTAAATTTTTTGTTTTTAAAAAAATTTCTGACTTATTTGATATCTTAATTAGTAAATTAAAAATTATAAAAAATAAAAAATCATAGATTTTAATAAAAAGAATAGATTTATTTCATTTAATAATGGAAAATCAAGTTTACAAATAGGGGAAGTAATTTGTTTGGGAAGAAGATGATAAGTGTATTAAAATCTTATTCCTTGAGATGTACTTTAGATACTTCTACATATTTAGCTCAAGGGCTGCAGAATATCCAAAACTCGTAGAAAAAAATGTTTAAATTATGTTATCTAAAGAATATTTGACAATTAACTTTATCAATTTTTCTGTTCCTATTTTTGAAGGGAAATTTACAAGTAAGATTTTGCTTGATGAATCTTATTTTACTATTAATACATAGAAGGGAATCTACTTTAATTTATCCAAAAGCTAAGAAGGGCTCATATGGAAGAATCCTTTTTCTTCTTAAAATTAAGAACTTCTTTATAAAAATTTACTCTTTGAAAGTGATCAAGATTTACAATCTCTATTTAATGAATTTCCATACATGCCAAAAATGCTTTTACAAGAAAAAATACAAGAGTTAAAGTAATATATCCAATTTACCATTGAATTAACTAAGAAGAATTTTCCAAGGACTATGTTTGAGAAAAAATTTGATGAACAAAATAGTTAATTTAATACAAACAAAATTTTTATTCCAGATATTAATAGAGAAATATGGTTTAAGGATATTTTGAAAAAGAATTAGATTTTTTAAGAGTAAGGCATACAGTAAATGAAGCTAGGAATGATTGATTGCACATATTATGCAGTTATGGAAAAAACTTTTATACTAGCTAAGTTGATAAAAAACACAGCATGGACTGGTTGTAGTGTAGCAACATTAATAGAAGATCCACTTTAGAATGTTATAAGACTTTTTATTTATAACTTAGATTAAAAGTAAATTTAGAAAGATACATGGCTATTAATTTAGGAACCTTTTACAAAGCCAGGAGCTAATGATGGTATTCCTATGATTAGAGTTGATAATCCAAAAGATTTAATCATATACATAGATAAACAAATTATTGAGTAAAAGAAATTGACCTAAATGAACACCAGTTAATTTAATCAAGAAATTCAGAAAAGAATTAATAAAATACATTATGAAGAAGATCATATTTTTATTTATGAAGTAGATTAGCAAAGGTACTCATTTTCATTTGTTATATTTGAAGAGAAATCTGAATTTGTGAATAGAGGATAATAGCTTTTTATTGAAGAGTCAAAAGATAAGTGGATAGGATCTAAAATTGTAAACTAGTCAGCTAAATCTGACAACTTTATAGTGATTGAATTAGAATAAAATGATTAATCTATTAAATTTCTAAGTTTACTATCTGCTCATCAAAAAAATACACCAGGCAAATGTATTATGTTGTGGAGACCTAGTGAAATTTGTATTTAAGGATTTTTAGAAAAATTGCTTATTTCAAATAACAAATATTCAGATTAGAATCTGAACAATTTAATTTCAATTTGGTATCTTTATTATGAAAATGATACCAAAAATGTTATAGAAGATGCATGCGATTTATGGATTCATAATCAAAGTGTTATTAGCTAACTCAAGAATAAAAAGAACAAAAATAATTAAACAAATGAAGTATAAGTAAAATATCAATACGAAAATGTAGCAAATTAAATTTAAGATATTCTAGATCTCTATCATAAAATGAAATATGAATAAACTAATGCTAATTTTGATAATTTAACATTTGATCCTATAAAGTATAAAAAGGATATTTCTTTATCCTAATAGTAGCTTCATTTAAAAAATGAAGTCTAAATTGATAAAAAGTAAATACTAATAAATTTGTTAAATGAAAAAGACAAAAGTTTATTAGAGCTAGCGTTATTTCATTTAAATAATTATCAAAATGCTTAGTAATTTATTAAAGATAAAGATAAATTTGTTTCAACCACAGAGTATTCAGATATTGTTTTATTAAAGAAAGTTAGCTTAGGGGATTTCAATATGAATTCAACAATAAAGGCACTTGAATTAATTAAGTTTGGTTATAGTTAGTAAATTGTTGATAAAATAAACATGAAAAAGAAGAAGAAAAAAGAAAATAGAAAGAATAAAAAGAAGCTCAAATAAAAATAATAAATTTTAGAAAATTTAACAAATTAGCTTGATTAAGATATTAAAGTAGTTACTGATGATGAGGAAACAAATAAGGAAATTGAATAATTTTACGATTTGTAATAAGATGAAAATATAAATTAGAATTAATAAAATGATTTCTTCGAAGAAGATAGTGACCCTGAAGAAAATTTAGATATAAATGAAGATTTATCAGAACCTATATAGAATATTTAAGATAAAATTATAAAAGATCATTTAAATCAATAATAGAAAGATTCAGAAGATGTAAACTTAAAATAAACAGTTGATGAATTTGATAATATTTCAGAGATTGGTTCTATAAAATCACTATTAACAGTCCATTCAAAATTATAAGGATAAAAAGCAAATAGTCATTGGAAGGATAGGTTAAAAGAGAGAAGCTCAATAGAAGTTTCTGATTAAAAAGTTAAAGAATCTATCTTAAAAGAGATTAAAGAAGCTTTGAAAAAAGGAGGCTCAAGAATTATTTAATCAAGGGAAAACCCAGAAAGATTTCTTGTAAAAGATTTTGCAAAAAAAGTTTAATTTGTTTTATAAAAATTCAAATCGAAAGAAAAAGATATTTATATTCCTATAACTATACTAAATCTAAATATGAAATTTAAGTGAAAATTTATAAACCAATTTGAATATCCTAAATTATTTGATATTTTTACAAATAAATAAGTTATTTTAAATGAGAAAAATGACTCGTAGCTTTTATGTGAGCTTGAATATTTTATGAGAATACTCAAAAACAATTTTTAAACTAAGTAACACAATTTAAATAAAATAGATTTAAATATTGTTATTTATTTATTCGATTTATTATTAAAATGTATTCAAATAAAAATATATAAAGCAAAATAATTTATAATGTCACATCTCTTTTATTGAAAACACTCTTTCATCCATATATTTTTTTTTGGTTTAAATTTTTTAGTCGTATATATTCTAAAACTGAACTATATAATAGATAAGGGGAAAA